CAAGCCCTTGAGGTACTCGTGATGTGTCGGTCCTCCACCGCCTGTGCCGAGAACACCGCATCCTGTCGCGATCATCTCTAGATCAACTTCGGAAAGATACCACGTTCCGTTCTGAACATCAGGGCGATAGGCGTCGAGATCGACGTGGAGAGAGGGCTTGTACGTTGGTGTGAGAGCATCAGGAACGCTGACTTTCTCACCCTCGTCGTCCTCTGTCTCCTGCACGCTTATCACGGGCGGTGAAGGCGGCGGCGTGAGTTCCTCAGGAATGGCGAGATGTCCCACCGCACGAACCTGCAGTCTCATGGCGCCGTTGGACATGTACTGAAGCGGTGTCTTTGTGATCTCCACGATCTTGACGTCGTTCTTCGCTGCGCCTTTGGAGATGGCCATGTCGATTGCTTTCGCGCACGCGGCGTCCACAATGGTCTTTTCGGAGCGTCCCTCGGGGATTTCCACGACGTCGATCTCGCCGGATACTTTGGCAATTGCTGCGCCGACGGCGTTGGCGGCGCCTTGGTGGATGGGTACTATGCACTTGTCGACGCCGGCGAGGTCTTCGGTTACGAGCAGGGCGCCTCCGCCTACGAGGAGGACGTGCACGGGGGCGGAGGAAACTTTCATTTGCTCGACGACGCCCTCGAGCATTTTCTTGAGCTCTTTGCGGCCGCTTTCGATGATGTGCGCGGGTACGTCTTTGACGAGCTCGGGGTCCCCTAGTTTCGCTTTGCCCAGCGCGACGACGATATCACTCGCCGTTAATGTCTTGCCTCCAAAGACTCTGGCTTCTTGCTGGAGTAAATGTCCGACTGATCCAGGACCGACAGTGACGTTTTGTGTAGTAGGGTCGACTTGCACTTTGCTTCCGCCGCCGAGACCGATTGATACAACCTCTGGCATAGAGAACGCAGTGCGCACACCGCCGACTTCTACGAAACCAGGTGCTTGTCGTGGAAAACCCGATGGAAGAAGTGCGCAGACATCAGTAGTCGTCCCACCGATATCCACAACCAAAACCTGCGGCTCCTCGTCATCCGCGACATTCTCACGCTTATGATCCAGTCCAGCGAGATACGCAGCACCGGTCATACTATTCGTGGGACCGCTCGCAAAAGTCTTGATGGGAAACTCAGCGGCTGTGTCTGCATCAATGAGCGTGCCGTCGTTCTGCGATAAAAAGAGAGGACACGTGAGTTGCAGCCGATGCATGGCGCGCTTGAAACCCTTCTTCACGCGGTGTCCTGTTCGCAGGATGGAGGCGTTGAGAATGGTGGCATTTTCTCGTTCTAGGAATCCTGTTGGGCCGATGTCGTGGGAGCATACGACCTGGAGGGATGGTGCTTCTTGGAGAAGAATTCGTCTGCATTCTTCTTCGTGTTTGCCGTCGTGGTCGAGGGGTGAGAAGACGCCTACCAGAGCGATAACGTTGATACCCTTTGCGACGACATCACGCGCAGTCTGTCTAATCTGCTCATGGTTCAACGGTTCAATTTCTCGTCCGTCAATCTCAAGGCCTCCATCGAGGTAATAAACTCCTCCGTCGAGAATACTCCTCAATCCAACAGGGAAATCCGAAAACGGTGGTAATTGCCTAGTAAACGGCCCGCACAGCCTCACGACAGCGACACGATCTAATCTTCGCGCATCAGCCTCCACGAGCGCATTGATAAAGTGCGTTGTGCCGATGGTAACGCTAAGAACACCGCTCTGATCAACGCCTGAATCGCGGAGGACTGCTCTTATGGCAGCCTCAATACCGCTGGTGATGTCTCGCGTGGTAGAGGCCTTGTGGGAGGCGAGGACGCCACGGCCAGGGGTTGATGTGGCAGCAGCTCGGATGTCGAGAATGGCCGCGTCCGTGTTGGTACCTCCGACGTCTACTCCAATTCGGTACAGGGACATGTTGGCGGTAGAGAAGTGTGCTGTTGGTTGGGAGGATGATACCCTGGAGGTGCCTGAAAGCATATTACGGTGGGGGCGGCGTAGAAGAGAGGTATCACCAGATCTTTATAAGTGAGAGGTCATCCATAGTGCGTAGTTCTACTGCATTTTATTTTTCAAGAGCTGACATTTTCATTAGTGAGTGGGAAAAATAACTCCTCTCCAATGTTTTCCTCGCTGAGACTGGATCATGCGAGAGGGGGGCGGCGAGAACGGATGGAGCGAGTTGGCCGACGCCAGAGAGAAAAGAGGAGACATTGAACAACTTCCCCGAACTGCACCGGAACCTCTTCTCCTTTCAGCATCGTATCTCCCTGAACTGCCGATCTCCCTATCATTGGACAATGTTGTGCGTCTCTTGGCCGACGCCTCAATCCGGGGTACGTATCTCTCCTCTGATCCCGAATTCCAGTCTGTGGCTCAACTGGACAATCACAAGATAAGGCTGAGGATTACTCTTTTTAGCAGATCGAACGCCAGTCACACCAATGAACTCCCCCCCCCTCCCGGCGGACCCTTATAGTTTCTGCCTTCCCCTAAATCTTTCCCACAGTGACAGCAGCCCGCCTCAAGCTACTGTACACACTATCGATCCGGAGGCTTCGGGAAAATCTGAAGCTATTCGCATTTCATCTGTCCAACAATGGCCGTTGCGAATCTTCTCAAGCGCATTGAACTACCGCGTGGTTCGCGCTTCATCGTACGCAACTATTTAACCTCCTTAACACGCGTCACCCCCCTAATTTGCTACTCCGCAGAATGAAGATGTCAGACCTGTTGGGACTGAGCGACGAACATGGACGTTTCTAACGTTCCACAACTTCTGTACGGTTACTTTTCATTCGTTTGTGATTTTATTTTTTGCCGAGATGGGGAGAGTAATCACACTGCATAAGCGCATCTAACCAACGGGCATCTGACAGGGCTGTTGATCAACTGCAACATTGCGACGTATCTGACCGGCAGCGCGCTGATTCCCCTTGGCTTGACGTGGTGGCAGGCCATCATCGCCATCATCCTCGGAAACATCCTCGCGACTGCTGCGCTGATTCTTGCTTCGCTTGCTGGAGCTTATTACCACGGTACGTAAAACTCCACTCCCGAATCCTTCGTCGAGGATCAATTGGCTTACGGATTGCAGTGGGCTTCCCTGTCTTTAGTCGAGCGGTATGGGGAATCTGGGGATCGCAGTTCGTCATCTGGAACCGCATCTTCCTCTCCCTCGGTATGTCACCTCTCCTCCATTGGATGTCTGGGTTGTACTAACGTATCAAAGTCTGGTATGGCTTCCAGTCTTGGGTCGGCGGACAATGCACGTATCTCATGCTTCTGTCATGGGATCCCAACCTCGAGAAACACATCCCCAACACGATCCCCGCGTCGACCGGCATGACATCCGCGCAATTCGTCTCCTACTTCATCTTCTGCATCGTCACGCTCCCGTTTCTATGGATCAAACCGCACCGAATACAAAAGTTCTTCTACTTTGCTAGCTCTGTCACGCTGGTCTTTTTCCTGGTTCTTCTGATCTGGGCGCTGGCGACCATGGGATCGGATGGATTTGGAGATACTCTTGCTGACAGTACACCTCTTCCGGTCACTGGTGGTCCGCAGAGTGTTACGTGGCTTACCATCTCGGGAATCATGTCGACGATTGGTGGTATTGCGGCTGGTATTCTTAACCAGAACGATTATGCGCGTCTGTCGAAGAAGCCTGGGGACGCTATTTGGGGCCAGACTGTTGCGTTTCCGCTTTACAGTATTGGAGCGTCTGTCATTGGCATTCTCGTCACTGCCGCTACGCAGAAGAGAATGGGCGAGGCTATCTGGAATCCCCCTACCCTCCTCGCCGCTCTCTTGGCCAAGGATCCAACCGCAGGTACCCGCGCTGCTATCTTCTTCGCCGGTCTCGCCCTATCCATTTCTCAGCTCGGCAGCAATCTTCCCGGCAACGCCCTCGCAGGCGGTATCGATCTTGCTTCCGTGTTCCCCAAGTACATCAACATTCGACGAGGTGCCTATCTCATGGCCCTTCTCAGCCCCATCGTCAACCCGTGGCGTCTCGTCAACACCGCTACGGTCTTCCTCACTGTGCTCTCAGGCTACAGTGTCTTCTTGGCGCCCATGACTGGTCTCATGGTGGCTCACTATAACCTGGTGGCGAAGGCCAAGGTCAATGTTGACGATCTTTTTGTGGGTAACAAGGATAGCATTTACTGGTACAACTTTGGTGTCAATTGGCGTGCTTTTGTCGCGGTAAGTTCCACACTGTTTCAATTGCGCGGAATACTCAACTGACTCAATCTTGTTTAGTGGATTGTTGGTGTCGCGCCTACAATGCCAGGCTTCATCGCTGCTGTTAATGTCAATGCTAAGGTCTCAGATGGCGCAAAGAACCTCTACCAGCTGAACTACCTCTTTGGGTTCGTTGTCAGTGCTGCTGTTTACTACGGACTTCACATTGTAGTCCCTGATAAGAGGTTTGACGCCTTCATCAAGGATGGCACAACTGCCAAGGAGGTCCAAGCTGTTTATGATGAACGCTGGGATATGACCTACTCCGAGAGTGAGCCTGGATCAACTGAAGAGCACTCTTTTCAGCGAAACAAGGGACCTAACTCCCTGACCACGTCTGTTTAATTACGAGATTCACGTTGGCGATGTTTCTTTTCAAGATTGCAAGCCTGTTATCTGCTACTCTACCCATACTGAGACCTTTTTAATTATCATTTACCATATCAAACATAGCGGGGATTCTGGATAAAAATTCATCACTTTACCTTCTGATAGTAGCAACGTTACCTCGGTAGAACCTGATTGAGATCTTCAACCCCTCCACTTGTTTAATTGTCGCATCTTGAAATCGCGTCATGACAGGCTAAAACGCGAACATGTTCTGAAGCTACGGCACTTGAACATGCTCTTCTTTTAGCTCCCGTGCCCTCTGTAATTTCACACTAATCTCGTTTTCCGAGACACTAGTACGTAAGTAGAAGATCCGCCCCCTAAAAAAGCTCACTCGGCCAACTCCGTGCTCTGCGCCCAAACCCTCCCTTGTCGGCCAACTTATCTTTCCCGGTGCCCCCCTCCATCACGCGATTTTCGCCGACATCTCTTCGCCTCTTTCTCTCCCTCCTTCGCTCCCGCAGCCTGGCTCGTTTTTACACACTCTCCCTCAAACGCGCGTGGAGCGTATTACCGTTAACGGGTACCTGGCCCGCCTCCTCCGAGTAGCAATCATACCAAGATCAGATGGATCACTCTCATGCTGAGGCTAGCGATCGGGAACGGGCAACTTCTTCCTCGTCCACTGCTACACCCCGCAAGTTCAGCATTCGCAGTAACTTTGGTAAAGCCCGTCAGCCACGGAGCCGCAAGAACAGACCCTGCGACGCCTGTCGTCGCCGGAAGACTGCTTGTGTCATCACCTCTGAACCCCCTTGTGAGGCGCCCCCCCCCCAGATTCCCACCCACTACCAGTCCAGTGGTTCACACAAACTCCACTTGACGTGACACTTCCCGCTAGTCGATCTGTGAATTGCTTATACTGACCGTTGCATCAACCTGTAATACAGGCCTTTTCTGTAAAAGCAGAGGCTTGGTATGCCAGTCCCTCTCCGATACTGACCCTCTAGCCCACCGGCCTACATCCGGCCCTGGGCCCGAGTCCTCCAGAGGCCAAGATGCACTAAGCCCGGCGTCCGCATCTGCTTCTGTATCTGCATCTGGCACATCGGCCATCTCACCGTCGGCGCCATCTGAAGCTACTCGGCACAGATCCGAGTCCGCAGCCGTTGTACACAACGGTCTCGTGCGCCATCCCGTGCCAGCTCCTGGAGAAGGTTCCCTGGATCGAAGCATCAGCCTAGATCCACCGCGCCTGGAGCCTAATCAAGAAGTCGCCTACGCTCTTGAAGATGTCCCAGGCCGTACGGCGCACGCCATGGCGTTAGGCTCAGAGCAGGACCCTTACTTCCTCGACGCCTTTAGATCCGTGCTTCTCAGTGAGCGCGAGGGCATTGACGCCAACTTTGTGCAGGTCTACCATGGCGGGCCTGATGTGGATGATTACCCGATGCACTTCCTCCTGCTGCTTGACGAGTTCCCCGATCACAAGAACGAGGCTAGGCAGGTGGCGTCCGATGCGATAGAGCGCATCGTCTGGCCCCACGGCCCGGCCCTCGTCCGTCTTTATTTCCGGCACGTTCACGTAGGATTCCCCGTCATCCACAAGACTCGCTTCCTTCGGCAATACGCGACCGCCAAGCTTGACATACCCTCGTCGCTACGGGGCGCCGTTTACGCCTTGGCGTGTGTGTTCTGGAAGCAGGACGCAACGCTTGCGGGAATACCTTGTCCATTCCAGCAGCATGAGCTCACTAACAATGCCCAAGAAGCGTTGAGACGAGAGCTTGATGCGCCTAATCTCTCGAGGCTAATGTCAGCCCTGCTGCTGATGCACATGGTACCCCCAGAGATTGACAGCGTTGAGACACCGTATGTATGGGTAATGGCCTGTCAAGCCACAGCAACAGCGCAGATGCTCGGTCTGCACCAAGACCCTGACAAGTGGAACATAGCGCCCTGGGAGAAGAGGTTACGCAAAAAGCTCTGGTGGGCAGTCTTTTACACAGACTGCTGGTCAGCTGTAAGCCACGGTAATCCCCCGCATATAAGCTACGAGTCCTTCACGACTCCACCCCCGGACATGGATGATCTGCGGTCTGGCGAGGATATCCCTGACGATCTTCGCTATATGATCGATCCTGAGGATGCCACGTTCCGCGTGTCTGACGGTGCACGCTTTCTTGAGATGATCACTGTGTCTCGGGAGATGCGTGCCATCCTTGACTGCAGCTAGTAAGTAACATAACCATCGGCGTATTGATGACAGTGACTCACACGATCCAGCGGTGTACGATCAACTCAACAGACGCGTACTCAACTGATACCTATCCGAGACACCCTCAAGGAATGGCCCAGCCTCATCCCGAGCTGTTTGGCCGTGAGACCCTACGCCCATAACGGTATGTGACATGCATCTTTAGAATTCGCCGATGTCTAACACGAACCAGGACCCCTTCACATATCCTTCTTCGCTACGCAGGTGCTGCTCTTCCGGGGTCTAATGTTCCCAGCCACAAGAGCCGCAAAGGTCACACCAGGATCTAATCTTCAGCGATGGCTCTCCACCGCACTAGCAGAGTTCGAGCTCTTCACGACATTCATGGCGTACATCACCGAGGAGGAACTAACAAGCTTCTGGGGAAGATGTAAGTTTGCCGATCAAGATGTCACTCCGAAACAGTAACTAATGCAGTGCAGTTGCCCGAACGCAACTTATCTTGTGCGGAAACTTTCTGATCTATCTCTTCTTGCTGGCGAGTGATCCGCGAGATATCGAGGCTGCTTATCGGTTGTTGGAGAAGTTTCATCAGTCATTGCAGCGACTTGGTGCTACGGAGGATGTAGCTGCAAAGGTTTTCTTGCGACCTGTTATTCTGAGGATTGATTCGTTCTTCATGCAAGCTACAGAGCTGATCAAGCATGGAAGAACGGTTGTTCTGGAACCACCTGTCATGACAGTTCCAAGGGGTGAATCTTGAAAAGTTCAGAGAGTATAATTGGATATTAGAGTGCAGTCTTTTCTATCATAATGAATAATGACCAACTGAATCATACGTAAATTATCCTTTTTTTCCCGATGTTGCATCACAGTGATTCCGACCAGGATCCACAGCTATCTCATTAACTGTCAAAAGTGGCTTTTAATAAAACTCGGCGAAGTTTCTTGGTTTTCTCAAACTATCGAAATTTCATGCAAGCCCATGGCATAGAATCTGCACCATCGGCCAACAGTAAGTGCATCATGCAGAACAGAATTTGGTGGCTGATATCCGATCGGCGAGTCGGGGGATGGCTAGCCTCGGCACTACTCCACCTTTAGCGTTCGCCGATGCTATCGACTAGGATCTTGTGATATGTTTTTCTTCGTTTCGAGGTGATGATCAAGTTCCCCGAATTATCTTACATCAGATTGTTGCTTTGCATGCGAGGTTGGAAACTTGGAAAGTGTTATTGGTGAAATACCGACATTTGATGGTGCGGGGTTGGGGAGTTGGTGATATCCTCGGCTTACCGACCTTGCAGCGGGAGTTGAACTGATACGACATGATCCTTGTATTGAAAAGCGAGACTCGTCTGATTATACGATAACCGGTATAGGGAATGATACGCGTAATCATGCCTTCAACCACTTCAACACCTCAGCGGTGAACTGCTCAAAACCATCTACAAACGACACATGGCCAGCATTCTTGATAATCACCAAATCAATCTTGTTGCTCTTACCCGCCGCTTCAAACCCCTCTTGGATCTTATCTCTCATCTCCTTCATAGTCTCCGGTAGATTCGCATCCTTCTCGCCAACGATGCAAATCGCATCATCGACACTCGAACCAATCTTAGCAAACCTCGGTCGAAGATCAAAAGTCTCGCTTCTCAGTGCGTTACAACATGCTTCGAAACCATCGATCGTAGTTCCAGACATGACTGTCCGCATACGCTGTGTTTCCTGAGGGTTGTTCTCGAGCCACTCTTTGCCGAACCATCGCTCTAGTGTGCTTTGGATGGTTGAGTCCAGATTACCTGCTTCTCGGGCTGCGGCGACGCGAGGACCAAAGGTATCTTCTGTGCCGGCGTTTATGGGCGATGAAGAGATGGTGTCGCAGATGGCGAGCTTGCTTACAACGTTGGGATACTTGGTGGTGAAGTAGACACCTGCTGACGCACCCATCGAGACACCGATCCATGAGTAGACCTTGTTGATCTCCAGCTTCTTGAGAAGATGATGGACGTCTTCAGCCATAGAGTCAAACGTAGGGCTTAAATCCTTAGGTGCGGATGATCCGCCATGGCCGGGCTGATCATAGCGTAGAGTGCGATAACCATTGCTGTTGAGGACCTTGACGACGTGATCCCACACTGAAAGAGGTGCAGTGAGGGAATTGGACAAGATGATGAGGGGTCCTTCTTTTGGTGAGGAGTCCAAAGCGTAGGCCAACGTTCTGGAATCGGGGAGTGTCAAAGAACTAGCCATTCTGATGTTACTTCTCGCGGTAAGACAGCTTTTGTGGTAGACAAACGACGAATTAATACGACGACGAAACATGCCAAATGCCTAACGTTATACTGACGGAGAGGTCGTCATGTTGGTCCGACCTCGAGGCGTAGGGTAGCCGGCGGTCTTTAGTTTCTCCATCCCCAAACTTAAAAGGTAGCATTCCATTAGCGTCTTATTCCCACGCCATCTACGTATTCCATCGGAAGCATGCATCCGTCCCGCGGGAAAAGGAACCCCAGATCCGGGAAGCATCGATTCGATGAGTCCTTTTCCTCCGTAAAACCATGTCTGAATCTGCAAATGCGAAGCGTCGTCTGCGGCGCATCCCTGACGAATCCCGTAAGAGGAACGCTCAAAGTTGTGATCGTTGTCGAAAGGTGAGTATTTTGCTGTAAAGATGTCTTCTGAGTGATGTTGACTGCTTGTAGAGGAGGTGCAAATGTGTACCTGATCCTTCGGGTGTAGGCTGTATGAATTGTCTTGAACATAATGTCACTTGCTCGTATACAGCGCCACGAAAGACGCGTTTCTACGGGAGTGTGGATGACTTGAGTGATAGGTTTGTCTCACTTCTCTGGATGTTGTGTAACGTCGTTGACACCATTAGGTATCGATGTCTCGAAGCAATTGTCAGAGGCGCTTTTCCGAATGAAACTCTTGATCATGTTAGTGATCTTGCACAATTGGGTCAGAAGATGGGGTATAAAATGCCTGATGTTTCTGATCCCAACAGAACACATATAAGAGTTGAAGATCTGGTGCAGAATCCTTCTAGTAAAGAACGGACTCCGAGTACAGGCCCGGATATCATCACGGCCGATTCGAGGGCTGATACATCGCCGAGGAGTTCAAAGTCTCATAGTGAAGAACCGCAATCGTCGCTTGTGAAGGATAACTCTGGTCATGAGCACTATATCGGACCTTCAGGGACTCTGAACTTCTGGAATCAACTCAGGAATCTTGTTGACTCTAATAATAGCCCTTATCCATCGCCTGGTCGTGAAGGAGCCACCAAGTTTACGCAGGACAACACAAGTCGACTTTTGGAAGCTGATGGACAAGACGAAGATGACCAACCACCACGTACTGCAGCAACACCTCAAGATGGACCATCCCCTGGATCCATCACCTCTGCCATTGCGCGCGACTTTACACGTCTTCCAACAGCAGACATGGATGAAATCCTCGGCCAATTTCCCTCAAACGAAATCCTTGATCTACTTATCCAGTCATACTTCAAGAATGTTCACGACGACTTTCCTCTATTCCACAGAGCTACCTTTGAGGAAGAGTACGAAAGTTTCATCGTCGAAGCTCGCCGCAGTTCACGTCTTCCTTCGAGACCACTTCGATTACCGGACTGGGGTTGGATAGGCTGTCTTCATATGATTGTGGTATTTGGCTCTATTGCTGATAGGTCAATACCAAATGTTGATCATTCTGCTCTTCGACGACGATCTATTGCAGTGGCTAGGGGTCTGCTCCCTCAGTTTATCTCGAAGTGCTCACTTACGAATGTTCGAGTTCTGCTCCTTCTTTCATTATTTCTACATAACAATAATGAAAGAAATGCTGCGTGGAACATTGCCGGAACAGCTACTCGAATCTCCTTTGCCCTTGGTCTTCATCGCTCAGACATGAGTGCCTCCTTCAGACCATTAGAGAGAGAAGTTAGAAAATGGGTCTTTTGTACGCTCTACTCCTTTGAGCAATTCCTTGCTTCAAGTCTTGGTCGACCTAGTGGCCTTCAAGAACTCGACGTCGAAGTCGTCCCACCACGAGAAGGCTTTGTCGAAGGAGGTATAGGAACTGATGCAAGACTCGTATCATGGTCTGTCAAACTTCAAGCCATTCTCGCGCGAACAAGACTTCTGCACGTTGACATAAATCGAAGTTCAGGGCCGACGTTGGATGAAATCTTAACTGCGCTGAATGGTTGGAAGAGGGATATTGGAAAAGCGCCTGGTCTCGATGTCTCGTGGATCAAGATGGAGGGGCCGGCCCTGGAATCTATCGATCATGAAGGAGCTGTTGATATGGAAGAATTAAAGGTATCGTTGGCGCGGAAAACAAGAGCTCAACTTCGCGCCGTGTTACTTCTGCACATTCACTTTCATTACATCGCCATCGTGGCTACACGTCCACTTCTTCTTCGCGACGTTGCAGCAGCACGGAAAGAAGACGCACCAAAAACTCCGGTTCCTACACATGCAGCTCTATGTGTGAAGCATGCATGTCAACTGAGTTATCTGATGATACTCCTAGATCACTTTGATGTTATCAATGGTCTTTCTGGCCTTGATATCTTTTATGCCTACTGCTCTGCTATGATACTAATCCTGCGGTTATTGCGGTTACGACCTGGCGAAGGTATTGGACCAGATGAAGTAATGCTCCAGAGCAAAGTCCGACGTCTAGTCGCGACCTTACGAAATGTCATCAACCACACGGATAAATGCGGCTCAATGAAGAGATTGGCTCAAGTTGTCGATACATTCTCAGAGTGCGCCAACAATCCGACTGATCCTCCGGGTATAGCGAATTTGCCCCCGCAGGGAATCAACATGAACAATCCGCCGTATCCAGCTGGTTGGTCGGCTGAACAAGTACAAGCACAGCAGGGTCAAGGGATGGCACTTGGGTCGATGGAGGGACTATTAGACTTTTTGCCGTTTCCGGGGTTTGGGATGGCTGAAGGATCTATGGCGCAGTATGTGCCAGGGAGTGAGATGGAGATGACGGGATGGCATGATATGGAGTTTTTGATGGAGGGGTATGGGGATCAGAGCAGGATAAATTATTAGACGGTGATATGATACTTATGATAGATGTAATGATTGATGGAAGGATATGAAACAGTTCCAGGAGAAGTTGTTGAACCTGTTGATGTTTGGCGTAGTCAGCTCCAAACTACAGTAGCCATTGACGCTGACGGCGCGCCCACTTCGATTTGGTAGGGTGTTGACAGGGCTCGAATTGTAGTTTTGACAAAAAGAAATAGTTCCCCCTAACTATACTATGGATTAAGTTGGCGAATCTTATATTCGCAAGGGTGGGTTGGGAAAGACGGGATTCCGTGTCACATTGAAAACATAGTCATCTAACATGAACCTTCACCCACTCTCTACAGTATCTAATGCAGCCCAGGGTTTAGCTTGGGGAGAATATAAGCCGGACGAAGAAACTTTTCCGGAGGATTATTCCCGGAGGATCAACGGGACATGCACCATGACCTGGTTTAGGTAGGTAAGTAACGCCTTGAAGCTCCGATATTACCGAATCGGAGTTGCTTATTACAGACGAACCTATTGGGTTTCGGCATCTCAACACCAACTTACCCTCAGGTCAGATGTTTCTGACACTAGATGCGAGCGAAGGATTCACATGTTATAGCTGAAGCAATCAGGGTTAGAGCTCATTTAACCGAGTGGTAGGTTCACTGCATGGCCCCTCTTTGAAACTCCAACATAAAGACATATATTCCCCGCCAAGTCCAGCAGTAAGTTACTGCAGTGAAGGTAACCTTAATCGGCCAGCGACACAGCGCAGAATGACCAAAGCAATCGCATTTTTGATGACCCTTCTGGGCACCGCACTCGCTCAGATCGATAGAACATGTATCGATATCGCCTTCAACTCCGAAACAAATACGTTGTCGGGGAAATGTCAGCCTCGCGATAACTCAGGCTACATCCCTTCCGAGTTGGACCTCAACGACTGTTTCGGATACGACGGCACCAAAATTACAGTAAGTCGTCCTCGTGAAAGTAGTCTGATTCATACAAGCTAATTACTTTGTTAGCCAACTTATCATGGAAACTTTGCTGAAAGCTGTCACGGATGCGAGATGTTTGTAGCGCCTGATCCGTGGTATGGTGGTGCAGAGTACTGGATTGGGTGCATCTGTAAGGGACAGAGTGAAAAGGTCGCTGTCCCTCTTGGTGAGTTGATACTACGCATAACCGTTATGTGAGAAGATAGCTGATTGAGCTTGGTAGAAGCCGCTGTTGCGCATGAGTATGTGTCTAATAAGGATGGGCATTTGCTTTGTTAATGGAGAGGTTGTGCGAAAGTCCCGTATAGGATCTATACTGGGCTCATTGTTCGATATCCATTAAGAAATGGCCCAAATGGGGTGTTCGGTCAACGTTTTGATCGTTGGCAGCTTGTTCATGAAATCCCTGATACAGTGAACAAAGCAATTGCTTGAGTGATTCTTTGTCCATACAGCGAAAACGAATGCTGAAAGAAATGTTCAGATGCAACGGGATCGCAATCAGAACATAAAAGGTTTAATTTTCGGTCAAGTCAATGTACGGCCAATGTATAAGTAGCGATCTATTTGACTCGTAGGTTTTAGATTCATCATTCTTAGCAACGTACTCAATTCCCAATCACTACAACAAATACCAGCCCACATAATAAAAACCAACCAACACAACAGAAACCTACAACATGTCTTCTGATCAAAACCTTGATCAAACTACCGACTCCCTATCTTCTGATACGGAGATCCCCTAACAATCCCAACCAGTGACATTGGACCTTCTCCCCACCGAAGTCCTTCTCTAGATTTCAGGTGAACCCGGAAAAGACCAAAACACCATCTCAGCTCAGGATTTCAAGGGTTTATGCTTGCTCAGCCCTTCTCTCAACCAACTGTACCTCCCCTTTCACTATTCCGGGAATAACAACGGCACCTTCCATGATGCACTTAGAAGCGCTGATGTCAAGGTAATGGAACGATGCGCCCAGTTTGGAGCTGCACCTGATACGAGATGGGAACTATCTGAATCCGACGGCTGCCAATGCATCTCTGAGCGTCGGCATACCCACCACAGGCCTATTGATGAGCTACTGGAGTGCGTTTACTTAGGCGAAACCCCCATTGGCAAGTGTGTCGACGCTCTGAAGTGGCTTCTAGAGAGGAAGTTTGACATGACAGAGCAGAAAGATCAGCCCTGGTATGCAGCAAACGACTATTGCGACCATGTCCCTGAATTTCTGCTCATGATCCTGACCAAGAGTCCTGATCGTGTCCGCACAGAAGGCATTTGCCAGATGACCAAGATGCTGCACAGCCATGGTTACTCACTCCCTTTCCACATGAATTTTGATTCTTATATGAGTCGTAGCTGGGAAGATCATGGACTCGTACGCTCTATCACAGGGCCTCTAGACGTGGCTCTACGCTCTCATTGCCCACCTTATCTTCTTGAGCTTGTCCTTCGAGATTACATGCGCCGTCTCGTAGGTTTCGAGGTTACTTATGAGGAGGATTCTCATCTCATGCAAAGCTGGGCAGGGAAACATCCCTTCGCGGAACCTATCAACTTGTTGTTCGGAGGAGGAACGGAGGAAACAAGCTAACAAGCCGTAGTGGAAATTAACCAACGTACTGAGCACGATCTGGGGATTTCCCTAGATTTGATGGATAACTCTACGAGCTGGGCGGAAGTGTATCGCGGTGAAGCTGCAGATGTGTTTGAGCAGAAGATCGAGATTCTCATCGATTATCAAGTGCTCAACCAGCTTGAAGAGACCATGCTGAGAGGCATCGTGGAGGCTATGCGATCCATGACTACTCCTAAAAAGGCTAGCAGCATTGGTTTAGTCGATGATTTGAACTCTCAGCGCTGCTGGGGAACGCTGTACAGTGCGATCATCCCTTTGAGGACTACCGAAGATCATTGGATTTTGGACGACTGGGATCTCATTGATCCAGCCATTTTCCTTGGTCTTCCTCATGAATGCCATCGTTTCAACAATGACCCCGACTACAATGTTTACAAGATGTATCACGACTATCAGATGCAGAACGACCAAATTAGGTCGACGCTGAATCGTCCGTGGGATAGCGAGGGAGTTGCAAGGAGAGATGACAGAAAGTGGGTGTATCGCGAGTGGAGGCATGTGTTTCACAGCAACGATGGTACAGGCCTAGGAATGCTGGGAGGGGAGGACTATTGGAGATTACCCAGATGGACCCAGGGGGGCAGCTTCGCGGATATTGACAAGGCTGTATGTGAGCGGTGGACGGAACTTGATGGCAAGAAGCGCACCGCTCATGGCCTTTAGATGAGTGGGAAACAGGGTTCTTAATTACAAGTATGGGATATACTTGGAAGTTTTATCGATTCAAGTAGGTAAGTTTTCAATTATGCAATAACAGGGTTTCTTTGTTTTAGCCAAGGCATACTTGATGTGATGGCCATGGAAGCATTGTCGTAATGTATTTCCACTTTGATTGTAATTTGATGTTTGTGTAACCATCCTTACTTACAGGCTGTGTCTGCCGATTGATAGGCTCGCGTTTGACCACCAATATGGTGGCTTGCCAAGCCTCAATGCAGGACTGACGTGGCAAAAAGCCTCGCCGCTGGACGTCTATAATCTGACAGTCAATGAATGATATGCTCTATGACATTTCCCTTCCTTTCCAATTTCTAATTTCCTATCAGCTCTCTCAACCGCAACCTCTTCAATTGATTATATGCGATTGCATCAACTGACTTCGCCCGCCAGTCATGGATAAGTCACACTTGAATAATTACCGTATTGCAATCGTGGCGCCGTTACCGGAAGACTACGAGACAGCCAAAGCCTTATTGGACGAACCACAGCCTGAATATCATTTGACAAACTCGGGAGCTGCATGCTCTCTTGGCAAAGTTGGCCCTCACAATGTCGTCCTGCTCGGAAAAACTGGGAACATGCTCAATGTCTCTGTTTTTGTCAAAGCCACAGTCGACGAATTACTAGAAACCTTCCATTCTATACGAGCTGGCTTTTTGATTGGAGTTGATGCTACAGCACCCGAAGAGAGCCTTGCCAAACCAGGCGATATCGTCGTGGGATTCCCCCAAGGCTTTCAACCTGGGCACTTTCAATTCGACGTAGATGAGACAACTATTTCCAATCGCATCTCAACTACTTTTGAAATGAGCCATCCACCCTCTTGTATCAAATCTGTCATCAACACCATCCAATCTCCGGAGGGTCGCCAGCACTGGGGCCAATATCTGCAACATCAATCATCCCGAGCAGAGCTTGCCTCCACAGAGGATCAACAGCCGGTGGAACGGAATACTAGTAAAGCTAACAAAGTTCTACGGGGTAAAGTAGCATCGTCTGCTCGTCTCCTATATGATCGTGATTTGGCCAACAGGGTCGGACGCGACAGCAAGATCATGTGCTTCGAACGAGCAGGTGCCAGTATCAAATCAAGATTTCCTATATTGACTATCTGTGGCATACTTAGCTCTACAAGTGCCTGTTCACCAAAATTGAATGAATCTGCGCTACGTCAAATCAAAATGGCCACAGTCATTTATACTATTTTTGTCTCTTATCGAATCAGTACCCTCCAACTGGAAGACGAACATGCCTTTACAGATCGATTTCAATACGAGCCATTTGATTTGGAGAGTGCTGGATTTCGATTGGTACTCCTTGAAAAAGGCGTTCAATCTCAATTGCGGTGCCAACTTTGGCAAGCTTACCTCAACGACATAATCCCCTATGAAGCACTGTCATATTCTTGGGGAAGCCAAAGCACACCTCATGAGATCATAGTAGACGAGAAGACATTGTCAATCACAGAAAGCCTTCACGAAGCTCTCTGGCACTTGAGGAGACCTGACGAGGACCGGATGCTCTGGGTTGATGCTCTGTGCATTGACCAGAACAATATCAAGGAGCGTGGTCATCAAGTCAATCGTATGGGAGAAATTTATAAGAAAGCCGACAGAGTGATCATCTGGCTTGGCTATGTGAGCGGAAATGCTGTCAAGCTAAAATCTGGCATCGACATGTTTGAGAAGAATCTGCCCTTGAACGCTTTTAGCCAATGGCCGCGGGAAGACATCCGCTGGAAACAAAAGTGGAAAGAAGTTGAAGCTGGGCTCGGGGTATCCTACCAAGAAGAGCTGGTAGATGGTCTTCAAACCTTCATGAAGAAGCCCTGGTTTTCAAGAGTTTGGATCCTACAAGAAGTGGCCAATGCAAAACGGGCCACTGTGAAGTGTAATCTTGGGGAAATGTCCACCAAATTATTCGCCCTTCTCCCATATCTTACAGGTGTCGAAGTCAGCCAACAGTGCCAGGCTGTATTAGATATCATGCCAGGTGAGATGAGGCGCTCGTCCTGGTGGAACAAATCCCGAAACCTGTGTCACTTGCTGTGGAAATTTAGAGGGTGCCAGGCCTCAGATCCAAGAGACAGAGTCTACGCATTACTTGGAATGGCGACCGATATAAAAGAGAGTAGGATCCGGGCTGATTACGCCAAAGAGGAGCAAGTGGTAATGCAGGAATTGTATGCTTACATTTTAGGTGAGCAGGGTCCGGCCTATATTCCACTAGCGTCAAACATTCAAGCATTTCAACGAGGACTCCCAGACATTTCGAGGATAAAACTCCAGCAGGAGCTGGAGAGCACACCAAGAACAGATTTGCTGGAACAGTGTCTGCGCCGTCAGGGCTTGATAAACCAAATTAATGATGAGCATCTCTTGCATGTCATGCAACATGGAAGCAGTTTCATAAATCTGTTCTTGGATAAGAGTGAATCTCCGTTTCGGATCTCTTCAGATATTGGTTTGCAGTGCCTTCAGAGGTTCCCTGATGGATTTGAGATCCTGATGCAGAGGCCTGACTTTGTGATTCATCCTATGTCGGACTTCGTCGCTCAAGCTGGGGAATATCGGCCACAGATACTGGAACGACTCATTGCATCTTCTACTGATCCAGAACAATTGAAGGATGATGCTATTCTAAAGGCTATTCAACGGGGCCTACCGACATGCCGAGCACTGCTTGATAACTGCGGATCGGCTGTCAAGATATCCAAAGAGATGCTGAAGCAGGCCATGATTTCTCATCGAGATATCCTGCAGTATCTTCTGGCGAAAGCCCAATCTCCAATCAAGATGTTCGAAAATCTCTTGCTAGAGGCAACCCCTGAAGGCTTCCATATTCTTAATGGGGCCAAACAACCGGTAGTGATCACCAAAGAGCTGATTATCGAAGGCACTATGGCTGGTCCAGATGTTCTCCAGCTATATCTAGTCACGTTAGGAACTCCGATTGAACTGGAAGAAGATCTCTTTATCAAAGCGGTTGAGAACGGTCTGGACACATTGGAGTGCATACTCTCAAACTGTACAAAGCCTTTCAATATAACGAAAAGAGTTTACCGACAAGCAGTTAAAGAGGGCATTGAAACATTGTCATACCTCTTCCCAAAGTCGGAAACCCAGTTTAAAATCACAGAATCGTTTACAGCGTCCGCGGTTGAGTCCTTGCCAGGACGTGGCTGGTGGGAGTCACTTAGCGGATTCCAGGGAAAGGGGCGAAGTTTCGCTCGTAGAGTTATTGCACGCCGTGCTCTCGCGGACTATGGAAAGGAAAAACTACAGATCACAGACAAAATAATTTCCTTGGCCGGCGCTACCGAGACTGGTGAGATGTTGAAAAGGATACAAGAAGCAGAGCAAGACGTTCCCGAGGATACAGCAGTAAGAGCAATCGAAGATGGTCCCGAAGCTTTCACTGCGCTGCTCAACAAACGAGGTACAAACTTCAGGGTGACCCAGCGGATTCGTGAAGTAGCTAGCGGATATATGTATGCTTTTGAGGCACTGAGGGTAAAACGCCAAAGTGAAGTATTCCCAGACTCCGATATCGACTTACATAGTCTCGACTTACCTTCTCCCGACTTGACTGGTCTTGAATTGTCTGCTCCGGGGACGCCTAATCCTGAGTGGTCTGGTTTTGTCCAATCTGACCTTGAGATGGATTATAATGACTATCACGGATATGGTAACACAATGGCTTAATGAAATGTGTGGAAATTTTTCAATCGACAAGAAATTCTTTATCTTCCTCCCCAGCCTGACAACTCCTTGTGACATGCATCCCACCCACTGAAGTACGGTAATCTAGCCTCACCACCAACCTCAGAACCAGCAGATCTCGCGAGGTATTCCAAGATCATATTCCCCCAAAGCCAACTCGCCGCTCCCTTCCCGGGATGCAAACCATCCTGATACAGATTCCCAAGAAGATGAATCAACTTGGCCCACTCAAACATCTCATGGCCAGCCTGTTCCGCCACAGCCCTCCCCAAGCGATCCATCTCCATCATTATAGCATCGCCCATACCACTCTCCCTATGAACCGTCAAGGCCCTAAACATAATAGGAACATCTTCCCCAAACTCATCATTAAGCCTCTTGGCAATCTTCTTTATTCTCGCGGTCACAAAGCGGACCTCCTCCCAAGCCATCTGCCTGTTTTTCAAGGTCATAGGCTTATCCCCCTCATTGTGCATCGCCACGCCACCCTCCCAGAAAGCACGCTGATCCCAGAGTCCGTTCTGCCAGAGAATTAAATCAGGGCGACCGGAAGGGCCTTGGATAGGGGCTTCGTGGGGTTTCCAGAAGATGTTCCAACGTTCTTCCCATGCGACGTTCTTGAGGTTTTCGATCCACCACCAGTCTGGGCGGTAGGTGAAGGAGCCGACGGAATGGAGATATACTAGGGTGAGGTTTAAGGCGGGGACTTCGCAGATGCCTTTGGCTTGGCGGCCTGATTTGTCTTGGATGGGGAGATACATCTTGCTGTCGAACTCTTCGCAGAAGAATTGTGTCATATATCGATCGACAGAGTCTCCGAACATAACGACACGTCGGCCCCAAAGCCAGCCAAGACCATTGTCATCTTTCAGGTTGAAAAAGTCACTGACTGTTGTGTTCCTCGTCGGTGGGACAGTAGCTTCTGCTGCTTTACGTCGGCGTCGACTCTCAACGACAGCCATGCGCATCCATTGCTGTGGATTACCAGCGGCATTTAGGTACTCTGGTTCAACAGCAGTGTCGTTGAAGACAATCTCGTGCTCCGGTGGGTAAGCTGCGTACTCGGGTGGTTCCGAATTAAGGTAATCTTCGGTGAAAGGAATCCATTGTGTATCTCTATAAGTTTTCGGCTCTTTGGGTATATGAAGGTATCCAGGTCGACGATACGGATCTTCGCAATTATGTATAGGTTCAGGAGTGACTGTTGATACCGGTGTAGGTGTTGGTGTAAAAGAAGGAATGCTTCCATCTGTTAGCATGAGATCAACAGGGCAGATGCAAGACACTCACGTCGTTTGCGACGAGTCACAGTACTGATGTGCCTTTCGATGCGCAAACTCAACAGGCGATCGTATAGTATCAGAATAAAAAGTGAAAAGAACGACAAAGAAGAAAATACCCAGTGCGGCGAGAATCCCAACTCTCAGCGCAGGGCGCGACGGTAAACTTGCCGCGACAGCCATGACCGCGTGAGGAAGGGAAGAACAAGAGAAGATCACAGTCAATATGCGGGATGATATACTGTCACTTTTAAGGAAAACTGGATAAAGTGGCCCGCAGAAACTCCTGAATATCCATGTCCTGTCATCTCAAAGGATTTGCGGACTGTGTCTATACTGGGCTGTGCTTACGACCTGTTGGTTGAACGGATGTTGGTGGAAGCATCCACTGACATTTCAGCTTAAGTATTTCTGGGCTTGGCGAGACCCTTAGTTTTTGGATGCCGGTGTCAGATGCGAAATCCCGGGACCAGCCCTACATTTACGAATATCCTCCGATAGAGTTTTGCTTTGAACCAAGTGGAACACAATTGTTTTGATTTAGGTACGAGCTAAAGAAGGTGATCTTCAGGGCAGATTTGTGCTCGAGGGAAAAGCATCTCCTGATTGCATTGTGGAAATGAAAAGCTTACTGCTGACGACCAACGATGAAGTGATATGTGGAGACAATATGAAAGATGCAACCGTTTCCAGCATGGATGGGTTGCAGATCATCAGGATATTCGTCATATTGGCGATCCATAAAAAGACTTTTCAAGCTTTTGCCAACATCTTTGGACAGGGGTAGCCTGGGTGGCAGGGAGATGCTTGGTGATGAGGGGATTTTGGATTGGTCCTTGATCATGATGTGATGTTAGTTGTAGGTTGTCATTCGTAGAGAGCGCTCAGCTTCACACCATCACGTACTTAGAACTCGGGAATGTTTGCTCAAATGGTAACTGTCAGCATCAGCCGAAATACCGAAATGCAGGTTCATGGGCCATACAATCACAATCACAGTCCTATCTCGCTTGATTCGAAGGATGCATCCTTTTCGGGACATCCTTCACATCGTCTGTCATCCCATTTCATGATATGACTTTCAGTGTAAATGCATAACTCATTATACATTTCACAGCTCTTTCATAAAACTGCATATATGAGCACAAAACTTCCAAGTTTCACTAGTTGTTTCATCTGAAAACCGGGCCGGGAATAGCAATTTTTCTCTCACATCAGATAAGGATGGCGCGTAAGCTTTTTCCTTACCTTAATCTTAAAAAACTGGATTACTGGAGAACATCCAAAACTGACGACCCACCATTAGAGAAATGCTTCCAAGGACAATCAACTGCAGTGAAGGATAGATCACGAAAGTTGCGATTGGCTTTTGGGTCAGTTTCACACGTTTTGTCGGGTTATTGATTGCGTCAGTGAAGTCGCAGCCAGAAGCCATTGGATAAGGAAAATGCGCGAGTCAGTTGACCTCGCCTATCGGGACGGCATGACAAAGGCCCAGCAGCGTCAGTTGTTGGGCTTGCCATATAAAACGGTTGCTTGCTGCTCAGCGTTGGGCATATAACTCACACTTCAGCGGCAAAATCATCATTCAAAGATTGCTCCATCTCCACCAGGCATCGATGTAACAGCTGTGATAAGGTTGAGAGTTTAAATGTGGCTTTAGCTCCAACACAAAGGTAAAGAACGCAAATTAACATATATGGCAATGTAATCTTTGCCCGATGCAGTAACAATTGCCTGCATGTTGCGCAAGCAAATATGGCCTGCGGTGATGCAGAGGTTATCACGGCTCATAAGCGGAGGCGGGAAACGTCCCTTATTATAACTTATAAGCCGCATCTGCCAAAGCCTACTTCAAAAGACGATGCCACAGGGTAGGGAGCTATCGATAAAGATGCTAAATCTTATACGCGTATAGAACGTGAGGTGGGACGAATATGAATACCAGCCAAGCCTCAGCTCCCGAAAGCCACCGTCGCTTAGCCATACCGCCCTAATACTGAAACGCGGGAACACCCAAATAGAGAAGTTCTCCCTGTTTCAAAACGGACATTAAAAGGCCCAACGTTTCTAATGTTTCCAAGCGCCATGCAATTGACCAATTGCGTTGAACTCCTTGTTACAGGTGTGAATTCTTCCGCTAATAATATTCCGAGTCTTTCATCTCTATTAAGCATATCTCAACGAAACATTGGCGAGTATACGCGGGATGGTTTTTCAAGATAATGGACGGGTGCTTGGCGTTTGTATTAAAACGAAGTGTTTGGTCGTGACCTGTGCCTTTGTTCTTGCTTCAACTACACTCGTTCTTTTTCATTCGTTAGACATTGAATGTCACTACATTTCACTTGTACCTTTTTTTTTATCTTATCTGATTCTTTTATAATCTGCTAGACGCAAGATGTCTTCCTCCATTCTTTTCGCTGCCGGCCTTCTTGTCGGCGCCGCTCAGGCCTACACCCAAGTCAACGTTGCCTCTCCCTTTATGCTCAAGAACATCGATCCAATTGTCTTCCCCGGCGAGTACAGCAAGTCTCATCTTCACTCGTTCTTCGGCTCCGATGCCGTCACCGTCAACACCAAGACCAGCGCGGAACTGCAGAAGGGCTGCACCAATGCCGAGAACCCCAACGATCTTTCCGTCTACTGGATTCCTACGCCGCTCTACACCGCGGATGGAAAGAACTTTGAACCTATCCCTGTTATGCGCTTCAGTGCGTATTACAACCTTGGCGAAACACCCGCTGAGGTTCCTATTCCTCAGAACTTGAGAATGGTGGCGGGTGATGCCAATGCGCAGACTCAAGCCGATATGCCAGCTGATGCCAAAGTGGAGTGGATGTGCGAAAGCGAGGCTGTTCCTCTCGGCGCCAACGGTTTCCCTACTTCAACCTGCGGCACTCATCTCCAGCAACTCCTCTACTTCCCCCAGTGCGTCAACGAACAAACCCTCGAAACAGCCTACAAGTCCCGCGACTACGGCACTGCCAACTGGTGTCCTGAGGGCAGCAAGTCCATGCCCCAGCTGCGCTTCAGCATCCGCTACGATCTCCGCAAGGTCCTCCCCAACGGTTGGAGCGGCGAGGCGCCGTTCAAGCTTGCGTGCGGAAATGCTTTCTGCTCGCATGGTGATTTCATCAATGGCTGGACTGAGGAGGCGGCCAAGAACATGGTTGCTACTACTGCGGATAAGCGGAAGTTTAGTGCCGTTGAGGGTGCGCTTGGAGATCCTCATGCTGGACCTACTTGTGAGGCTAAGGATGCTGATCCGGAGCATGGCACTAGTGACTACAATGAGAGCGTGGCTGTTATGAACAAGCGGGATGTTTCGGCTTGGGGATGGAAGTCCAAGGCTCGTGTTGTTCGCGCTTAGGTTGATGCTTCGTGGATTGGGCTTATCAAGCTACTAGCTCTGATCGAGATCTATTGGACAGAGAAAACGTATCTTTCATAGCTTGTACATAGTTACATGTGAATAAACCTGAGTCTTTTAAACAATATTCCTTTCCATATAATTTTGCTTGTTCTCATGCTGGGGTTGATGATGGAATAACCTTGTTAAGTGGCGGTACTGCAGTTCGTAATAAGATTTTGAGCTACGATTGTTTATTCTTTAGCATCTGACTTGATATCTTTCGCTTTAGGTCATTCGTATCAATTTATACTAGACTTCCCGTTTTGCGTGGCTGCTCGGGATCTCTAGCCGCGTTAAACATGGGCGTTCTAAAATGGGTAGTTTTCCGCCCCTCGCCCAAATCAGTCGAACCCCTCCAAAAGGACGCCAATCAAGTGTATCATGCTAGAGACTATAGATAAAAGCATGCCAATTGAACTTTCCCTTCATTCTCACTCAAAGATCAATACCTCAATCATACCTCCTCTCACATAATTCACCATGCGGTCAAAACGAGTCATCTCAATCGTCACATGCCACGCAGAAGGCGAAGTCGGCGATGTCATCATCGGCGGCGTCCTCGACGTACCAGCCAAAACAATGCACGATAAGCTCACATACTACATGGCTGAGCGAGATGATCTTCGACAGCTACTTCTCCAAGAACCTAGAGGGCGTTTAGAGATGAGCGTTAACTTGGTCGTCCCGCCGTGTCGACCTGATGCAGACGCTGGGTTTCTTATCATGGCGCCGGGAGATTGGGTCCCCATGTCTGGATCGAATTGTGTCTGCACGACGACTGTTCTTCTCGAGACAGGGATCGTACCCATGGTTGAGCCTGTTACTACTGTGAGGTTGGACACAGCTGCGGGATTGGTGGTTGCGACGGCGGAGTGTGAGAATGGGAAGTGCAGATCTGTCTCTTTTGATAACGTCCCGGCGTTTGTTTATGCTCTTGATAAAGAGATTGCTGTCCCTGGGCTCGGAACTGTGGTGGTGGACATTGCGTATGGAGGACAGTGGTATGTGCTTGTCAAAGCAGAAGCTCTGGGTCTCAGAGTGGAAACAGTCAATGCAGATCGTCTCATTGATTTCGGCAAGAGATTGAAACAAGCGGTCTTGGCGAACTGCATGCCCACGCATCCTGAGAACCCGGCTATCTGCGGAATCAACAACGTCATCATCACAGAACCGTTAGAGAACGGACAAGAAGGCAAGACTGTTAAGCATACTGTTGTTGTCACACCCGGAAGATTGGATAGAAGTCCTTGTGGAACGGGGAGTTCATCCCGTCTGGCTATTCTGCATGCGAGGGGCCTTATTGAGGAGGGAGAGTCGGTCAAATTTAGGAGTATTATTAATACGGAGTTTGTGGGGAGGATTAGAGGGACGACGAAGGTTGGGGAGTTGGATGCGGTGCTTCCGACTGTTAAGGGGAGGGCTTGGATTACGGGGGAGAAGAATGTTCATCTTGATCCGGAGGATCCTTTTCCCACTGGGTTTCTACTCTAGATAAAGAATTACGACAGATACCAATATGTATTTTGTCCATCAGTGGTATTGTTAATAGAATGAGGGGATAAAAAAAGCGTCGTCTGCAATTTCGGGTTGAGAATCGATCGTTTTTATGAAGTCCTTTGCAGTCTTTAATTGCGGTTGGAAATTGGAAGATTTATACTCATACGCATTTTTGAGTTTAATTCATTGAGGCTGAAGCGCAAAGACTTTCATGAGAAATGTAATTCATTGTAAATAATGCGCTGAACAACAGTACTTGAAGTTGACCCTCACAGCTTCGCCCGAGTCTTATCAGTGACCTTCTCAACAAGCTCTACCACTCCCTCAGCACACCCATAAGACCCCATATATCCCCATCCCGAATGCCCATAATTATGAATAACCCACGTCTCATCATCCAACTTCTCCTCCTCCAGCCTCAAACCCCCCTTCCTGTAAGGCCTAAACCCAACACCATGCCGGATAATACTCAACCCAGTAATTCCCTTCCCACCAGCAATGTCAGGACAAAGATCTACAATTCTCTGCATGATTCGATTCGCGGTATTAGGATCAGGCTGTGTATCCCAATTCCCAATCTGATACGTCCCGCCGATGACGGTACCGCCACCTGCTGCTCTCTGCATAGCGTAGATCTCCTCACCGCTTTCGTCGAGGGCGCTGGAACACATGAAGAGTGGTAAGTTCTTGGGTGTTTCGTTGCGAACGAGGACGATTTGACCCCGTGCTGGTGCGACGGTTGTGTCTTGCACGCCTCCGAGCTTTAGAGATCCGAGACCAGTGGCGTTTACGATGATGTTAGCTTTTTCTCCAGTATGGCTGAGATATTTGGCTTCATTGATGTGAGTTAGTATAGCGCGCTTTACGACGACGCCGTATTTGAGGCATTGGCCGAGAAGCCAGGGGAGATAGATGGCTGTGTTGATGCAAACTCCTTGGTATTGGAAGCCAGAGTCGTAGCCTGTTGCGACTTCGGATGGATGGTTGTTTCGGAAGTTGTTGAAGATTTCTTTGAACCATGGGTTATCGGCGTAGAAATGGCCTGAGAATCCAGATTTGGCGGACTCTGTGTCTTTGTTCCGACGAAGGACATGCGTTGCTGGCGATGTTAGCTTGTTTAAATACTATAACTTATGTCAAGAACTTACTCTGAAAATGAATGCCCGCCTCAGGGGTCTCCTCGACAAGTTTCTTTAAGGCGATCCATGTTCTTCGTTCCCAGCGACTTGCGTCCTTTGGTGATAAGCTTGATAATGTTAGTACAATGGTCTTGAAAGTAATTCAGTGCTTGGCTTACGGAATGACATTGGCTCCGGCCCATGGTGAGGCATACTCGGCATCATAGTCACCTGGCATATGCTTGCCGACAACGGTGACTTTGTTACCCTCCTTGGCCAGCAACAATGCTGAGGTGAGGCCAATTACACCAGCACTAGATATCGTTAGCTGAAGTTTCGGTGCTGTCGATTGAATATCTTACCCGATAACGACAACGGTATTTGCCATCTTGAAAATTATATAATTTTAGAATATTATTTGAGGAAACTATAGAGATTGTGATATTTGAACTATAGCTTAGAGAACGTCGAATTTAAATGATAGCTATTCATTTGGTTACATTGTAACTGATCACTTGTGATTGGCTACTTCGCGGATGCATGCCTATCTCGACAGAGTGGAGCTATTGGTATGTGAACTGTTTCCCAAAGAGTATCTGGGGTAGACTTGTTATCTGCAAGCACTAATTCAGTGCGTAGTGAACCCAAAAATAGTTCATTCTCGCGCTGGCTTGCCAAGTTTAACACAGAGAACTGTCGCGTGACTGATGTGAATATCGCATCGTGTTCTAGACCCAGGCCTCAGGGGGAAGGGAAGCTTCTGACCTCGAGGCGAGGTGCCAAAAGACACCTGGTCTAAGGCCCATTAATTCTACACTAAACTGATACTGAATTAACCTAAGTCTTTTTTTCACTTTAGAATAAATATCATGCGTTGTTTTGTCTCCACTCGCCAGGACAAGAGAAGCCTTCCCGAAGTACCTAAAGGTAATTCAGTGCAAGACGTCCCGCCGATCAAATGCACCATATCAAACTCCACAGTTCACTGCTCTCCACTCCAACGCCCTTCATCTTTTGGCTAACCTGGCTCATCGTCTTCTGAGATGGCTACAACGCCGAGATACAGAATCGAATCGATCACCACAGGTCTCCGGAGCGGTAATCATGGTGCACTCTTCTCCGTCCGCCGGAATGGCAAGGCGTTCTACATCAAGATCTCACCGACAAAGTTCATCAACTCTCCCAACATGACAGCGAAGTACATGGCATACCTTGAAGTCCTCGAGTCAGGTGAGGAGGTCATCGGCGACATATATGATACCGACGCCTACGAATGGGTCATGGCCCCATTTGAGTCTCTCCTGGTCGAGCTCGCACCTCCTCCGGAATGTGATCTAAAAGACATCAAAATCACCCTACACGAGCATCAATTTCCGGAGTTCTTTGTCTTTGAACTAGACATCATTGACGAAAAGTTATGTCCTCGACGTGTTGTAGCGGAGACGTCACCTGTGCGTCCGTCTTTTGTAACCTTTGATGATGACTTTCTCGATGACTTGGAGACTTGGACTGCTCTCTACGATCACGCTGGAATAGTTTTAAGTTTCAAAGATCCTGAGGATGCGCTGTTCAAGCCGCCAAATAAGGTTCTCATCGACGACTGCCGGACTGAGTGTTTCTTTAAGCCGTGCAACTCCGGCGTTCAGATCAGGCGCGAACTTGGGACCTATAAAATGATTCACGCGGCAGGTTTGGACTCACAGTTCAACTTGTGTCACCTTTATGGCATCGTCATGGATGAATATGACTTCATCCTTGGAATTTTGCTAACTCATATTGATAACCGAGGTTGTCCGCTCTCAACCAAGATCGCTCTCAAGGAACATGAGGATCCTCCGCCTGAAGTGAAACAACGGTGGATGGACCAGATTGACGCTGCTGTTTCTGGTTTACATGACGCTGGAATAATCTGGGGAGATGTCAAGGCAGAGAACGTATTGATAGATCAGGATAGTAACGCGTGGGTTACTGATTTTGGTGGCGGCTATACTAAGGGCTGGGTTGATAAAGAGGTGGCGGAGACTATGGAAGGGGATAGAATGGGTATGGCGAAGCTAAGAGAGTTTGTCTTTCCAGCTGCATCAAAGAAAGGCGGAACAGTATTGTAAATTCTCATTAGATTCCAAGGATTGCAGAGGGATATACGACGTTTAGGCAACTTCAATGCTCCGACAAAGAGGCTTACGCGACATTTGTATCCATATCGCCGACTACTGTCCTACTCTCAAGGTTCATATACAATACCTCAACTTAGAATGATAATTAATTCTTCCTTCAGCACCTAGTCAGCTATTGCAGCCTCCCATATCCTTTTCACATAATCATCCTCAGAGAAGTCCAACGGCCATGCAATATTCAACAACACCCTCTTTGCATCCTCCCACTTCGCCAAACCCATATCTCGACTCTGTTCCTTTATAATACTCTCGAAAAACGGCTTCAAGCCAGGTTCTCGCTTCATATCCCCTAGTTTCTCATGCAAATAAAGACTAATCAATCCCAGAAACGATTCCCAGAATAATAGCTCCGCAATCTCTGGCGTATTTGGTTTCTGAAGCGCAAAGGAGAGATCACGTTGGAATATCCTCATGCTACAGAGGTATATCTCCTTTGTGAAAGGGCGCCATAGAACAACTACTTGTTCAAGGAATAACTCTGCTGCGATGACCAATCCGCACCATGAAGTCTTTTGCTCAGAGTCTGAAATCGCTTCATGTTCATGATCGGTTGATGAAATGGAGGTTTGGTGCGATTCAAGAACTGCGTCGTAAACTCTAGCAGCTGCACCGGTTCTCCAGAAATCATCGTGTATCTTTTGAGCTTCTGTGAGATTATAGAATTCATCGGTGACTTTACGGAGACTGTTCACTATTGACGCACTGTAGACGTCAGAGAGCCTTGCTCCGATTTCAGGCAGTATAAAGAATGTTGAGAAGAGGCGTATGGCTTTAAGCTTGAGACAGTGTAAGTAATGGCCCTCTGAGTTGTACCATTTGTGGATGAGACGCATGGGATTGGTGACGGAGAGACTGTTCTTGTCTTGTGTTGAGTCTTCGGCGCGGAGGATGCCATGGAGAACGGTCTGTACGCCGTGGATGAAGGTGGAGGTTCTGGGAGGTTAGCTGACGCCAGGTTTAGTCTGAGTGATAAATACTCACAATAGAAAATAGCGATCAGATAGCTCTTGGTCACGAGTCTTGCTATTGGGATTCGACGGATCTGCTGTCCGGCATGGTAGAGCGTAGATGACATTTAAATGCTTTTCTGCCATTTGCATGTCACCACTACAGAACTAATAGTGACTTAGTACGTCCGAAACAATGAGCGACGTTCATTTGCCATACCTCTGTATATGCCAGGGTGGCAATCTGTTTGGTGATGGCAGCTGAAAGGGTGAGATCTCTAGTGGAAAGCCATTTTTTGACCAGTCGCACGGTCTCAATTCTATGCAAGAGGAAAGTATGCTCAAATGCTTCGAGGCTGCCGACCTTGAATGTAAAATGAGTGGCTGCCATCAAAATCGCATTGCGGAGGGCTTCGGGATCCGATATGGTATATGACATGCTATCAAGGTTAACTATTGGTTGGAAAGACGACACGGTTAGACGTACCAATCTTTGTGTTGCTCTGTGAGAGATGTGACAAGGGTTTCACCGTAGACAAAAGGGCTGTTAGTAGTGATCTATCGCTCATGGATGTTGGGACCTACAGTAATTGAAGAGTTCATGCGATTTGAGGGGCATGTCAATGGCCACGCAGTCCAACGTCGTTGCAGAGCTCGACAAAATAAGCTGACGGACCAGAGCCTGGGTGTTAGGCACCTCAGGTCCCTTGGAAGAACTCGGAGCCTCCCAGGGAACATGTTCCCACGGCTGAGTTGCCCCAGCCTTCTCCAGCGCCCGTCTCTCCCTCAGTGGTATCTTGACAGGTGGGTATTCACATGTTCTCCTACTATTAACGCAGTTCTCACTGTCAATTTGCACAGTCAGCTTTTCTCTGGGAAACAGCCTGGGTTTTTGCTGGGATCTCACCATGTGGGACGCTGCTCGCCACACCGCACCCTGCGGCTGCGGCACTCTGAGCAACCAGTGCGGCTTCGCGTGTGGGCGCGCCGCTGTCGGACTTTGCCTTTGCCCTTTATTTCGTCAGTGGCGTGACCGGTCATGGTTTTGTGTGGTTTAATTGCGCGGGCGGTTTCGGTGAGGAGAGAAGAAGGATGGAGGTGATCCATATTACATGCGTGTTGTAAGCACTAGACAGGGTTATTGATAGGTGGGGATGTTTGGGCCAAGGCCTGGTGTTAGGACACGACTTGATTGATTTATGCCGGGATGTTGCTTCAGGGGTGTTGTGCGTGGAGAAATACCTCGTCTAAATGTCCGGAAACGTTGAAAGGGGTATTGCAATAACATCAGCCTCGAAAGATGAATCCTCTTTGGGATATCTTGACGAAACATGTGCATTTTCTGTTAGTGCTGCGCAGGGAGCCTGTTAGAGACATGGAAAAAGTATTGAGGGATACGAGCAATTGCATCTATCAAGGTTGAAGAATTATGGCCATTCTTCTAAATTTAATATCAAATTATAAGGCATAAGTATCGTTGTATGACAAACAAAGTGATGATCTATAAATACAAGCAAGAAATAATTGAACTAATCAGAATACCTCTCGTTTTTCCCTTTCAACCCTATTTTCAGCTTCCCCTAGCCAGCCACTACCCAGCCTGCTGAAACTCGGCTATCATCTCTCCAAGACTCCTCCGAGTACCACGAGACAATATGACAGCAAACCCGACGCTGCCGAACTCTCTACTATCTCGTCATTAGAGTTCTTTCTCGTGGCCTGGCGTCTTCATCTCTAACCACAGTCTCTCAACAGCAGCCACAAACTCATTGTAGTTCACCTGGTCCCATTTTGGCAGTGATTTTAGTTCTCGCCAGTAGCAGTGACGTATCTCAGCGCAAGTAATCCACTCAGAATCATATCATTTTCTATTTCTCCGCTGAAACAACCGCCATGACTAGTGCTTCATCCAAGGATGAGATAGATTGGCTCTGTGCTTCGGACTTTGCATTTTGTAGTCATGCCACACCATCCATGGACTCTACTCAGCCTGAAAGATAAAGGAGTGGAGTCGTCTATTACGTTCTGCGTCGGACTTTGTCCTGAGTAACAAATGGTTCGTCAAGAAATTCCTATCTTTCAGTTGGTAGCATCGCTCCATTGCTTCCATATCTACACACCTGAGGGCGGAGTGAAAGGCAGCGAAGTTGTCGGCACAATAATATGCTTGGCGTAGCTCGTGAAAGAACACTCTACAACTTAATGCCAAGCTCTTGAAGTCCTTATGCGATAGGATCTGGGCCTGTTCATCCTCCCAGGCTCACCTGTGATATTGAGCAGAACTTCAACAGGGAGGAGAGCCAGCTTCCCTATTGTTGAGGCCGCGAAGAATTTATCTCTACAGATGTAGAATGGGAGACTTGTTCGAGATCCCGGCTTGACATCTTTGCGTTATACGATGATGTGTGATTTGTTGTATATCTTCTGTGTTAATTGTGGATTCATAACAAAACTCTTTGGACTCATTGTACTCGATTAGGTTCGAGGGAATATGGCCTGAACTTACATTCACGCTAGACCAACTTCATTGAAATCATCAAGTGCTGCTTATGATGCGTCTAGACCGAAAAGCCAAAACAAAGTCGCCCGGCCTAAATCTTTCATGGCTCAACGTACATGAAAGAGCAGGCATCTGTGCTTGTCTTTCATGAAGCTTTCCTCTTGTTTACTCAGGCCAACAATGTCTGCGCAGATGGGTGGAAACAACTGCGAGGCCGCTTGTTGGTGGTAATGGCAACAAAGGACCCGAAGCCCGAGCACATCGCTCTATTTTAGTATTTTGAACAAATCTCGATTGAATACACGGGATGTCCGAGGCCAAGTCTGGCATGCAGTAAAGGCAGACTAGTGTCTTTGTTATCCATGCGAGTCTTAACAAAGCGTCCATCTAAGCCGCAAAAGTAATATTGATCTTCGAGTCGCCTTGAACAGAAGTATTCCAAATAAGCTATTATTAAATTCAATACTGTAGAATATCGTTTTTCATTGCTTGTATTTCAGTAGCCTGAGGCAGGGTTCCAACGTACTGTTTCAGATGCTAACTGCAAACTCATGGTTAAGGCAAGGCTTACAATGAGCTTCCAGTCTTGGGCAACAGCCGAAAATAACCTGTCTATCTCATATCCCAGTTCTTCCATGAGTATTCTGGGGCTTGAGCCAGTGTATGGTGTGTATAGCGGTTCATAAGCTTGAATTAATTGGAGTTTTCAGCGTGTTGGCTTGGTACATCCCGTTGAGAGGTCATGAGCTTTAATTATCAGTCGACTTCCCGCCAACTTTCCATCTTTTTTACACGTAGATACCAAATCCTCCGCAGATTCCAATCTTTGTCAAGCCCCACCCGGGGACGTCGACGCGTCTTCTCCGGAAATTCAGGCTCGCTCTACTCGTCGTACAAACATGTGCTCATAGGCTCAGTTGTTGTCGCTAGATGTTTAATATCCTTGCATAGCGTGATAAGGCGTTCTTTTCCGTTGGCGTCAATGGTGCGTGGGCTCAGCATGACCATTCTGGCGATTCATCGGAGAGCTTCTAAAGTTCCATAGAATAAGGCTGGCTCAAGCTTGTCTATGGCACCGTAGCGCACGAGAATGCTCATCTTTGCTTCCCAAATGTCGGCTGCCTGCCCTCTGTGGTCCTCTCCAACCAGAAGAAGGTTCCATGAGATCAACATAAGGACCTGATAGTACACCTGTGAAGTCTGTCTTGGTGGATCACGGCTCGTCATCTCGGTCATCGGGGTGAAAGTTCCTTGAGCATTACATCAATCCTTCAGTGCTGATGGGGGTGCCCAAGTATCCAGTCCCAAGTCTGTCATGAAAACACCACGCTTAGTGTACTCTTGAACAAGAACGCGCAAGACAATGAGCGGACAATGCGACCGAAGCTCAATGGCCATAGTAGTTAAGTGCCATGCCAGATACGTATTCAAGTCGCCCAGAATAAATTCAGGAGTTAATTCATCTTGCTCCTGTCGCTTTGCTGCATATGCTGGGGCTCGTTCGGGATTCATGCGAATCGGGATCGAAATACCCTAACTACTCAGAAATCTTATCATTTTGCAGACTCCGTTCATTTTATTTTCGTTTCTTCCCCTCAGCAGAAGTTAAACAAAAAATTCCGGCATCATGGTGGTCATTGTTGACAGGACTAGGATCTCGAGGCCAATCATTGACCGGATATCCCTTCCAGCATAGCCACATGCGAGCATTCGGATAGTTCTTTTCCAGTTTCCTTTAATTATGCCAAATAGAGGAATTTTTTAATCGGCCTATGTGTACGGTGCTTCATAAGCGTGTTGCGGCATCGGCATTTCACATGTTTCTTTTCCTAGACCATCAAGACATTCAGATTGCCGAACTCTTGGTTACGCTCCATTCTTGCGACGTCTAGAATCTTGAGTCATTTCCGGAAATCTGTTCAGTCATGCGCTTGGTAATGTAATGGGCGAATGACTTTGGGGAATCCAGCTGGAAACAAGGCCAGCGATCGACGGTTGTTGGAGGCGGGCGTATCAATACTCTTGCCTATCAAGACAATCAACTCATCGGGGAGAAGCTCCAATACTCCGGTTTGATTCGGGCGTTTGTTGGAGGGCTGTGCGATGGAATGATGAGCATCCTGACGGGAGAGGGAGGCAGGGACCCATGGTGATGGATTTCTTTATGGGACGCCAATAGGGCAATCGAAGTCACATATTTGAACTGAGTCGAGTAGTGATGTGAATAAGAGAGAGAGACAGTGACGTCCTAAGTACACTGTTCCAGTATCGATTTACTACTGTGTAGTGTCGAACTGGGACTGCGTTCATTGTTGTTCTCACGATTCCAGAACAATGTGACTTCTACCGGGAACTTGAAGCCGGGTTCTGATCTCTTTGTCACATTAGGACAGGGACCCTGAAAATGGAAGCAAACGACACTCGGATCAACCGAAATCAGTGAGAGGCAGACTACAAAGACTCAACAGAATTGGTGCGTGAAAGGCTTTCTCATAGTTATAAAACACGTTCAATTAGCCTTGATTTCGAGATGTCACCAATAACCCCAGCATTCACACTCGTTTCAACTTTACTTCTACAAAATTATCAGCAAAAACGCTGCACATCATTCTTCTACTTTCTTTACCATGAATTCCCATTCCTCCACCCAGACTCAAAGCAAACTCTGCCGCCTCCCTCCAGAGCTCCTGCTGGATATTCTGGACGCTACTAGAAAGTACTCAGACAAGATCAGACTCGTCAGCACTTGCCGGGGGCTATACGGTCTCCTCATTCTATTCGTCTACTCTGAAGCCGGTAGACGGCTTAGATGGTTGCCAATGTTTGACGCTGCAAAGCGTGGCAATTGTCGCACACTTGCCAGATGCATAGAAGCCGGAGCACCTATTGACTACGAGGATTCTGAATTCCCTTTTCGTCCTATTCGTCCTCTTCAAACAGCTATCGCGTTCGCTCGGCCTCTCACCGTCAAGTGGCTTCTTGAACATGGGGCAAATCCGAATTCTACGAGAGACGCCGATAGAGCCTCTTTCTCATGCCCTCTTGCACAGGCTCTTGGGTCTATCCTTAGACCAGGACTGTCCTTCAAGTCTGTACCTTATCAAATGGAACTTAGATACTGTAAGGTTCCAAGCCGCAAGCATTATGTGCGTAATAATCGCGAGATTATCAAGGCCCTCCGTCAAGCGGGTGCCGACGAGCAGCCCCTTGGATACCTTGAACGAAGCCATCTGGATGCCATTGAAGCCGGGGTTCACTGTTGTTCTCATCACAAACCCCGTCTCTGGTGCCCAGATTGGTAAAGGCACGTCTTGATCCTTGACTTTGTGCGTTAGAACTACGGAAGATGGGTTGATTTGTCTTTTTCTTCGATGTTTCTCTCTACGCTTTTCTTCTTTATAGTTTATTGACTTTGGTACTAGTTCATCATCGGTTTCTTTTTATTTTAGAGTTTTCATATTATCTCTTTTGTATAGTTTCAGTCATATTTCTTGCTTTACATTATTACGAAGAATAGTATTACAATTCTTTCTAACTGACTGCCCCAGTTTCAACTTGAAAGACTATAACTTATTAACAGAATACCATAGGTTACTATCACTGTGGGCTTTTTAACTTCCGCTCTACACTTGGGGCCTGACGAAAAGGCAGAATCATACGAACGACAAGGCTGATGTTGTATTGGGGGTTAGCCCAGCTCTCCAGATTGGTCAGAATCAAACCACTGAGCGTCTGGGTAGGTAGCTTGATGAGTGTCATCCTGGATACAACCTCACTTTTAACCCAAAATATGCTACATCACCGTTATTTAAATCTATTAGTTTCTGTATCTCATTAAGCCCGTGTATGAAGATTATTACTTCCAGATTGCTGAATCTTAAAATCATTACAAATGAGGGGTACGGGCTTACAAGTATCTATAAGACGCGTATGGATTGTCCGCTTCAACTTGGGACGAATGTTGGAACATCAATCTGAAGACATCATGATCTCAGGTGGGAGGGTAAGGCCCAAAGTCAATGACGTATTGGATCAGCGCCCCTTAATTTCGGCTCTTCGCATCTATCCCGCCTCCAAATGCAGCCAAGCAGTACCCACGTCCTGATGCCAGGCCTCCGTATTCCCACGGAGGTTGAGGGTCGCGATTGAGTTGGCCTTAGTAAGCTAGACCTGACGCAGTCAATTCAATTGGGCCAATCATGGCACTAACTTAACATCTAAACTTTGAAGATTTGGAAACTGTAACCAAGTTAGTGAATAACTAAGTAGTTACATAGAAGAAGCATATGGTATTGGCAGCATAGCCAGGCTTGACTTGATAAAATGTAGCTGACATTAGCTTTTCTTGAAACTCTCCTTTTTGACCAAGTTCGGAAATTATTATGGTGGTGCAATTACTCACCATCAATGTGATATATTACAAACCGGGAAGCCCGGCACCTCCCATCAATCAACTGGCTGATAAGAACAGGTTTCAGCTCAGGCTGCACATCTAATGCAAATTCTTATTCGTATTCATATTTATACTCATATTCATACACATAGGTCTTTGCGTGAGCATCACAAAAGCATTGCTGAAGGGAGATCCCGATGCACTCAACAGCGACTCGCCTCTCGCGACAAACACTCCAGCATCCTTCACTTTTTTCTCTACTCGTTCCATTCTCGCTGCTAGTTAGGAATGATCTCAGCAAACCAGGGAACCTGTGCTGCGTCCAATCTGGGTCAGCTTGCACCTGGATATCGCACTATACCAACTCACGGAACTTGGCTGCACCGATCAATACAAGCCACTTCGGTGAGCTGACCAATCACACTCTTGTGTTTACACAACAACTCACGACAAGGCCGCGGGCGCGGGCGCGCGCCTATGTTCTCTTCGAATGGACCAGAGGTTCATCAAGATGCTCCGCAGCCCGGTTGCTAGTTGTTGGTAACTCCAATATTTTAGCAAGATGTCAGATATTCGTTTTATTATTGCAACAGCTACTGGTGCTATAGAGCGCTATTGAAACTTACAAGTTGATTTAGTAGTGAACTAATACGCAGGTGTATTATGTGGAAATTGCGGGGAGGCTGTTGATGAAGATGTTGTTCTTGCGCTGAGGCTCCAAGGAGAAACAGGGGTCTTTACCTTTTGCTTTTTTATGTGTTAGCTTGATGTTTCTACCCATGAAACTTGGTGGCGCCTATGGATTCTTCCAGGCTTCCATGCACATTTGACCAATGATGCTGTTTACCAAAATCCTGCCCATCTTGATCGCGATCGAACCAATCGGCCTTTCGGAACCAGGGCAGTTCGCATGGTAATTTGGATTCAATAAGCAGCTTATTTGAACAGCAATGAATAATAAAGGGTCTAAACTAGTTCATCCCTCATGTTCTGAAAAGGACTGCCTACCCGCCTTGAGCCAGGGAGTCCATGTGGCAACCCCATATGGTAGTCTTCTAGAAGCGGCGTTACTGAGATTTCAGCTGTTGATCTTTAGCGTGACATCAATTCTTTGTTATTCTCTTCTCCTGTCTCACAATCCCCTCTAGTTTCATACATTTTTACGAACAATATGTCTATTCTTAACCCTGACAACGTTTGTTCTATTAGGACCCAACTTTTTCATGATGCATCAGGTCACTGGGCCCTGTATTCAGGTATTTTTATACTGCGAAGGTTGACCAATACGGTTATCTTTTCTTCTCATTGGAGCAAGCTACCAGGTTCCCAAGCTATGACTCTGTTATGGTCAGTGGAAAACTCAGAGAACAGTATGGGGTTAGTTTCAATCCGTCAGCCATGCTGGCCATGGCTGGGCAAGAGGGTTGGCCATCTCTTCGTATGTAAGCTGGGAAGTCTATCATAAATACCAGATCCTTTCCAACATTCTCTGATCCTCCTCTATTTCAAATTTTCAACATTTCCTTATCCCCTTTCACTTCAACACCAACAGCTTGACATCTTTTCGGGTCAAAAGATCAGCTCTATTTGTACATAAATCGTTTGACAGTCCACCAATTCCCTATGCCCTATTGCCAATCATGGCCACGACCAATAACACTCCACTCTCGGCGAACGAACAACTGATGCTTGATGATATCTGCAACACCTTGGAGAATGCTCAACTTTCCCAGTGCCCCAATTGCCCACTCACAGGCGTTTCTGGCAGCACCCATTGCCATGGTTTCAAATGCGGATCCAAATTGCCCGGCTCAATTTCTGAGGTAAAGGTAATGCATCAATCCCCCGTATCATCTCTATACATTTGACTAACTATTTCCAGTGGGCTTGTGCAACGCGCATACTCAACATTGTGTGGCTGTACGTGCAACAGCATGGGCCGCTTGACCATGTTCTTGAACTAGTCATTCTTGAGTTCATTGATCCCGCCATCGAGCCGGACTCAGAATGGATTATTGAGCACTTCAACCCAGCATTGATCCTCCTGAAGAACTATCGTGCAGAGATCCTTTGAGGCTAAGCTACGGAGCATCCACCATGGTTTATTGGGTAGCCAGATAGCCACGCAAGGAAGACACAATCTTGTAGCCTTTTCACTTGAGACTGGCATCTCGTTTGATGTTGAACCATCGACAAGCACACGCTGGACGGTGCTTCTTGTGTTGGGCTGTTCTCTTACATCAGGTTATTGGGATAGATGAGCGATACTGTCTTTACTGTTTTGGGGTATTTGTTTAGATTGAGTTATCGGGTTTATCATATACGGAATACCAGCATAGCAAGCACAAATTGGAGCTTTTCATTCTTCCCCCCAATGTCAACTGGCACCTCTTCCTCTTCGTGACTGTTGCGCTTCAAGTGTCACTAGTGTTCGCTCTTCAGCCTGAACATACTCTGTTCCCTTGGACGGCTTTCTTCCAAGTTCAATAGCGCTTGCGACCTTTATTCACTGTTGCTCCAACTGCGCAAACGGCGTTGGCGGTGGTGCTGCCACTGTCAGCTTCTACTTCCATGTCAACACTCCCGCCAACTCATCTCAACTTCTCCCAACTCTTATCTTCACACTCTTCTTGTTATTATCTTGTAATCTCGCCTCTCGTAACTATCACGAGTAATCTTGACTCAATACCTCAACCCAATATATCACCCGTCACAAACAGTCTTCTCAATATTTTATCCATCAATACATCGCCCGTCATGTCCTCTCCCACCAGCATTTCTCCCAGCCTCATCCCATCTGAAGACACCGCTCCCATCACGATACCTCCCGTCAAAGCGGTCGCTATCTCTCCTACCAACCAGCCTGCTATAATCAGCATGGCGCTCAACCCCTCACCCCTCGAGCGCCTCCCCCAAGAGATTCTTCTTCATATCAACAAGCTCCTCATCTTCCGCCACGCCTCCCGCCTCGCCCGAACTTCAAAGTTCCTGTACCGAATCTTGAACAAGGAGCTATACAAGCTCGCAGGCAAACACAACCACTGGTACCCGCTGTACGTCGCAGCAGCGACCAGCAACATCGCAACTTTCGAGCGCTGTCTCGAGTTCGGCGCAGTGATTGACTCCCACTGGCCACTAAACTCAACCCTGACCTTTGGGCACGGTCAGCGACTCTTTCTCTCGCTGGGCTGGCGCCCGCTACGCCAGGCAATCTCGTCTCGACAGGTCGAGGCAGTCAAATGGCTCCTTAGGCATGGCGCTGACCCGGACGAGACGTTCGCGGAAGCTGTGCTGTTGGGTCTGCGTGAAGCACCTCTTGCTCTTGCGTTTCGTCGTGGTTACGGTTCGTTGGAGAATGTGACGCCTAGCCGGTCTATTCTTTTCGCCCTCCTTGAGGCCGGTGCTGGTCTGGATTATATCGATGAAGGTCCGGCTGAGGAGATTGAGGCTATGTACAATGATTCCAGCTACATCAGCTTGTATTGGTGGATCTGAGTGGTAACAGTGGTCTTGGTTTGTTATTTGTTTGGACTCTGAGCATCGCATGCTGTCGAGACACTCACATCTTGACGCACCGAACGACATCTTTTTGCGTTTCGACTTTGCTTTTTCGTTTTGTCTTTCACATGTCGACGCAATTTCCCCTATTCGCCCTCATTCATGAGTATTCCTGGCTTGGAAACGTTGAGTGGTGGATGAAGCGATGTAATGAATTGGCTGAGTACAGGGTAGTGAGATAACTAGGACTCACATGGCGTTAGACATCTAGGCGTATGAAAGGGTGTATTGAGACAATCATGTACTTTTAACTATCATCTCCGCTCAATCGGTAGGCAGTGGGATCGTTTGGTAGGATTTCATGTATGATCACGAGGATAGATTGTCACTTTGGAGGGAGTTGGTAGACACTGTGAATGAAGTAGACAGAAATCTATTGCTTGTACTGTCTCGCAGAAAACAAATCGCACGCGCTCTCGCAAGTCTAGTCTATGAAATCTAATGCAATCCACTCTCCCCCGTCCTCGCCATGTGCTGCTGGCACTTGATCATGATATCCAGCTGATCACTAACATCCTTCAACCGCCCCAACACCTTTCTGTTACCATCGGTGAAGTTGAGGATCGAGTACGGCACACCAGTGTCGTTGCAGAACTCCCGAATCATGAACTGCACCTTGCGCAGGTTATGGCGCGGCACACGTGGGAACAAGTGGTGAACGGCCTGGAACTGGAGACCGCCGTGCACAAAGTCCATCCACGCGGGGCAGTCGACGTCCATGGTGGTGCGGAGCTGGCGCTGGGCGAAGGATTCGGTCTCGCCGAGGTCGACGGTTGACATTCCCCAGTGGGAGAGGGTGATTTGCACGTGGAGCGGCATGGTGATGATGTGGGAGACCAGGACGAAGACGACGCGGGTGGTCCAGTCGGGGAGACCGCGCCAGAGGAGGCAGTAGCCGAAGAGGAACCAGTAGCAGGCCATGAAGGTGATCTCGGTAGGTCGAATCCACCAGGCGCGACTCTTTCCGAGCTGTGAGGACTTCTCGGAGAGGACGTGGAGCCAGGAGAGGAGGTACAGGTTGAAGCGCGCGATGCCCATGACGGGGTAGTAAGTCCAGCGCTGGAAGGGGACGAGGAAATCGGCTGCGGCGTCCCAGACGAAAGTGAAGTTGTAGTAAGTTGAGCGAAGGGACTTGAAGAATGAGGGGCATGTCGCAAAGAGGGGAACGTTCTGGATATCAGGATCATGTTCCTGAAAATGTCAGTATTGAGTAGTGTTTGACGAGGGTGGTGTCTTACGGGTTGGTTCGTCACGAGATGGTGCACGTTGTGACTGCTCTTCCACCATCCAATCGATAGACCACAGCAGAAATCAGCAATGAACATGCCAATGAGAGTGTCGATGACAAAATTAGACGTAATCGCAAGATGGCCAGCATCATGCGCGCTGAACATGATTTGATGCTACCCAAGTTAGTCAAAGCTTCACGACCAGACGGAGAGCGACATACCCAGAACAATCCCAAGAACACAGCAGATGTGATGTACCACTGGTTATAAAACAACACACCAAACAGCGTAAACAGCGTCGTGTATCGCATCATCTCCTTCCCATACTCAACGTACGGACACTGATAAAGACCCTCATCGTGAATCCTCTGGTGGAGAAGCTGATACTTTCTCGCAATCTCATCCTGGACACGCGTATCCAGCGACGGGTACGTTTCAAGATCGTTCTGAATCTCCCGCGCAACACCTGCATTCGCCACACGCAGCGTCGCAGTACGCTTTCGCGAATCATCCGTCTTTGCTACTGCGCGCTGGCGAAGACCCTCTCCTCCATCTTTGACATCCACGCTGGGCGATGATGACGCGGAGCTAACGGCGTCATCGAGACTGGTGTTGTCGTCTGTGTCGGAGGATGTGCTCGAGTCTGAGAGATCGATCTCTTGGGCGTCGAGGCGAAAGACGCCGCCTCTAATTGGTGGTGTGCGGTTCACCCAGGATCCTTGCTTCCGACCGATCCGATAGGCCTTCATGGTTCGTAAGGTCGCTTCCGAGTGATAACTATCCCAAAGGAGAAAAATGTGTTAGTTTAACCTGATCTGATCTGTATCTTGTTGTTTCCCCCGCACAATGCACTGTACATGTCATATTGGCGTGCAGGCCAATGGGGTGTTGTAGTGTAGTGGTGTGTTTCTCATTTTGGTATAGTGCACCCGTGCAACGCTCAACCTCAACACCATAAAAAGCATCGTGACTTACGCTTTCATCTCGTCGGTCGCATCTCTGCCCACCATGTGAAGAACTGCCAATCTTCCACCGGGATGTCTATCCATCCAGCCGTCGAGCTTGAGTACTGAGTCTTCGAAAACGACGATTGTTTGACCAGCTGCGATCATCCTCTCAACCGCCACAGCGGTCAAGATCTTGTCGCGGTTCATTTCGGGGGTGTTTTAGTCGTGATATGTTTTATAAGGAATGTCGAAATGAAAGGAGAGACAATCGAGAAAAAGAGAAATGGACGAAGGAGAGGAGCAGTGATCTAGTGTCACTGTAGGAAGAGAGAGTGGATATGAATGAAGAGCAAACAGAGCAGAACGGGAACCACAGCAGCAAACAGCCGAGGCAGTACAACGAGATAAGTACTTGCTCACTCTCTCACATCAGGGGCGCAGCCTTCGAAAAGCTATCCATTTATTTCACATCGTACGTACCCCAATGGCGCATATTCGCCCCCCTCATCACCAATAGCCAAAAAAGATAGCGTCGCTGGGGTTGGCTCAAAGGAGATTGAACACATCTCAGGAACCCTGTGTAGCCAAGACTTTCCTCGTCTTTCTTGGTGCAAGGACCACATATTAAACTGGTCTTGGGGTTTTGGGACTAGGCCGAAGTGGAGATGGGCTTGTGAAACAAGAGTCAAGAGGTGCAAGGTGACCTTGGCCCTAGTAGGTCAGTTAAGTTGCGGTGTTGGGGATCTAGACCCGAGGGTGGCTTTGGATGGTGACAGTGACGGGACATGTTCTAGAAAAATAGCTTATTTTCGCCCTGCTCTCGCGTGCGTATGCGAAAGCGACAGATTGTGACGTTTGAGATTGAACGAACAGCTAAAGGAGATACACGTATCGCATGTTCCGTATTCTCGTCCGTCTGCAATTACGCGTAACAGAAAACTACTCAAAACACTTTCCGTACCCGTACGGACCAGGGGATTTTCACTCTCGTTCTCCTCGTTCTCTCTAACGCGTAATCGGATACCTCCCCCTCCAGGAATAGCTCATCTTTTTTCTTGCTCCGTCCGAGGATGGATACGAAAATCACTCCTCCACCGTCGGAAAACCACACACAACACGCGTTCTGGGTCCTGCGCCCCCCCTTACCCCACTCCCCCTGTAGCTCGTTGCCCACTTGCAGCGGGGGGCGTTACAGTACAGAGACCCTGATTTTTTTTTTTTTAGGATCTGGTCCTGTCCCGCGGGTGCCCGTATTGGCATCGGCGGTGGTCCGTACGCGTAAACGAAATAAACGAGAACGATGGGGGGGAAAAGTCAAAAAGAAAAGGGGTGCGCGCAACAAACGTTCTAGAATAAGGGTCTTTATCTTTGACAATCAACAAAGTATAATTGCTACAGGGTCCCTCTCGGCATTTCTTGGGTGTTACGTACGCTGTGTTGCACGTGGTAACTCTGTTGGAAGCTTGTCATGTTCTACACGTTGCGTAGCTCAAACCACTTGAGTAAGGTACCTTAGCTTCAAAAGGGGGCAGCACCGCCAATCTTAGTGTACAGTAGGTCGCTACGTGCTGATGACTGCAACATGCCATGAATCGAACCACAAGTATATTAACAAATCTTGGCTAACGCGAAAAAAGAACCTGTTTTTCGTAAACGGCGCAGCAAAAACTACCTCACCTTGCTCACTACCTACCTCACTCAGTAATTAACCTTGCGCGTTTTTCTCTCGCCACACAAGAAAGGGGTTACTGCAGTCTTGGCTTCTGAGGGAGCTAAGCTTTAGATACCCCTGCTTTCCGTGGTGTGAGAGATTACCTGCACTCCGTAGGACTGGGTGTCCAATCCTATGGCGAAAAATTAACGTGTCAAGATTAACTCTATGCAGCTGTGACCCAGATCTTGCTAGCGCCCCACGTTTTATCTTGAGTGCGGTGGGTTGGGCTAATCTTATCTTATCGCCGCTGTCTGGGGCGGTTAAATAAGACGAGACGGGGATGGGATTGGGACTTTGGTTGGATGGTTTAGGGTAATGATGATTTTGCGACGGTATGTTCCGTTAAGAGTTGGTTATCGAACAATTGAACGTGAAGAAGGTTAGGTAGGTATGTTGAAGATGATGTATTGTTCAGTGGCTATTGAATCGTCTTCCGACATCGCATCAGTGAACCCCTCATTGCGTGATCCAACAATTTACCTCGTACCACTGTACTCACTACTCACTGAGGTATCCATTCATAACTCAACAACCATCATCAAAATGCCCTCCCAAGAGTTCACCCAAATCCCCGTAATCGACATCTCATCCCCCACTCCTCAAACGCTCTCTAATCTCCGCACCGCCCTCACAGAAATCGGCTTCCTCTACATCTCCAATCACTCCGTCCCCACCTCCACAATAACATCCCTCATCAACATCCTCCCAGAACTCTTTTCCCTCCCCCCAGAAGCAAAACAAGAAATCGCTCTAGAAAACTCCCCGCATTTTCTAGGATACAGCGCTGCCGGGACGGAAACTACAGCTGGGAAAGCTGATCTGAGAGAACAAGTTGAGCTTGCGACGGAACTTGAGAGAGCGCCTGATGGTGCGCCGCTGTATGATGGGTTGAGGGGGCCGAATCAATGGCCGTCTGGGCTTCCGGAGTTGAAGGGTGTTGTTACGCGATATATTGAGGAACTCACACTACTAGGGGAACGATTTCTTCGACTTGTTGCCCAAGCTCTTGATCTTCCGAAAGAGATCTTCTTCTCATACCTTTCTGATCAACATCGTCTTAAATTGGTTCACTACCCAGCTTCAACAACCTCATCCCAAGGCGTCGGTCCTCACAAAGATTCCTCAGGATGGTGGACCTTCCTCCTCCAAGCATCCCCCCAAGTACACGGCCTTCAAGTCCTCAACAAATCCGGCTCATGGATCGACGTCCCCGCCATCCCGGACACTTTCGTCGTCAACATCGGCCAAGCGTTTGAAGTCGTGACTAACGGGATATGCAAAGCGACGACGCATCGTGTACTGTCCTCCCCAAAGGAAAGGTTCAGCGTTCCGTTCTTTCAAGGTGTGCGACGCGATTTAACGAGACGTGAGGCAATGACTTCGTTGAAGGAGCATTTTGAGCGGTGGGGAACCGGTGAGGAGGCGGATGAGGCGGGGATGGTGGATAATCCGTTTGTGAGGGGGTTGTATGATACTTGGGGGGAGACGCAGTTGAGGACGAAAGTTAGGAGTCATAGGGAGATTGGGAGGAGGTTTTATGGGGAGGTTTATGAGAGGTATATTGAAGATTCGTGAGGGAGAGAGGTGTGATGACGTGGTGGTGGTGAGGAAGTGTCCGAGAACTTTCCGTGAGGGTATAAAGCTCCGAGACGACATTATCACTCCGTTCGATCGCTTCAATTCCACTCTACATCAATTAATGATTGATAGTATATCAATATGGCACTCGAATTGCCCGCGCGACAGAAATTTACAGCTCACAGCGGCAATGTGTACTCATGCATCTTCATCCCTCCAACCGCCCAGTCAACAACCCTTCTCTTTCTTCACGGCTTTCCATCAACCCTCACAGACTGCGTCCATCAAATCCAACACTTCTCATCCGAAGGATACGGCGTCGTCGCTCTGGATCTGCTCGGCTACGGTGAAAGTAGCAAGCCAACAGATGTAAACGCGTACCGTCTCAAGCCGATGAGCGATGAGGTCATTGAGCTGCTCGACCATTTGGACCTGAAGACCGTTGCTGGAATTGGCCATGATTTCGGCGCGACGCTTTTATCGAGAATGGCGGCTTATCATCCCTCGCGCTGGGAAGCTCTTGTGTTTCTGGCTGTTGGTCCGCCGAGGCTTGGGACGCCGTTCGATGTCGACATGATCAATACCATGACCAAGCAGTTTCTGGGGTATGAGATGCTCGGATACATCCCATGGCTAGCCGATTACAGGTCGCAGGAACTTCTCGAGAAGAACGCTGAAGCAACGATGAGTCTGATGTTTTGTCGCGATCGGGAAGAATGGGAGACGTGGTTTCATCCTCTGGGCAAGATGGAGGAATTTGTGCGTGAAGATCGCAGACTTCCCATCGCATCGTGGTACAACGAAGATTTGCAGAAAGCACATCTAAAGGCATTCGGCTCGCATGATGGGTATAAAGGCGTGTGTCGATGGTATCGCATGTGGAAAGACAACCTCTTCGCTCCTGACGAACAAGGTTTTGAAGACTTTCACATCTCACAACCCGTTCTCTTCATCGTTCCATCAGAGCCCGAGCAATCCGCTGCCCAACAGCAGCAAATGCTTTCATCATGGACCCCCAATCTCCAAACCGTCAAGCTAAACACCAGTCACTGGGTCCATATCCAAGCTCCCTCCGAAACCAACACCACGATCCAGAACTTCCTCACCTCACGCAGGGAGACTTAACTGCTCAGGCCTCAACCAATCAAACGTATCCAAAAGATCAAAATTAAAGTCCAGCTGCGTCGGAATATCCCAATCCAGTGTATCCAGCGCTCCTCCACCTGCAATAGGCGCATTGAGGTTGTGGTCTAGTACACCCTGTATAACAGCTTTGCAGTCTGCGCAGAGATCGGCGTTGGGGGCGGGTGGACGGACCCAATCGAGGAATCCGATCAAAAGACTGAGCTTTTGGATTATGGCGGAGCGGCTTAGTTTGGGGCAGTCGGGATGGGTGCCGCGGAATGTTGGGCGGAGGAGTTCGAGACAGAGGATACCGCCTCCCGGGGCGGCGAAGGCCATGAGCTGGAGCTGTTAGATAGAGAAAAGATGATGGTCAGAGTACATACGAGCCATTCAAAGTCTCGTCTCATGCCGGAGAAGCGATCTTGGTGTGTCCAGAAGAGAAGTGTTAATGTGACCATCTCAAAGCTAATCGGCAGTAAACGGTTCTCATCGATGTGGCCGAGACGAAGCAATAGCCTCTCCACGAAGAAGAGATTCTGCATGTGTTCTAGTCGAATAAGAATCCGTGAGTATACTTTTTGGACATCACAGTCTGGGTCGTCGAGTTCATCGGGTCGATGGATGAGATTTGCTGGGAAGCTCTCATACGTCCTTTCAGCGCGAGCCTTGATCTCACTACCTTTGTTAGTAAAGCACCCAAAAGTATGTTAGTCACGTACGTTAGACTCTCAAAAGTGACCTTGACGCTATTCGCAAGTGCAATCTCAAGGAGCTCATCCTTAATGTAAGCAATCTGCGAACGCGCCCTAACCATAGACGATCCTTTCAGATCACCAACGTGACGAAACCCATTGGCATCTAACTCTTGCACCGCATGTCGTACAGTAGCTTGATCAGACTCAAGGTCCAAGTCTGTCAGATCCAATGGAAGAGGGGATGAGAAGAAGCGGCGACTGAGGAGCGGCGGACGGCCCGTAAAGGAGACAAGGACTTTGTCGATGTTGAAGACACGGGCGGTGATGCGACGTCTGTGTTCGGAGCAGAGAGAGGGGATGTAGTTTGTGTCTTCTGATCCGACGTGTCGACCAAGGAATGTGAGGAGTGCGACGGTCTCTGCAAAGTAGCGCCAGCATGTCAAACCTATAAGTGTTAGCGAGCTTCAACTCATGGTGTGCACATCAACTCACCTGCGTCGCCTGAGACGAGAGATTCAGTGGTAACTCTTCGGTAGCAAAGATACAGCATAATGTCATTCCCAGGTGTGAAATGTCGAGCCAGCTCAATGCAATACCCCAAACACTTGACCACAACTGGCGCATCGAAGCTCGGCGAGCCATCCCAGTACGTCCAGATCAACCCAACCGACTCCCATCGGATATTAATCCCCATGAATTGATCAGTCCAAGCCTTTGCACTCGAATGCTCATCGCGAAAAGGGCGTGCCGTGTTATGGCTTACATGACGCGCCACCACATCCAGGTCCGCATCATCTCGCGACGAGAGATACCGTCCCCAGTCTTTGTGGAGCGTGTCTATAACATCCTGAATCGCTCTGAAGATCCATCCGTCTGTGAGACAGTGAAGTCTATGTGCCATAACATCATGTTGAGATTGAGGCAGACACCGAAGAACATAAAGACTCATTTCCCTCAAGTGAGACGGGAGATCTATCACACTTCTACCCCTCGTCGCCCTCGGCTCGACCTCCACCGGGGGTCCGTGGACGAGTGAGAGGCTGTTCCGGGTTTCTTCAAAGACAGCATTGTGACTGGTGAAGCCGAGATAACCAGGTGCCACGGCGGGTGAAGGCGTCGAGTCAGTGCTCGGTGGTGGAGGTTGATGCTCGGTGCGAACGGGGGACCGAAGCCGTTGCTTCTTAACTGTGGCACCCGAAACGGTGTAGACGCAGGTCTCGTTCCGCTTTCTGCAGCGTGAACAGGTTGGCTGGCCGTGGTCGCAGGCTACTTTCCGCGCTCGACATGGATCGCAGGCTTGAGGGCGACCGTTTAGGCGTAGGAGGAGGGGGGCCGTTGACATGACGCCATTGACTTATGATGGGTGTTGCTGATGAATCCGATGATGATAAATCTTAATTCTCGGCTTGGGCGTTGCTTCGGCTTGAGATATCGGCTTCAAAATTGTGTGTTGTGTTTGATGTTGGGTTGACAATAGAGAGTTGAATGTGGGGTTCGGCCTGAAAATAGAGTAACTCGGCTTGACTTTAGCGGACTCGGCCTGAGATTCGTGGACTCGGCTTGACAATAAGTGGCTTCGGCTCGAATTCGAGCGACTCGGCTTGGGAATAATGGAGAGTCGGGCTCGGTACCCACTTGGTTCAGCTCGGCTTACAGGGGTTTATACTACTTTTGGCACGCCGAGTAGTAATGCAGAGTGCGGAATGTGTCACACGGAGTCGAATTGAAGCCTTCAATCATGCAGGGCTGACAAGGTGTGATCCATTTCAAGGGCGCTGAGATGTCATTTTTTAACGTCTGTGACTCAATCGATTGATGGTGTGTAGAATCTATCTCGAGTATAAGTAGAAGCTGTGTCCCCGAGGTTTGAGGCATCAGAATAAGATACATCAGCATCACTACAGTCTACCGTCTACTTACACTACACTCAAAGAAGCACTCTACACTACACACTTATATATCAACACACAACAACTTCACAATGTCGAACCCTACATACAAGAACGCCAACGTCTCTGAGACAACTCTCGTTGACACGACAAAGCCTTCAACAAGTACCAAGCCTGGTACGTCTCATTGGCAACCTCTCAATCACCTTCACTAACAAGACAGGTCTTGAAACCACACCATATAAGCCTTCACTCAAGGAAAAGATCCAGAGGAAGCTCGCAGGCTCAGTCGACCCTACAAAAAAGCCAGCCGACCCCTACAAGTCATGGGAAGCTCGATCAGGTCAGCAAGATAATCACTAAGTATAACGGCCAAAGCTGATGCGTTCCTAGTAGCACTGCTCTAAATGGACCGAGACATGACACCGTGAATTTTGGCTAGAGATTTGGACGTATGGGAGCACGCTATGGTTGAAATTGTCTTTTTTTTGTTGGCTGGAGATATCCCTGTATCAGAATGAACTGATCTGTCGCTTTTGCCTTATGATCTAATGAAACACGTTGGTGCTTATTCCCATTCCTTCGGTCCCAACGTCAGCCCCAACTGTAAAAGTAAGCCATGACTGCCGCGCAATGTCGGCAGATGCGGGCGTATATAAGCTCCAGTAGCGTAATCGGAAGTGTCGGGATAAGCGCGCTGATCCGATTCTTACTTCACTGCGAGTCCGAGGCATCCTTTCTCTTCGAGACCTCCCACTCCGCGCGGTTGACCTCGCCCCTTGTGTAGATATCGCTCTGATTGGTCCAGAAGTGCACACGGCTTCCAAAATGGTGTCGCGCAATGGAGGCGATCTCCTTTATGCTGTCTAGCGTGCCGGCGTCGAAGACGCTCGAGGTGCGCAGGCTGAGGAACAGGTCGCAGTTGTTGGGGTTGGCGGGGATTCGCGGGTTGTTGGTGAGCACGAAGTGGATGAATCGCTTGTCGAGGAAGTTGGGGAAGTCGGCGTCGGTGGGGAGAACGAGGAGGCGGGATTCTTGGTCGGTTTTGTAGACGGTGGTTATGTCGTCGAGGAATTCGGCGTAGCGGGTTTTGTTCTCGGGGGTAGGGGGGAGGGAGGGGAAGATGTCGAAGCCGCAGTCGAAAGACATGATGAATGTGTTTATTGAGGCGAAGGTGTGTGTTTATGAGGATGAGGATGGAAGAGATGTTGCGATGGAGAGTTGAGATGGAGTTGAGGGGAGATGGAAGTTGATGGCGAAGTGGTTGAGCAGCATTGCTTCGCGCTCCTGCCTGGCGCTGGCAACTGCGAAGCTGTTTGCTCCAGCATTTATGCACACTTTTCTCTTAGTTTCGAGGCTTAAACAAACATCTTCTTCATTTGATCAAGCCCGCGACACTCTAATCTACAAATCTTGCTTCCAAAGATGAACCATAAATTAAGCATCGTGAACAAACTTTCGCGTCTCCATATGTTGAGGACAAGACCAAGAGACTTGCATGTGTGATTAAGTTGCTATACTAATAGAGCTAACCCCCTTTCTACTTCTTTTGTGCGCAGATATTGTGTAGTGCTAGTCGTCTGCCTCCCGTTTGTTTGCATTGACGAATGACGACAAATGAAGTTATCACGAAATGTGTGGAGCCAAAATCGGGGGCTGCTTGCGAGATGCACAAACGTATAACCACACATTCGCAAATAAAATGGAGGCAAGATTGATAGAAATGAACGGTGCAGCATTTCTTGAAGCTCACAGAAGAAGTAGTTCGCTGGGTGCGAACCACAGTTGCATCTCGAACAAAGGCTCTTCATCGTTACAACTTTGCAAGCATATACACCACGACCGAGTCTCGGCTTCCATCGTATAATCAACACATCTAGTATATAGTATTTATTGATTAAGTGGCTAAATGTATGTGAAATTGTGGTATAGAAGGGTTTGACCTACTTCCTCAATGGGCTCAGCCTGCTCCCCTCGTAGAGTTCTTGAGTAAGCTACAACTGGCTCAAGGGATATCCCGCGAAGGACACTTGCGTGAAAACTAGATGGGAAGTCATCGAATGGCTCCAACGAAGGTGGCATGAAGTGAACAGTAGCGCACAACTTTGCTGACACTTCAATGCTACCGACCAGCATCCTTCCGGAGCCATGAACCTGGTCAGACCTTTGCGCCCCAGGGGTGACACACAAACTGACGAGTTCTCGGCTATTTAATGTGAGGAGATGTAGGGTTTGGGCCCGAGTACGTTCCTGAGCAAGAGGTTCATGCCCAGCTGTCCATATCTGCATCTATAGAGATGATCAGCGAAGTGGTGCTCGGAATTGCTGGTGTTAATGTCAAATGCATATTTTGGCTAAATTAGTCGAGTTTGTGTGTGTTGAAAGTCTTATGTGATCCGATCTCGTGCGCCCCGGACTTGGGTACCATGTTTTAGAGTACAAGTGTACGGTTTACGCTTCGTCCAACGGGACCTCAAGTCTAAGTTGAGAAAGGCTTCGATGTCAAGAAGAAGCCCGATACTGATGTATCTCAACTCTGTTCGATGGCCCAGAGACGAGCCCTTAGACAAAGTGATTACTGACAACGAACTTTAGAACTCCAGGAGCTCTCCGCCAAGAGTTGCAGTCTCCAGTCCCTCGTTCAACAACACAAGGAGAAACATCTTATTACTCTGACAAAATGGCTCTGTCGAATGTAAGATCAAGGACCGCCTGTAGCTTTGCTATCGCAGGAAGAACACTTGACGACTTAACATCGTCTTTCCCAGTGTTGTAAATTGCTGCTTCACTGGGAGACATTCTTAGAGTTGACGGAATTCTGTTCGAAAGTGACCGAGTCATATTTCCTGTTGAGTGAAGATTGCTAGCCAAGCAAAGCCAGAGCTCCAACTCCCACAACGTTCTATTCCTCCGGCGTTTCCACCACCGTCTCCGTCACCATACTATTCGGAACCATAGCCTTACACAGCATCCTGATCTCCTCTTCTGCCTCAACATCTGTAGGTGTATAATACCCCCACTGCTTATTACGGCCTCATCCTACGCATCCCATTCCAACACCTAACCCTCTCCCCAAAATACTCCTTCGCAATAACGAACACCTCCATAACATGGGAAACAGTTACGTCTCGTGGTAAGCCACCGTTTCCGAAGCTGAGGCGGAAACTCAGGAAGTAGTTGCAGTGTTCAGGATTGGCGGGAATTTTAGGATACTTGGGTAACGTGAAGTAGTGGAAGGCGCTGTCGGCATCAGTTATGAGGAGCGGGTTGGAGATGGAGGGATGGTTTTGGGGGGAGAATGTTGTTCTGAGGCGGGAGAGGAAGAGGGCGTAGTGGGACTGGTTGGAGGGCGTTGGAGGGAGAGGAGGATAGATGCTGAAGCCGCATTCGATCTCGACGGTCATTTTGGGAGTTGGGCTTGTGCTGTTAGTTATACGGCTGATGAAGAGAAGTAGAGCGCTTACGGGGTTTAGTATAGCAGCGATGGTCAACGGCTGACCTGCAAGCTGCAGATGGAGACTCGATGGCTGACGAGACGGAATAGGGGGTCACTGGCATCACTCAACCTGGCAGGATCTCAGGAATTATACAGCAACCTTCGGGGTTACTGTTTTGCCGAAATTTTCGTCTGTATAACGTGATATGCCCGTTGTCAGGTTGTTGCAGAGCCATCTTCGCATTCGAGGTTGTTGTCAACCCATGATGGTCTTTGTTCAGACAAGATGAACATGTGACTTCTTAGAGGTCAATTCGACATCTTTTCCAATATAAAAACAGTGTAATTATAAGTATTAGTATAAAGAACTCCGCATTGGGAAAACTAATTGACTTGCTGCGTGATCGTGACAAAGTTCGTGAAGCAAACTTAACACAAGAACAGGCTTATCCACGATATTAATTTTAAGCCCCACGATCGTTCAGCCAATAACGTCATAACTCAAAACGTAAGAAAAACATCTCAGCTCTTCTCCATCCTCTCATAGCCTCTCTGGCTTTTGCAAACTCCGACGTCTTCGCCAAAAAAAGCCCCAATCGTCCATCATATGATAGTTACGGAGGATGTCACGAGGTTCCATACGTCAGAGCGAACTTTCCCATTGACTGTCTCCATAGTAATGTCAATGGTTTGGATCGTAAAGATCGGTGTATTTGAGGATCGAATGGGCTCCCGGGGAGAGGAGATAGGATGTGTTGCGAGAGACTGAACTTGATGCTGTGACGATGTGGTGGCCTGCCAGGGAGGTGAGTTGGACTTTATGAGCTCCCGGGGCGCCTTACACTCCAGTGACGAGCATTTGTCGCCCAGAACTGTTCTTTGTCCGGGCCGTTGGGCTCTGGAAGAACTGCGGGGATGAATAGAGCTTGCCATGCTGTAAGCGCACTAAGAGGAACTGTTACTGTTACACTCAGCCCACGACAGCTTCTTCATTTTAAGCACAGCTTCATTTTCAAGGCTGGCAGCGTGCTGCAACCACCTCGCTCCACGCGCAGTTCTCACTATGTCATCCCATTTTACATACAGGCTTTAACTTGGGGCTCCTCTTCGACATGCTCACCACCAGCGAAACCATGCCTCAGAATATACTGCTCTACACGGCATGTCTCAAGCCACGCTCATTCATCGCGTGGAGCAGTCGTAGGATGTACGCTGACAGGACCAGGGTTTATTTCCGGGAAGAGTACATCTTTGTTTAGTGTCAGAGAAGACGGTGGAGGCGAAATACCCAGACCTCGGCCTTGGAAGAACTGATACGAATTGCGTGCATTAGATCAGATCAGATGACGTTTAATCTGATAAGATCATCTCGGTGAGCGATTTTCACGGACCCGTTGTTATGAGGAAAGCAGCCAATTAGACATGAAAGTGATGACAGGTTAAAATCAAGGGTCCCCACGAGTTCAGGGCCGGTGCCGGACTTGATGATGCCGAGGTTGTACATGAACAACAATCTCAGACATGAGCATGCTTTGTAATTATATTTTGGTGAAGATCTTTGCAGAGAAAAGATGCTTGAGTAAAGGACCTATCAGTAAATGCCATATCAAACTGCATGCATTGTCTCACAGGGGATCTCAACGACATTGGACGGTCCCTCACCCCACCATCAAGCCCCGAATTTGGTGATAGGCACATCTAGCCCACTTGAGTGGCTCCCGCATGGACGCGGCCCAAATCAAGAGGCCCATGGTTATATAAGTACCTGCCTACCCAATGCGCTGCAAAAAACCTGTTCTTGCTGATCACCCACCGAATTTCTGCAGTATGACTCTTTTCATCAATGGCAAGATCCTCTCGAGGACTGTCGCCAGTTTGGCCGACGAACCTACCTTTGCTGAGAGCATGTACATAAAAGACGGAATCATTCAGGCCGTCGGTACAAAGGACGATGTGGAGGCGAAAGTCACAGGCGATGTTATCACGCAAGATCTCGGTGGAAAGACGGTTCTGCCGGGTTTTGTAGACGGGCATATGCATCTTTTACTTCTGGGCCAGTCGCTGAGAAAGATTGCGCTGGAGGGTTGTAAGAATCTGGAGGATATCCTTCACGAGCTGCGCACGTATGCGAAAGCGAATCCGGACGTTCCGAGGATCATGGCCAAGGGATGGATGCACTCCATGACTCCCGACGGTGTGACGGCCAAGATTCTTGATGAGATTGACGAGAGGCCGATTTATGTTGATACAAAGGACATGCACTCGACGTGGTGCAATTCAGCGGGCTTGAAAGAGATGAAGGTCGCTGATCTGGAGGATCCGCCAGGTGGCATCATCGAGAGGGATGAGAACGGTAAACCATCTGGTGTTCTCAGCGAAGCGTCCATCTTGTCGATTGTCTGGCCTACGCTTGCGCAGCTTGCGTCGAATGAGGAGCGGATCGAGTGTATGCTCGCTGCGTTCAAAGCGTACCATGCGTCAGGATACACGGGGATCATCGAGATGGCGATGGATGAGTACAGCTGGGAGAGTCTTGTTGAGCTGAAGAGGAGATATCCTGATGTGGCGATGCGTGTTACGGCATATTGGATCGTTAAGCCTGCTGATACGGTTGAAGAGCGCACGCGACAGGTTGGGAGGGCTATTGAACTTGCGAAGCAGTATAGTCTGGAGAACTCGCCTGATCTTCGCATCGCGGGTATCAAGATCATCTGCGACGGTATCATCGATGCGTGCACGGCGTATCTCTCAGAGCCATACGCTTCAGTTGCGTCACCGCCGCCGTTTTGGTCAAGAGAGGATCTTGAACCTGTTGTTAAACAGGCAGCTGATGCGGGAATTCAAATAGCGCTTCACGCTATTGGTGATGCAGCGATTCATATGGCGGTTGACATGCTTGAGAAGTACGGTAAGCCAGGTGCGAGACATAGAATCGAACATCTCGAGGTCTCATCCCCCGAAGACGCACAACGTCTCGGCAAACTAGGCCTCACAGCTTCCATCCAGCCCGTCCACGCCGACCCAGCCATTCTGCGCGCATGGCCGCGCCTCATCGGCTCCCGCCGCGACCGCGCCTTCGCATACCGTGAATTCGCCGACTCAGGTGCACTCCTCGCTCTCGGCAGCGACAGTCCCACGGCACCTTGGAATCCTCTACACAACGTGTATGTAGCTGCTACACGACGCTCAGCGAGAGAGCCAGAGTGTGAGGAGGTAGTGAATGAGCATTTTAAGCTGGGTGTTTGTGAGGCGATTGTTGCGGGCTCGCAGGGCGCGGCGAAGAGTGTTTTTCAGGATGGGAGGGTTGGGTCGTTGGAGGTGGGTAAGTTTGCGGACTTGGTTGTGGCGGATATGGAATGGGATAGCAGGACGTTGTTGAAGGCGGAGATTAGGGAGACGTGGTTTGCTGGGAAGAGGGTTTGGAGCCTCTGAGGTTGATTGATGGATTGTGAGCGTGGTGTTGATGGGTGTTGGGGTTGAGGTTTGGGACGGGGGTACAAAATGAGATAGACAATGTAAATGGTGATCTCAAGACTGTTCGGCGAATTGAGTACGGGTGAGAGCTGATACTGCAGTTGCTCATCCTTGCCATGTTACATCGAATGTCCCTGAAAATGTTCAATGTTCAACTATGTGCACGTATCTCTTCGCCATCTTCTTCTCCTCAGATCAAACACCACTCCCTCACTCAATCAATCAATGACGCATTCAACCTGTCCCTATCACAACAATCATCTGGCCACTTCCTCCTCTATCAGATATACAACATGCCAAGTTTATCTCTCTACCCACGATATCTCCAAACCTAACATCCTGTCTCCTCTTTCGCTTCCAATTCTAGCCTCCGCTTTCTCCACCGCCCTCTTTTTCCGCGGGAAAATATCTCCCATCTTAGCCATACCCAACTCCATCAGCTCATTCCCCCGCATCCCAGTTTTTAGTTAACTTACCTATCTCAGAACACCCTAGCTAGCGGTATCTCAATACCTCCACTCAACTTATCGCAACTGCTCCACTGATACCCCGGATCATGAATCGTATAATCGCCCCCGGGTTCAAAAAGGCCGCTCAGTCGCTGTTGTTTTCACACAGCAGGACGAGAACCATCTCCTCTGAACAACATCTTATAACTTCATCATGGCGGATACAAAGAACGATATCGAGGTGGACAAGAAGATCATCCCTCTTGACCACGACGACGTCGAGGCTGATATCAAGAATGGCACGGTTACTGACCTCGATGAGGCAGAATTGTTCCTCCAGCAACATGGCATTGCTCACTCCCGCCTAAGCGAGCTCATGGCCGATGAAGAAGCCCTCAAGAAACTCCGCAAAAAAGTCGACTGGTCACTCATGCCGCTCCTCTGCGGAACATATCTTCTTCAATATGTCGATAAACAAGCCCTCGGCTACTCAGCCGTATTCGATCTCTTCTCAACAACAGGCATGACTTCAGACGAATACTCGTGGATGGCGTCCATCTTTTACTTTGCATACCTCGTCGCTGAGTGGCCTGCCTCGTACCTCGCACAGCGTTTACCAACCGGCACCATCGTCAGCACATTCGTCATCACCTGGGGCTCTATCCTCTGCCTCACAGCAGCATGCCAGAACTTCGCCGGTCTAGCAGTCTGTCGTTTCCTCCTCGGCGCTTTCGAAGCTGTAATCACACCCGCCTTCATGCTCATCGTCTCGCAATGGTTCCGCCGCGAAACACAGCCTGCGCGCGCAGGTCTATTCTACTGCTTCAACGGCTTCGGCGCCATGTTTGGCGGCATTCTCTTCTACGGCGTCGGCCAGGCGAAAGGATGGGATGTCTGGCGGACTATCTACGTGCTCTGCGGCGGACTGACTATCTGCTGGGGTGTAATCCTGTTCTTCTTCCTGCCCAACAACATCCTCACTGCGAAGCGGTTTAGCGTTGAGGAGCGTGCGATGCTGATTGCGCAGAGCGCGAGGAATAAGACGGGTGTGTTTAATAGGAAGATCAAGTGGAATCAGATCAGGGAGGTCTTTGTGGACTCGCAGATCTGGTTGCTGTTCTTCTTTACGTTGTTGAATGAGGTTATTAACGGAGGTATTGCGAACTTTTCCAAGTTGATCGTTAAGGGGTTCACGCATGATGCGCTATTGACGACGGCGTATGGAATTCCGTACGGTGCTTGCAACGCGATCTTTATGTTTACGGGACCGTATGTTGCGTCCAAGTTCAAGAACGTGAGGACGATTGTTATGTGTGTTTGGCTTTTGCCGACGCTTATTGCTGTTACGCTGTTCTGGCAACTTCCTCGCTCCAACAAGGGCGGTCTTCTTGCTGGGTACTACATGGTATGTCCCCAATTACCCTCGATCTGAATCCTTTCTAACCGTTTAGTGTGCTTCTTTCGTCGGCGCTCTCATCGTCGCTCTTCAAATGCCCGCCTCAAACGTCGGCGGCTACACCAAGCGAACTACCGCCACAGCCTTTGTATTCCTCGCCTACTGCATCGGCAACATCATCGGACCACACGGCTTCATTGGCTCCGAAGCACCAATCTACCAGACTGGCTGCAAGCTTATTATCGGCTGTGTAGCAGGCCAAGTTGTCATTGCGATTGCTCTTCGCTTCGTGCTCATCCGTCGAAACCGTCTTCGTGATGCTCAAGGCCCTGTTGTGGAGGATGAGAATGCTGTGTTGCAGGATCTCACTGACCTTGAGAATCCCAACTTCCGATACTCTTACTAGTTATGGGAGAAGTTTTATGATGTCATGAGTGTTGTTTAGTTAGTGCTGGCTACAGTCAATTGAAGCTTTGGTCTTGGACCCTGTGTACCCCGGATTCGGTGATGACTCGGGAACCTGTGCGTGAAATCTGGGGTATTCCACTTTGGCGTTACTTTTACGTAAAGGAGTTGACGTAACCAGGTGGTTATGCAGGATGCTAGGTTATTGATCCCGGGGTTTCTTGGCAAGACGGGGTAGACATGGGCTAGTCAAGGCGATGTTTGTTTCTCCGGGCATAATACATATCACTTGGTCTACGGAGTCATGTACTCGAGATCAACCGTTTAGTTTCATTCGATGTGATCTCTAGTCCTCCCACTTGGACGAAACCCTCCACCAAAACTCACACTGCTCATCTCCCCACGTAAACTCAACCAACTCAGCTGCCTTTCCAACCCCCGTCCCCCCAGCCCTCTCATCATTCCCCCTCCCAAGCAACATCGTCTTTCCCTTCCCATCCTCAAACGGGGTCCACTCCGGTCTATGCGAAAACCTTCCCTTTATAGCATTCGGGTTCCCTTTGGTGATGAAACTTGTACAATACGCATGGAACTGTCCAGAGACTTCCCTCTGCGCAGGTGAAATCTCCCGAACTTCTCGGTTAAACGTCTGATATCGCATTTGATCGCCGTGATTGGCGCCAAAGAGGGCGGTTTTGTTAAGGGCCCAGTGGTACAGATATGCGGGTTGGGCGTCTGGGTGGTATGTTGCCCAGATTACGGTTTGGCGGACCGGGCATGTATATGCGTAGTGGCCGTATGCTGCCTCGAGGCGTTTGTACTGGGATCTTACGCCGGGAATACCACGAGTGTCGAGATGTGGTGAGTCTGGGTTTGTTGAGGGATCAGGATACAGCTTCTCAAGTTCCGCAACTTCAGTGGGTGTAAGATGCGGTAGAAGCTCGCGAAAGAAGCCCGTGAAATCTTCAGGTTTATCGGCTTTTTGGGGGACGTAGAAAGCACCCTCGTTCGCCGCTGAGCCCGTCAAGATAGGAACTCTATGGAACTTGCCAGACTTCCATGCCTCGATAGGTCGTCGTGAAATGACGTCTCCGTCGATGACAGGCTGCCATGCCCAACGAATAGAAGGATCTGAACGTTTAAACACCTCCTTTCCTGCTTTGTCCACAGTTTCTGAAGGGAGTCCTCGGAGGCAAGTGAGGATCTTGGGATCTTTGAGGTTCTTGAAGTGTGAGCAGGGTGTCAGGTCGACAAGTTCCCGGAAGTGCTGGGTGTTGAGAGCAGCGTTTGGGGGGTGGACTGCACGGGCGGTATGAGCTCCTGAGTCCATGATTGCTTTGTGGAAGAGCTTCTTGGGCTGATTGATGTCCATGATGAGATGTCCAATCTGTAGTTGTTAGTAACGGTTTGAGACAAAAAAGGAGGCCACTTACACCATGAGCTGCAGCGCTCAGTCCCATGATGGTAACATCATCAGGATCGCCACCAAAAGCAGCAATGTTCTCTTGAACCCATTCAAGCGCGACATACATATCCTTTAGACCAAGGTTCAACAGACCTTCGTTAGCAGTCAACTCAGTATTCAGTCCACCGAATACACCAATGCGATATTGCATGCTAACAGCGATGTACGGTTCTTCTGAGAAAGCAAGCATGATATGCGAGTTATGCATCCTTGCAGCACCGCGATTGAACGCCCCTCCAGGAATAAGAACAGCGACGGGAAGTTTCCCCTGGCTTGGTGTATGGCCTTTCTTACGCCAGATGTTGATGGTGAGACAATCCTCTGATTCATAGTCTGGACCGAGGACGGGGTCTTTAAGGAAAGGAACGAGTTGTATGCCAGGACATCTTTAAAGGTCAGTATAAACTTCAACATGATGCTTTGTGAACTCACCTTGGCCCTAGATAGTAAGCTTCGATCGTCTCATTGCTCTCACCCACTAGCTCAGCATGTCTGAACCGTCGTTCACCAACCGGAGGCAAAGCATACGGAATTCCCATGAATCCCTCCAACGGTTCAGGAAACGTCCCATCATCAACAAACTTGCCAATAATGTTTCCCTGCTTGATCCTCACAGAAGGCAATGCCTCTGGTCCAGAACGTCCAAAGACATCAGGATACGCTGTAAACGCAGCAGCCAAGAGGACAGGCAACGCAGCCAACCACGTCCACGAACTTCCCTTGCGTTCAGCCATGTTTGATTATGATAACATCCAATCTTGAACCATACTACCTACACGATCGTGCTATTTAGATAACAGCCATTGACACTTTTCCGTCGGGCGTAACGTCCAAGTTCCCCGGATTAGTTCCCCGAGACTTTCCTATCTGGATGATTTGCAAGGAACCAAGTGGGAACGCCGATGCACAGAGTTTAGAGCTACGGTTGTTAAATTTGAGATCCGTGCTGATCGGCTACTAAGCTTGGGCTCCGAGACGATAAGTTATCAAGAGAGGGGGAGGTTGGCCGCGGGAAACTTGTACCCTAGTCAAATGATAGTGGTGGAGTCTGATCTGAAATCCGGGGTAAGCTGCATGCATGCAGGGAGCTTTGACGAACGGAACAACGGCAGACTAAGGAACGCTATGTATTCAATGATATCAGAAATATGCTGCTATGAGATGAACTAGACCGACCCACGTATGCTGTCTATCCAAAACGCCAAGACGATGAGATGCCGAAATAATAACATGCTAAATCACAATTCCACGCTGCGACCATCCACCTCTACCTTTCCAGGCCCAGATCAATAACCCAACAGCAACCCACACAGTAATAGTCTCAGCCCAATAAGTCGGAGCATAGCACTGTTCACCATAGCAGAATAAATCACCACGTTCTTCACTCCCAGGCGCAGACTTTGAGTTATTCGCGCCGTTCTGATACGTCGCTGAGTAGACGAGTCCCCAGAACGTAGACCCTGCTGCGGGAAGCATACCGATGATGCCGAAATTCGTAGCAAAGTTCTCTACGCCCCAGATGATTGTGACGATCAAGGGCGTGAGACTGAAGATTGCGCCGTAGCCTGCGCCAACAAGACCTGAGACGAGCCAGAATCGTTCAGCGTGGTTTTGGACAAGGCCGGATGCGAGGATTAATAGACCGATTGAGAGGAGTGTTGCGAAGAATGCCATGAAGGCGACGCGGGAGATGGAGAAGCGGTTGCTCACTGCAGAACGGGCATGCGGTGCTTGAACATGCTGTGTCTGGGGATATGGTGCCAGAAGATCTGTCAGAGTTCCGATGAAGATACGAGAAGCAGTATTGGTGACGCCAAAGATGGACACATGTGTCGCCGCTGAAGTGCGATGGCTTAGGCCTTCCATCTCAGGCGGTGTAAGTGTACCGATGATTGTACCCAAATTGTTGATAAAAGCCTCGCCTGGTCCAACGATCAGAAGAAACGCCAGAGCAAATGGCCACATGGTGCGATCAGACAGGAACGAACGCGTTTCAGCGTTGAGGACCCAGTTCTTCTTCCACTTTGCATCGTCTTTCGACGGATCAAGTAGTGCTGAGCCCTCCGTCTCATCACCAGTCGCACCGTAACTCCTCTCGGACCTGCCGAGTAGAGAGCTCCCATCAAGTAATCCGCTCTGCTCCAGCTCCTCAATGGCCTCGTCGATAAGCTCGTCTTCATCCACGACACGTAACGTGAATGTGCCCAGCATACCCATGGAAAAGGTCAGAATGGCGAGGAAGAGGAAGAAGCGGAATACGTCCAAGTCGCCCTTGGACCCGTCTGGTCGCGTCTCAGTGAACAGACGAGTTCCCGCTTGACTCAGCCACATAGGACTCAATCCAAAACAAGTAATGGGCGTAGCGAGCGCCAATCCTCGATAACGACCTTTTCCAAAATTTTTGGCACAAGACGACACAGAAGCCATATAAAGCGAGCACGTCGCGATTCCGATGCACACAAACGCAAACATCAAAAACGGAACGGACCAATCTCCATTGACACGATATCCCGGATGGCTGCGAAACTCCAGATCCAATTTTCGATAAACGCCCGCTGCGATGCCATATCCGCTGCCAAAGAGGATTCCTCCCGCCAGCGCAAGCGGTTTTAGCCCAACGCGATCGCAGATATACCCGATGAGCGAAATAGGAAGGTACAGCGCGACAGAGCCGGCGATAGCGACAGCGTTGACCTGGAATTGGGTGTAGTGTAATCGAGACTGGAGAAGAGGCGCGTAGAGGGAGAATACGACGATGGAGCCGCAGGCGAGGGCTATGATGTTTGCTGCGATGAAGGCGATGAAGCGGAGGGCTTGTTTCTCTTTGTTTCTTCGCGCGGGGGAGGATGAGTCGGAGGATGAGGCGTAGGAGCTGTGTGTGGAGATTTGGTCGGCATCGAGGCGCGTGTCGTCGGGGGTGGGAGACGACATAGTGATGAGGTTGAAGGATGTTTGAGGAGGGAGGGTTTAGGGAAGTTTCATGGTTGAAATAGATAGAGTTGGTGAATGTGAATCACGTCAGTTGGGACTGGTCCATCGCGATCCCACGTCATGGGTCATGCTTCGAATCTTACCCCACAATTTTGTGCCGAGGTCGGACACAATTCCGGATCAGTCAGAGGCAGACCGTTATCAATCTTATCAATCTTGATAGACTTGACCACGGGCTTCATCAAACTGCCTTGACTTTTGGCTCGTTGAAAAGTGATTCATGTGTTTCACCGGGTCAGACATGGAGTAAGAAACATCATACACTAAATCACAGCTGATTCACGGCCAGTAAATTTGGAACACATGTCTCGGTCATGCATTTTGTGATACAGACTACCCTAGAGAGTTACCAACAACAACGGGGCGGACTGTTAAGGGCAAGGCATGGCTGAGACGTGTATGTCTTGTGTCTTTACAGCAACGAATAAGGTGAGCGAAATTAAATTGGTCGTCCGTCTGATGAAGACGAACACCTGGACGACACTCAGGAACAGCTGCACATCATGTTCGCTTCAGGTCTTCCATCATCCCTCCTTGCCACATGTAACCCGGAGGACTTCTCCAACGATGAGAGATTGACATGACATGACTGAAGGCGACCAACATTGTCAGTAACGAGCGCATGATCATCAAATCTGGCCAGCTTTTCGGCACCAGAGGAGAGGTATCAGGTTTTCGAAATGGTGTGTCGTATCCTGAATCAACAAAGATGAAACAAGCTCCCTCAATATTTCATGATCGGAAAGCAGGGGCGCTGGCGGGGGTAAAAGGCAGTGATCCTTGGGCGGCGGACCTCTGAGAGCGGCAGGCTTCCGGTAGTCACCACCGTTGATGGCTTTAAATCCTCCCTGCGGTCTTATTTGTGATCGGTATTGGTGCGGGATCTTTTTAACTTTTTTCGCTGCTCAACTGTTGCTTGTGGCCCGGTTAGTGGGTAGTGAACGCGTGGGTACAGTGAGGGGATAGGAAGTGTTGAAGTGCTTGCGAAGGATCGGGTACTCTTCAAGGTTGGGTTGGAATCGTCGTTATTGGAGATTTAAACACCGCCGGGCTTCTTCAGCCGTGGCAGGACGGTCTCGCGGCACATATTATTGCGAGAAGGCTCAAGTGTTCTGTGACCATTCTCCGAGAAGAGTGATGGCAAACTGTGAGCGTGGAAGGGGAGCAGTTACCTATCACTGGGTATTCTGCGTCGATGGGGAGCTGCCGGGCATGAGATATGAGGTAGATCCACCGCTCATGTTTGAAGGTGATGATGAACATGTCCTGCGTGGAACCATTAGATGTTGTACAACATGAACCTGTGAGGCGCGTACCTCAGCAATAATGCTCTTAAGCCCCTTCCATCGATACAAAAGTCAGGAAATTAGGTCCAGTGTTGAGGCCGAGCCGGGATTCCCTATGTTGACGAGCGGCACTGCAATTGGAGGTTCGCGTCGTCTCCGTTCAATCAACGATGAAGTAGGGGTGGTCGCCGGGAGACGTGGCTCAAACGTGGCCGACGGTATGCAGAAGCGTCTTACATGCTTCCAGCTCGACGCAAATCTGTTTCCGAAGCGCTGTCGTGTTCATGGATGTAGAGGGCGCTAAAACGGTGGAGTGGTGTGGATGATACTGGAGTGCTGCGGACACTACATGTTAGAACCTTCGCAATGTTTCAGTAGGGTTGAAACATACCTGATGACATATGAAACACACCGGAAGTGTCGCTGATGCAGAATTAGAATGAAATGAAACGATAGGCGTTGTCACACTCGGAAGAAGGAAGTGTGTAGACGGAGGATGGAATGCACCTTGCAAGACATGTTGGGGTCAATGGACGAGAGTAAGGAAGACAAGAGTTGAGTGTAAATGAATGCTCCTTGTTTAGCTACAGGCCGCCTGTTCTCGCCGACCACCGGACACCCTCTTCACACACAGATCCAGTTGTTGTCAACATATATCGATATGGAAATGGCCGTACGCGGCAACCGCTTGTCGAGTTTGCGTTTGGAGCACTCGGCATCCATTTCCTCATCCTTGACGACGGCGCCGTCCTCCATTTCCTCATCCTTCGACGGCGCCGTCCTCCATTCCCTCATCCTTGATGTTATTGTCGTTCATCATCAGGGTCTTCGACTTCGAGTTTAACCTTGTGGCCAGCAAGCACTGCCATATCATCGTCCTTCAATAGCTCCATCCTCCGTTTCTTCATCCTTGACGACACCTTCCATTTCCTCATCTTTGACAATGGCCTCGCTAAGCTTCGGCAATGAAGTTGACCAGGATCCTGGCAAAGGAATGTCGCCTGCTTGGCCAGTTCAAGAAGATTGAAAGCAGCCGCTTGACCGCGGACTGCCAGAGCATCGGTGAGCTCCTTGAGGTTGTCAAGCCGAGCATTGGTGATTATAAGCTCTCAGCCACAGGTCCCAACTGCAAATAACACATCTCGCCGACCTCCTGCACTCCCCAAAATTGGGAGGGCTGAACTCCGCGCGGAATGTCACCGCCCCCAAGAATGTGGGCGGGAAGATGGTTTGCACCATACACAGAGCGACGTGCAGCCTCCATGACATCGATACCGCGTTCGATTCGATGTTCAGTCCGCTCCGCCGGCCCTTCTCTTCTGCTTGGCTGACTTTACGCTGACCACGGGCCCACTCGCCGTTCCTGATCAAGCGCGCCCGGGCAGGGCCTATTGGGGTTCAAAGTTAGCTCCTGAACATGCCTCTCTGTGTGATCGACATACCGCTGTTCACCTCAATATGAGGGATGAGTATTGGCGTCAACATACTCAGGAAGCTGGCACAGATAAATGGGGGTCTCGTAGACCTCCTCGTCGTCGGACGCGGACATGGCACCGTGTCCTGGGGCGGGATACTGAACCTGGGATGGTCCTGGGCCAACACCCTGAAGGTGAGAGGGACCCAGATACATCTACACAGGCAACCCCAGTACGCTGTCACGACAGAGCGAGCAGTATGGCCCTGGGCCAACATACTGATGGTGAGAGGGGCCCGGATACATCTGAATAGGTTCATGGAACTGTGGATGAGAATGTTGGGGCATGTCCATGTATGTGAAGCCACGGACGGGCCTGTTAGGATGTCAAGTCAGCTTCCACGAATATGCCTCTCAGTGTTCTCGACATACCACTTTTCACCTCGCTATGAGGGATGGACATTGGCCTCAACATCCCCAAGAAGCTGACACAGAGACATGGTCTCGTAGACCTCGTCTTCATCGGGCCTGGGTTTGGGAGCGCGCCCTGGTAGGGCCTGTTTGGTGTCAGGTTAGCTTCCACGAACGTGCCTCTCAGTGTTTTCGACGTACCGCTTTTCACCATCACCAGCCGAATGTACTAGCCCTGAAAATGGATGGCGCTCAAGCGTCTCACTCATACCTCGCGCTCAAGATAGAAATGAAACCAGGTTCTAGACCTCTCCATTGGCATCCATGCTGGATGGTAGAGCGGCAACGGTTTGAACGACCTCATTCATGGGCATGAACTTGCCAGTGAGCACTTGCTGTGGCTGGTACTCCTGGCTTGCCACAATCGGGGCGGCCGGTTCGTCGTCGGAACCAGCCTTCTTGGGCTTGGGGCCCCGATTGCGACCTGGATTGAAGGTTTGATTAGTCGACTAGATTATTGCGACCAGAGCGGAAGCATAAGGCTTACCAGAAGTAGTCTCCTTGACAAGAGTCGCCGGGGCGTTGCCATCAGCTGCCTGATGCTTCAAAGCCCCAATCTTCTTATTGAAAAAGGTCCACTGGTTCATCCGAGTAGCACGCCCTGGTAGGGCCTATTGAAGCCCCAAGATTAGCTCCTGCAAACATGCCTTGGTAACTATCACATACCGCATGTCACCTCATAATGAGGGATGGATGTCAGCGTCAACATCCTCCAACAAGTTGAACAGAGACATGTCTCATCCAAGTAGCGTGTCTTGATAAGGCCTGTAAGCGTGTCAAATTTAGCTCTTATGAACATGCATCTCAGTGTTCACAACATACCGCTTTCACCTCATTACGAGGGATGGATGTTCAAATTACCCATACGTGGGGACGGTACCTGCCCTGAGAGAGGGCGGAGACTTGATGCGGAGTAGAAGCTCTGGCACCAACTGCGGTATACGATGAAGCCCAGGGTGTTGTCATTCGACTGTTCATGCTTCATCCATGGAGCAGGGGACAGAGGATCACCCTCAGTGGGGGGAAGGTCGAGAGCCGGTGAAATGATGCCAGCGTGTTGATCGAGAATCCGAAGGTTGTTGTGTTTCGCAAATGCAGTGCAAAATACAGCTGGTGAACGGGGAAATAGCAGGGCACCTAGCATGAGGGGAGGAGCGAGATCCGCTTTAGAGGCGGTCTCTATCACCCTCTGCGTAGGTCATACTCCGGAGGTGGCACTCAACATCGCCCCGATTTGAATGGGGGCACGAGCTGTGATAGTCTTGAGGGCTGTCGACAGGGCCTTGACGCTGGCTTCCTCGGAATCAAAGTAGTCTTGATCCTGGAGAGTTGCGGGGTAGTCAAGCGAGCACCCGACGATGGAGAGGCGAGGACCGGATCCGCCTCAGAGGCGGTCTCTATCAGCCTCCGACGTGGGTCTCACCCCGCAGCAGACACTCGGCAGTATCACCAAAGTCCGAAAACTTGGGATCACCTCATCTGTCAAATGTCAGTGTCGAGTCCAACGAAGATGCTCGGGGGGCGTCACTCACGCGTTGAACCTCTGCTGGGTTCGGCGCGCTCTCGACATCCCTTGAAAATCCACGGGTGGAAATAATTCTCACGCCACGTCGTACTGCATGAGGGGTTAGCATCGATCTTTCTTGCTCCCAAGAGTCATACTTGTGACTGTGAGCGTTGGCTGGCCGAGGTCTCGATGAACCTGGGCAAGGCCGGCCGTCTTACTCCCAGGAGCCATACTCACTTATGGCAGTGAGCGTTGGCCAGCCAAAGTCACACTGGGCCTGAGCGAGGCGGTGCTCATGGTACGAAAGGGACTGGGCGATGAAAAGTCAGTTCAACTCTGGATGTCACCCAAGAGCTGTGGGATATTCCAATGAAAAGTATACCTTGTTGATTGATAGTTAAAGCATATGATATCTCAACGAGATATATCAAGCCAACACAGTGAAGAGACTTGTGCATTTGGGAAGTGCGGTGCGCAGTGTTAAGAAATATTGTTTGCTATGAAGGAGGTAATGAATGTTTGGATGAAGGAGAATGAATAAGAAATATTTTTTGTGTGTGTTGGAAATTATTGTGAAATTATTGGGAGCTTTTGTTGTGAGGAAGAAGGCCAGGAGGTGACAGTGCCAGAGAAGTGGATCATGTGACCAGTGCAATATGCAGATGTTGCCCAAGTCAAGTCCTCTACAGGAGGGGAACTTGCCTTGGTAACACTCATTTCTCAACTCCGCAAAACCCGTCCATTTTCACTTTTTTCTTTACCACTCACTAATTCTGATCGGTCTACACGCATAGACGCGTCAAAGACTTGCAGTCATGGACGAAAATGACAAGTCCTTGCTCGCAGCCTCCCGGAAGGATGAGCTCGATACTCTCTTCGCCAGCCTGTCACCCTTTGACATCCTCTACCTCAGAAAGAAAATCTCGGAGACCACAATCGTCCTTGATGGACTAGAGAAGCTACCTCCTGAGATGGTGTGTGAGATACTGAAGTATTTCGACTTTGACGACTACCGTGCTTGCCTCGCTGTGAGTAAGAGCTGGAAAGCCAAGTTTGGGCAAAGGGAGACGATGGCTCAAGCACTCCATAACTTCTTCCCTGGCCTCGTGCCCATGAACCCCAAAGATCACCCCCAAAAGCTCTTCTCGCTCGAGCTCAACAAGCACCTCAAGTGGATGCATCCTCACGATAGCCGAACGTGGACTCCGTGGGATCTGTCCACAAACCACTTCTTCTCCCGGCAGAGTGCATCAGTCCATTCCAAAGGTGTTCCGTGGCCCTTCCTGTACAACAAGGGAAGGCTGGTGTGGCAGCTGTCGACGCGGATCATCATCGTTGACGACATACGCAAGGCGAATCGGGAGAGATTCAGCCCTCTTGCTAGTGCCATGAGAGGCGGGCGATTCCAGGCCGCTGCTATAAGCGATCAATTCCTGATCCTTCTAGACTTAGAGGCAGGACTGAACAAAATGTAAGTGACGAGCCAGCATTTCTTGGGATATGATCACTGACGTCTTTAGCCATGTCGCCAAGATGGACACCAGAGACTGGGTTGAGCTTACGCTCCCTACTGGTCTCGACCACGCATATGTAGACCTGAGGAAGATGTTCTTTGTCACCACAAATGGACAAATCTTTAGCTACAGCTGGCGTGAGACTCTTGAAAAAGTAGACCTGTCTGGAATTGGACATGCCTTTGGCCCCCAGCCAGGTTGCTATGGCTTGGCGCAAGTCCTACCACATCCTCAGCACGATAATGTTTTCTTCGCCGTCTGGGCGCTCTCCCACCCTGCTCGTGGTAAGTTCAACGATCCCCCGCTTCTCAACAGTGACTGACGCCAGTAGATCCGAGCCTCTGTACTCTGAAAGTGGTGAAGTTCAAGGACGGAAAGATTGTCGCCACCAAGACCAAGTCAATCCCCAACCCGCTGCAAAACCCCCAGCCGGGTTGCAACGAGGTCACCCGAGTGGCCATCACCTTCTCTAGCCGCAAGTCTGACGACCACGGTACTTACACCCTGGCCACCTACCGCTTCCAGGGCATTGAGAAGAGGAAGCTCGAGCTCTGCGACTGCTGTGACCCCAAGACCTTGAAGGGAGATTGGAATGTCATAACCTTCAACCTCTTCACAGAGTCCTTCGCCAACCACGAATTCCTCTCCGCAGACCCGGACCTCCGGTGGAACGGTCCTCGGGCCATGCAACATCATCGTAACGTCAAGAGACTTGCAGACGCCCATTTCTGGAAGGGAGATCTCGTCCTTGCGTCATCCATCACGTATGATGACCTAGGTCCTCACAACCAACCGGAGTATTATACAGAAACTCACCTGGAGACTCTCCGACCCCTCGACAGACCGGCAGCGCCCGTGCCCCAATGGAGACCTATGAAACACGCAGACCCTGGACAAGTACTACGAACAAAGGTGTTTCAAGATGATGACTTTCTCATTGTGCCCAGCCTGGGTGGAGTGGCACTCTACAAGCCGGAGAAACAGGCGCCGAACGCAGGGACGCTCTTCGACCACACCCTGCCATCTCAGGAACTGGTGCGGGAAAGTCTCCCGTTAAAGTTCCAGTTCTGGCAGAATGCCAGGTTCATTGAGCTGAAACATGAGGATGATCCGGTGGAGGACGATGAAGGCGGGGATGATGAAGGCGGGGACGACGGGAATTGAGGAGGGAACATGGTAGCGGCGGGCTGCCCCAGCCAATCATCGCCGTGTGGTGTCAACCGCAGGTCTGTCCCAGGAGGAACGAGAGTTCCTCGAAAATTACCGCCCGAGGATCTGCTTAAGCAAGAGAGGGTGCAGCCCAGGCCGCTACCAATTCAAAAGCTGGCGGTCCCAAGCAGTGGACATGGACTAGATGAGGTCACTCCTGTCCAATCTCCTGAGAAGTATCCTCCTGTTGCCGAGTCTAGTAACGCGGTTCGGTTTGCCCCTTCGCCGAACGCCCCTCTGGCTATCTCTTGAGTTTCACAACTGTCGGCGGTTTTTGCTTTTCTCTTTGTGTTCATCGGTAGAGGTTAGATCATCTTTATGTTATTGTTGTTGTTGAGCGTTAGGCTGATCAGGTTGAGGATAAGTTAAAAAGATTATCTTGCTATTGCCCTCAGAGCTTTGAGTGGATTCCCAATCGAAGGGCCATCAAAGATCGTGAGGATGAGGACGGCGATCCTGGCGTTAACGGAAAGGGATGAACAGGACCCCTAGATGGTTGCTACTGGTGTTAGAGATCATGTATGGCATTTGCATTGAGACATTATTACACTATTTCTTCATTCGCGATATCCTTACTGTTATGTGAACAGGGTAACATCGGAACGAGATAGCGCAAGAAAGTTACGGGATCAATTGATCTAACGGTACTAACGTCGACCCTGTGTAGCCGCAGTCACTTGTGCCCACCAATCATTAATCCCCTCAACATCGCACCAGTCCATCTCAATAGGGTTCTCAAACCACCACCGTCCATTCTTGCGATCACTCTCATACTTCTTCAAACTCCCGCCATCAAAACGATGGTTCTTCACACCCACAAGCAACACAGCACTTCCAACACGGGGAGTGAAAGCTTCTGGATCCAAAAAGACTGTGAGGTGGACTTGCTTTGACGTAGACGGGTCTGCGAGGCGTGCTACCCGCTGTCGGTAGGGCGGAAGACTCGAGGGTTCAACTGCGGAGAGTTGGGAGACTATGGCGAGGACGTTGCAGGACCAGTTCTGGGCGTAGGGCAGGTGGGGGATTTGGCGGAGGATGGTGAGCTTGAGGGGATTTTGGGGATTGTGCCAGTCGCGGGGCAGGGCGATTGCTTGGTGGGATGTTGGTGTCTCTTGTGTTATCTCAGTCTTTTGTGGACCTGGTGGCCTTCGGGATACCTCAGTCTTTTGTGGTGTATCAGGCTTCTGCAATGTCTCCTGCTTTTGTGGTGTTCGTGGTTTCAGTGAATGTTCTGCCTTTTGCGGTGTCTGTGGTTTCTGCAGTGTCTCTGTCTTTTGCGGTGTTCGTGGTTTCCGCCAGAGTTGTGCCTTTGTTGGTGTCTGCGGCTTCGGAAATGTCTCGGACTTTCGTGGAGACTCAGTCTTTGGTGGCGGAGGTGCCTTCTGAGGTGTCTTGGGCCTATTGGCATTCATGAGTCTCTCAAAGGCTTCGAAAGCTTCTTCGGCGGCTGCTTCGTCGACATCGTCAAACTCCAGATAATCCTCGAAGGCTGGTTTGGGGGGTCCCTTTGGAAGCTTGGGTTGATCAAGAGCCGGCCTGACCTCTGGCTCAGGTTCTGGTGCTGGCTTGGGCTGAGGTGCTAACTTTGCTTGAAGTGCTGGTGCCGGAACTTGTTGGGGTAGAGGTTCATCCTCCTTCTGAAGTGCTCGATATGTTTCGTTCCAACCGACTGTGATCAGGTCCCTCACCAACAGCATCACCATGCTCTGCTCACCAACGTCCTTCCAGTTGACATCGAACTTCTCACACCGAACATAAGCCCCAAAGGCGATGTCCCCCGTGGTGACGAAGCGATGCATATCAGGCGCCAATATCGCCTGAATACAGACCTCCCCATCACCGAGAAGAAGTCGAATGACCTGCCATCTTCCCGATCTTGAGACAGAAATGCGATCAACGCCCTCGACAAGAAAGATACTTCCGGGGACACAGTACCTTGTGCGTAAGATCTCACTGACAAGGGGTTTGAGTTCGAACGGTTCGCCTAGAAAAGTGTTGGCGGCGGCATTGAGCTTCAGCGATCGTTCAGGCATGTGTAATGATCCATCTGGTGTTGGTGTTGATGAAGATGAGATGAGATGAGTAAGTGCTAAGTTAGCTTTCAAGCGTGAATGAGGTCAGTATGCATTTATCCACTATTTACTCAAAGCGGGGTTTGTTCACAGAACACTCATCATTCCTCAACACAACTCAAAATGAACAGTCCGTACGCGAAAGAACTCACCGTAGCTATTGGCGCTTTGAAAAAAGCTGCTCAATTGAGCCAATCGATTGTTTCTGACAAGGATAAAGGCGCAACTGAGAAGGATGACTTAAGTCCTGTCACTGTTGCCGATTTTGCGGTTCAGGCGCTCCTCACAGCCACGATCAAGAATGCGTTTCCGGAGGACAAAGTTGTTGGGGAGGAGGATGCTTCGGACTTGAGGCAGAATTCTGTGTTGATGGAGAGGGTCTGGCAGCTTTTGGGGGGAATTGCTGGGGATGAGGATACAGTTTCGCTGTGCAAGTTGCCTGAGAGCAGGGAGCAGATGTGTGATCTTATTGATGAGTGCGGAGCTAGTAGCCCGTCTGCCAATGGGAGAACTTGGGTGTTTGATCCAATTGATGGGACTAAGACGTATCTTCTCGGTCAGCTTTATGCTATCAACATGGCTCTGCTTGTGGATGGTGAACAGTCTGTTGGGATCGTTGGTGCGCCGAATTTGTCAATTGACGCCCAGGCACCTCTCAAGAACGAAGATATTGATCCTAAAGACGAAGGATGTATCTTCTTCGCTGTCAAAGGTCACGGCGCTTACATCCGCCCCCTACGAACTGATCAACCAAGACGACTTCCTCTTTACACCAATCAGGACACCAGCCTCGTCACCAGCTCAACAGTCGACTCCGCCCTCTCCGGCATTCACGAAATCGTCGCCTCGCGTCTCAACACCCCTTATCCAGGAAACGACCTCCTGCCTTGGGTTCTTCGCTGGGCGGTTCTCGCAATGGGTCTCGGCAACACGACAGTCTGGGTTTACAAGCGTCGAGATCGATACGCTAAAGCTTGGGATCATGCGGGTGCCATGTTGTTGTTTGAAGAGACTGGTGGAAAGATTACGGATGTTCATGGGAAGAAGATTGATTTGACAGCGGGGAGGAAGATTAGTGCTAACTTTGGGTTTGTTGGTGCAAGGGAGGGGCATGAGAGGGTTTTGGGGGTTGTGAGGGAGGTGTTGATGGAGCAGGGGAAAGAGGAGTTCTTGAAGTGATGGGGCGCTGAGGGGTGATTGCGTTATGTATGGAAGAATTGGAAAAGTGTATTTCGCAAAGTTGCTTTGGAAGGGTCGTGTCTTGATGTGCAGGAGTTAGTTGCTGTCAAAGGTCATGTCCTCTCGCATGCATCGTGAGATTGAGGGCTCAATTGAAAGGGTGATATAAGTCTGGTTCCAGATCCCAACGCGCACATATAGTTCAGAAAGCCCCTAGATGATATCGCTAAAGTGCTAGAGTGTCAGCATGGGTGATGTTTCTGTGTGGTGGACCTTGAGCGTTTACTTGCGAGAGCGAACACAACACGACACAGATCAATGCCGGTTGTTGTTTATGGAGCAAGGCTGGTCAATGAATAAAGATGGTTATAAATTGAACTATCGACTTCGTAGCCACGTAACGAAGCTTCGTGATATTCGAACCTGCTCCCTCCTTCCAGAATACCCCTGTGGGAGGGATTCGACTGTAACTCGAACATTATGACTCGATACCTGGTTTAGCCAGAACCCGGTTAGCTCAGTACTCTCATTATACTGTGTTCTTACTCACTATCTTAAATGTGATGCTGTCTCAGGAATCTGCCACCGAGAAGGCATTTCCAGGGGAAGGGGACAGGTGATATTGACACTCTCCAATAATGCTGCACTTTACCAACCGAAGCTATCGAAATGGGTGTTGATTAAATCCGATTGCATAAATGAAGCGAACGAAGCAGGTGCTTGCTGGGTTGAGGGGTTGGCTGGGACTGAGAAGGTTGAGGCTGTTTGGCGCCCTGCACACGAAGTTGCTGAAAGCACTGCTGAGGCAGTTGGACAGGTTGTGCAATCGGCTAGTTTTGGTTGCGAGGGAGCTTGCACGGCAGGATTAGACAATTGCCCCTGACATAGCTACTGCGTTGCGCTTCCGATATTTTCATTGGAAAAATCGACCATGCAATGAGTAGATGCCTTCGAAAGGCGATGGACAATGCATCTGTTAGCTTAGCATGCAGTTGAGGAAATGCGCCAGGCCAACACCACGGCGTACTACGCCGGGCGACGGGCCTCAGCGGTTTCTTTAAGCACGCCATGTTCCGTCCCAGAGTCGGCCCCCAACGACCAAGGCGGCATGGGCAGCATTTTCCCTGCGTTGTGCGAGGAGGAAGATCTGATTGGTGCGGCGAGTTGGCACATACACCCAGGACGAAGACTCCGGCAGCTGTGACAATACCGTCGATGAAATAAACTTCAGGTATGGCTGGTTGGCTTGACTTGATGTTGTCTCTGGGAATTCGATCTTGATAATTGAAACGGTCGGGGGAAGACATGAGTCTGGCTTTGGAGTTGAAGCAGGAATTCGAGTTTGTGACTTCTTCTTGGGATTGGAAATAATACCTAAAATAAAACTTTAATAAATTAGCTTCTGTGACATCTTGGAATAGAAATGAACCCTGGTACTCACTTTGAGACGCTTTTGAGGCTGTCCTTTGATCAATATCGTGAACACTCGAAGCTGGGTAACGGAACACCCACTTTCCCGTCACCTCACAATCACTCCAAGTCTGTTCTTCGAATCAGTCTGCATTCCCATCTACTCACTTGTTCACGAAAAGTTGTTAAAGTGATCGGTACGTGTAGATAGGTGTTCACCTCGCTGTTCAACAACTTACCAGGGCCCCTTTGCTTGGCTACGATAGCTAGCTTGCCCTGCATGACAGATATTCACTATTGTCTCAGACAGAACTGTAAACGAAAAATATGAAAGTGAATGCTTGGTGAAGAAGACTGAGCCAGCACTGACGGGAAACCGTCACTTCTCCCCGCTGGACTCCCGCTGGCGCTGGCGCTGCTGCTCGGGAGGGGGTTAAGACTCTGGCAGAAATCCAACTCTCCCCTCGCTTTTCCCTTTCCACAAGACTTCCGAACTTCAGCAATCAAAATATTTGCAAAAGCTTTAACAAATACCAACGCAACCAGATTTCTTTCTATCTCGGAGCATCCTCTGCTACTCTTCAGAAGTCAAGAAGCCAAAAGTAAGTGAACTGTTTGCTTTATTCTTGTCATTCAAATCTCAGAGTCTCCTGTTTCTCCACAAGAACGAAAATCCGCTCGACCCAAAATACTCATCTCACGATCCTTCCCTTGAGTATTCGTCGAGATTTTTGAAGACCTTCCACTGACCTGTTTGTAGCTCCTGCCTACTATCATGTCACTTCCGTCATTCGTGCATCTCCCCCGTGAGGTTCACCTCCTGATCGGAAGGCACCTCCAGCCTTCTGAGATGGAGGGCCTCATCCTCTCGTCAAGGCACATGCGTGTCACCTATTGTCAAGCATTCTATCACTCACTCGCATTTCGTGGAACGAAAGCAGATCTGATGGGATACCTCTAGGCGTTTCTCCACGCCGAAGCCAACCGGCCCACTACCCGGGCAATGATCCACGCCGTCAAGTAAGCTTCAATCGTCTTGCACGAGACTACAGACCGCTACTAATACAGGATCCAGGCATGTCACGTTAGAGTTAGAGCCAGGACAACCATCACCAGGGCCGCAGGCAGAGTTAGTCCTACCACGACTTATCGCCAGCTCCTTGAGCGCGCTGTACAAACTCCAGGGGATCCAATTGGACCTCTGGTGGTTTTCAGATGCCCAAAGAGAGGAGCTGCGCAATAAGTGCGTGGCCCTGCCTGTCTGGACGGGCCTGCGGTCAATCCAGATGGAGGAAGCCGACCCAGAGCTTCTGGCTGTTCTGGCCAGCAAGACTCGGGCGGAGTCCTTCAGCGGACTGCAACTCGAGGGCCAGCTCAATTTGCAAGCCGCCAGGCGATGTTTTCCTTTTCTCAGATGACTGGCAATCCCATTTGAACTTCCCGCCGTGCCTGCTGGGAACCTAGCAAGCACGCCGGCGGGAGTTCACAACAACAGCGAAATGCTGCTGGACTTTGGTCGCCTGGAGTGGCTGGTGCTGGCGCCCGTCCAGCTTCCAGTGGGTGGAATGGAAGCGGTCCGCGCTGACCCAAAGGTACGTTTACTCATTATCTACTTCTGTCTCAGCATAGTCTAGGTCATAGACTTAAGCTGTCTGTATTGCGTCTATGACTAGTCTTGGCTACTTTTACCACTGTCTTAATATAAAGATTTACTATTGTTCTTGTAGCTTTTCGTGCGTGCCCTTGTCAAGGATGTGTCGAGTCTTCGACACCTTGAGCGGCTGGGGTTGGCGTTCCCGAGGGCAATCCTAGTGGCTCATCAACCCGGGGTCCCGGGGACTGGCACAGGTATGGACGCTGTCGAGCATTATGTTCGGCAGCTAAACAGCCATATCTTTGCCAAGCTCCCTGCACTAAAGCAGGTGGCCTTCCTTCATGGAACCACTGTCTTCAGGGCAGTAAGGGGGGCGGATGCCGCCATTCGTTTCTCTATCGAGAACGATTTGGACAGGCATGCGTTTCCCTTTGGGGCTCTGTACTGAGCTTGCTCAGGCCAGCCGGCGGCACCAGGGACACAGATCCTACCTCAACAGTAAGTCTTGATGATGCTTCCACGTTGCACGTTGAGAGTAGTTGATAATGTATTTGGGTAGCCATAACACTGCGGCAAGTCAAAATCTGATACGCGCCCACCGCACCAAGATCTGAAGGGTCTTTGCTTCTTTTCTTCGCCTTTTACCATCTCCTTTTTTTCCGCCCCTGTTTACGAGCCACTCCAAGATGTTGTTAAAGAATGCCGAGGAAGTGCGAAGCGTGGAGTTCACGGAATAACTGTTTTTATTTTTGTTTGAGAAATCGAAGCCTGTTTGTGGATAATTCGGAATAAACATGACTCTTCTGCTGAGTTGCAGAGAGATAGAGAGAGGCCACAATAAGACACAATATCATGCATGCATAAGTCCACACAAGTAATATCACTGCTGTCACTTTGAGAATGTATCGTGATCAAAGAGAACATCAACTGTGTGTTCACGTCGGATGTTCCACTTTCTCAAGATATCTTCGTGAATGTCAAGACAGGAGTTACATAAAGTCCAAAGAACATTGGCTATCATAGGTATGATTGCTTAACATAAACATACTGCAGTAGTGAAGTATATCGAACATCCACTAACCACCGATATCATACGTTCTTAAGAATCTAACATACACCAAGACAGTCTTACTGCTTGCAGTCAAAGAAACCAGCTTTTCTATAAGTGCTGGCCCGACATATCTCGCTGAAATTACAAGTTTTAGTAACTAAGATTACCTCTGGCATATTACAATTACTGCTGAAAAAGTCCCCAAGACCTCTGAAATAATTACAATTAGCACGTTCAGTATGCAGTTGGGAGTGACAGTGGCAGCCATATCCATTCTTCAGCCTGGCCCGCCGCGTTACGCCCGCCGGTTCCTACCACTGGTGTTGAATCTTTCCTATTGTTCGGTTACCCAACGCGCAGAATGCCTTACGTTCATCTTCTGGGAACCATATTCCCTCCTTCGTCTTCTTGGTAAAGCAACTTCTCTCAACACATCCAATATCACAGTCATCACCTTTCTCACTCCCGCCAAAGAGCTGCCTTTTTGAGTCTGTCCGCGACCTAAACCGACATTTAAATTTCCTCTTTAGACGAGAACCTCGCCAACAAGCGACTTACCTACTCCCACGCGGCAGAATCACACATACAATACACATCCCCCTACCACGAATTCACAATCAGCACTTACAGCTTTCGAGGGTACCGAGCACCGATTCTCGGTGCTGCTATCTTCACTTACATCACTCTTCTCTTCCGTACCATGCCATCCCTCAGCTCGCTCCCCTTGGAGATGTTGGGAGAGATTGGAGGTCATCTGCAGATGCAGGACCTCCATAACTGTTCACTTGCTTGTAAAGTGCTTGATGTTGGGATACAGAGGCACTTGTTCCGCAAGATGGCATTTGCTGGGACTAGGGCAGTAATGGCGGAAGTCCTCTTACGCTTCCTATCAAACAAAAACCAATCACGTACCCGAGCCATGAGCAGTGTATGCAGGTAGGGAGCCCAGAAAACATATTTCGTATGACTTTTGCTGACTCGCTTTGCAGTTCCCTTCGGATCGAGGTGCTGCCACAGGACGACGATCCTTTCGACGAAGGCAAGGACTTACTACCTGCGCTGCTCATTTCCACGAAAAGAAATTTGCCCGGCGTGACTTCCTTGTCTCTTTCTCTCCATGGGCTGTCGAGCTCCGAGATTGCCTCACTTCACAGAATGTTGAAGGAGGGTCCCAGGTGGGACGCGGTCAGAGTGTTAGTATCAGATTTGCGGCCCCTTGCTCTATCCACGTTCCTTAGGTACTCCCTGCGCAACGTGGAGAGTATGGATGTTGTTCCTAGCATGGCTCGACACGGGGTAGCCTCCATCAAGGAGGGCTGCCCGGATCTACGCAGACTTCGGGTGAATTTCAAAAACCCGCTGTACGATTTCCACCAGCACCTTAGGGGAGGCTCTCGGGTCAAGCTGAACCAGTTGGAGAATATGGAGCAGCTGGTAGTCCAGGAGAAGGGGCCGGCGACTGCCTACCCAATCGGCGGAATATCCCGACCGATAGATATCACGACCCGACTCTGCACAATCGCAGACCAATTGAGAGATTCGCCAACTCTTAGGCAGCTCTCAATTGAGTTCCATCCAAGGATTATGACCTGGATCATGCTTCCGGCGCAAAGACTTAATCCCGGACAGCGCCACCGAACCGAACTGGACACTTTTGTCATGACAGGCATAATGGCGATGGGAGCGAGACTCCCACAAGTGGAGGAGATATGCTTGGTAGAGCGCAGCGCTGTATTCAACGGCGTCAACATGATTCACCGGGGTGTTCGCGACCCTGAAGGTGAGATGGCCGTCACGATCGAGGCCCCCGGCCATGAGAATACTTTCCCCTTGAACATTTCGCACTAGGGTCTGTCAGATCGAAGAGTATGACGATAGTACAATGAAGTACAAGCGTGCTCTTTCTCTTTTTCCTTCCCGTTTTACTTCTTTTTTGATAGACCTACCAGAGATAGTGTCCTATGTAGGGTGCAGGGTTTTCGGCAAGGTTTTGATGTATTTGGTTGGAGTTCAGGTTTTTACGAAGATGTCGATGTAGAGCTTCAGGCCTACACTTTACTACATGAATGAATAATGAAGATGTATGAGTCTGTAATCTTGATCCCAAAGTCGCAAGGTGGTATATTTCTAAAAGCCATTGTGACTGTCTTAATTAAGGTTTTGCACATGGCTCGTCAGAAACCGCAACCAACGTCCGCCAGAGACAGGGACGGGTATTACATGACCAATTGCGGCACGTTTTTGGACCAGTTGAATACCTAGACCTCGCTACCCGTGTCATGGATGTGTTGTGATAGATGCTTTGACGGCTGGGACGTATAGAAGAGGCAGTGGTTTTGGTGAAAGACTGGGTTGGTGAAGTCCTTCAGCGAATACCACGACTTGACATCCTTAGACGAGAGACCGCACTTCTGAATGATAGCGATGCTTCAGGGATGGAGATCTTAGGGCGTTCTTAATATTGATCGAAGAGAAAGTTGCTGAAGCTTGGGTAGGTCGTTGACCTCGCAGTGGAAGCCAGCCCCTGAAAATGTGGTTCGTCACATCATATGGGAGTTAGGTGGGGGGTGGCTAGGTCGGTACATGGCAATGCTGACCCGAAGAAACTCGCCCGTTATCAATCTTCCCTTCAGCACCAAAGGCCGACTCCCTTCCCCCCTGAGCCTCTCCTCCGCCTTCGGCCTCAGCGCGTCACCGCGTCCCATCTCATTTCTCGCGTTTTCATCTCATATTTACAGTTGGACAAAGTCCTTCCATCATCTTTTCGCGGTATCCATGTTCATTACCACAACCATTTCCGCCCCTTCTCTCTTCTCATCTAGTGTCCTGTCGGCCACTCCAGCGGTAAGATGGTGCGTTTGACTTGATCTTGTCCAGAAGCAGTCGCTGACCTCGATGTACGAAATTCAGGGGTTCATTGGAAGCTACTTTATTGGGCGGGAGCTCAAAGTCCTCCGTCATCTCTCGCACCAATCGCCGCTGAGTTACGGGATAAAGTGTTCTCAGTGTACATCTCTCACTCCGTAACTTTCACATCGTTTTGCTTGCTTGAGAATCAAGCTGCGCCTCTTCAGACTCGGGTCTTTGACGTAGCGGTCGACGGAGACGAAGCCGCCCTCTCGCCAGCTATTTGGGCACTGCATACGAGACAACCTGAATTGTGCACAACGGAGATGATGGTTGAGTTTCCGATAGCACAAATCCTGCCACTGGTGTCGGATGGAAGAACAATAAAGACAAGCCATGAGGAAGTACGGCTGGCCGGATGAGTGCCAGAGGAAGGGGCTTCGGCATTCCGCAGAACAGGCATGTGGGCGCTTGACGCGCAAGGGTTCAGAGGCTGAGGAGGAATCTGAGCTGGAGATACAGGCAGCGTTGGTCATCAGATGGACCTCAAGCGAGGGTTGAGCCCGCTGGCGGTTTAGGTAGCGCCTTGAAGGTCCATCCCTTGCACTACATCAGTTCGTAGTCACAATATCAAAGCCTCCGTGGCTGGTCAGGTAATGAAGTTGGGGGGTGCTCATCTCCAGCCCCTTTCTTACACCGTCTGTTCCACAAACGATTTTGACTTGCGATAGACATCGCCGTGTACTTCTATGTCACATGTCGTGAAAACCACACTGGCCAGAGCCCGGAGAACCTGTCTTCGGCGTGGGAGGGGGTAGCCGGGGCGCGGTGTGGTAGAGCGCCTTGTGTTCAGCAAAGAAAGGTACAGTCTTTGCCGCTCACAAGAATAAGAGACATTGTTCCTGCAAGGATGTAACTGGTGGTTTTTTGGGTGACGCTCTGACCGCGTTTGCATAAGGATGGTTGTCTAGCGCGGCTGAAGGCCTTGAAGAAACTGAAGCTGAAGAGCCCTAATCCAAATTTCACGTCTGTTTATCAATAGTCGCTGACGCAGAACCATCATCACCTTGAGTGGGCCATTTTACTGAGATCACGAACATGAAGGATCATGGAAGGAGCGTATGAAGTTCATGAATCAAGCTTAGATCAAAAGGTATCCAGAATTTCGGACGGGAGATGTGTTGTTATATCGCGTAGCCTAGAGACAGAACAAGGGCATATTCAAGAACACGTTATCCCTCTATGAATGTACATTATGACATCCCCTTATGATGGTACACACCTAGAAAACGTATCCATCGTCTTATCACTTACTGTTTGTCTTGCAGCTGCATGACCCTTTCCATTATGGATATCTACTCATCTTCACTGGTGACATGTAGCTTCGATTGGTGCTTCGTCCATACCAACAAATTTCCACAATCTTCGGTTTCTCTTACTGGTATGTGACCTGACGCGACAATACCACAGCCATTCTTCAAATTCACAAAATGGGTTACACTGAGTCCAAGATGTTTCCTGACACAAGGGCTCTTCTGAAGAGGCGACCGGGTAGGATGTTGAGCTTCAGATGGTGGGTTAGGAGTTGGATCGCGACTGTCATGCCTTTAGATCATCCTGTTCTCCCAGAAACCAAAAGGACTTTTCCATCACCCAATGACGCATAAGTAGCCGCCCACGTTCATCTCTACCACCACCATTCCCTTCGTCCGTCCCACCCTCCTTCAGCTCCGATGGTCCTCCATAAGTCCTTCATCGCTCTCCAGGTTTGGGAGAGTCTGTCCCCAGACAAGTTGGGCAAATCCTCGTGAACAAGGGGTGTGATGGCTTTGAGCCATTTCAGGAGGGCAAAGACAAGACCTGGGTGGCCTTGCCTAAAAGGGTTGATAGCAGTGAATTCCTCCACCACAAGATCTCTGATCTTGTCCCAATTGGTTAAAGCGTTGAAGATGGCAAATAAGCTGCCTGCGGCTCTGGGGTTTCGGGATCCACGGAGCTGTCGGGATGTTGGCTTGGTAAATTGCTTAAAAAGCGTCTTGATCGTTTTGTCGACGCCGTGGCGCATCGCGAAGTTTTTCAACTGGTGGTAGTCGACGAGCGCCTTTAGGGTCTCGCAGGCCACGAAGTGAATCACCTGGTGGTGATGGTAGGTGATCAGAACGGTCTTATAGACAATCTCGACTGTGGTACGTTAGGTTGTGAGTGTTTAGAAAGAGGTATGGGACTTGCCAAGGGTTTGCTCAAAAATGGTTGAGTTCTCCATGTTTAGGTTTACAGAGAGCGGATGATGAAGAATGGAAGGAGAGAAAACGGCAGTCGAAGGAGAAACTTATGGGTGAGAATTCCGCACTAAAGAAGTAAGAGGTGGGCTAGTAACCTATCGATAATGACACTGACAACGGACCGTCACTTCAATTGATGTGGAGGGGTGCTCGGCAGGTCTCCTCTTACCAGCCAGTGATCCTACAGTACCCTTGGCAAGTTTACAGTGGCCTCGCTACAATAAGGGACTTGGGGAGGTCTTGAGTGAGCTTGAAAGTACCTAGGTATCTTGTCCTACTTGAGTTTGGGAAGAAGCCCCATGCCGCGAGGAGCATCCCAAGCTGCGATCGAGGTCAGTGGTCTTGCCGATTTGCGGCCAGGTCAGTCATCTGTGAAATCACTCCCTGCATAAGGTGAATATGGTCAAGCTTCCTTACAATTGATCATGCCACATATCCATGTCTAGGTTTAAAAGGTTTCGTGAATATGGACGTAGCTTTGCTGGACCGTCTTGCGCCGGAGTAGTATGTTCGATTGTTCCCGAGAACCGTGGTACTTGCGCTCACTAGCATCACCAATCGCTGAGAACTTTGGTTCTTGGTCTTTGTTCATGATCGCATGAAATTGCTACGGCTTTCTCTTAGACAAAGTTGCCTATAGGTTTCAAGAAGTGTTCGCGAAACCATCCTTCACGTCATCATTCCCTTGTTTGTGTCGACGATATCAACAAACTTCACGTCGCCTTGGAGTCTTGCTCCAGGACTCGATTTCATTCCCTACGATGCCTCCCGCTTCGTCGTTGTCCTCCTTCATCTTTTATCCGAACCTTCAGTCGTCTCACATTCTTTGGCCCGTGGCGACGCGGAATCGTATATTTGTCCTTTTCACTTTCCAGGGAGATATTCGTAGCTACGGTCCCACTGCACGCAATTTTCTGGCTACTCCGTTGAGCTTGGTCCCTTCTCTCTAAAGGAGGGTTCGACTGTGGCTTACACCGCGCGGCGAAGGCATAGAGACATTTGTAGGTGAATCAAAAATTGTTCAAGCCTGCAACGATTTCTTCGGGGCACATTGCTTCAGCATCAAAAAGGGGGGGGCTTACCGCTGAGAGATGATGACAAAATACCGTCGCTCATGTCCATGTTCCGAATGCAGATGAGGATTCCATTGAAGTCATCGGTAGATTGCTTAGCTTTCTCCCAGGCTACCTTCAGTGTTGGACTTTGTTCAAGTTGGAGGTTGGATCATCGAGCGGAAGGGCGGGAACGGAGGGACAGTATGGTCGGCGACGCTGTCGGGATCAGTCGCTTGATAGATTGTGGAGGTCACTATCAGCTTGTCAAGACACAGTTGCAATGTGGGCACGAAAATGGTGAGAGTCGCTAGAGTCATCATCAAGTCACGCGAACTTGGGAAAACCTGGGAGCTCACCTTGGTGCGTACTGGGGAAGGCTTCAACGTCCTAGCAGCTGGAGCATTTTGAAGGTGTAGCATGATCCGTAGCGTAATGTGATGTTCTGGGGGCGGCAAGTCGGCTTATTCGTCCGTCGTGATGTTGTGGCAGAGCGTTGGGAGGAGCGTCCGTTGCGAAATGGGCGGGGTCAGAATCGACGATGCTTCTGTATAATGACAACGATGCACTCACTGTGTTATCCATGAATTGGGATCAACTACCAAGGTAAACTATTTTAAATGCTCTCATGGGTTATTTGACTGAAGATGTAGATGCATTTTGCTTGAGAAGGAGACGCATGCTGGGCAATCTCACTCTTTAGGGTAGGTTGACGATGAGCAGAAAGTCATGTAATTATCGTCCAGTTTGCAACAGAATAAATTGTTCATGTACAAACCGCTTCTAGACAGTCCATATGAAGTCTCCAAACCTCAAATACTAATTCAAAATGAAAATGCTCCAAGATCTCACCCTGCCTCCTTTTTGTTCGCATTCAACTCTGAAGGTCATCTACGCCGGAATTACAGCTAGGGAATTGTGAAAGTCATGTAACCGCCTCGGAGTGAGATTCCACTGGAATTTGTCTTCATTCATTATTTAGACATTTAAAAAGAGATAGGGTTTCGATCTGCTTCATGAACAAATTGGTTGACAAGAGGACATGTAGTCTGTGGTTCTCTGTTCAATTGCCGCCCCTGAACACATGATTGGCCAGAACAGCCGCGCGCATAACTTACAACATTGTACATGTACTTCATGTCACAAACACTCTCTCATAATTTCTACCCTTCGTATCAAGCCTGGAAATACTATCTGGCCCTTTGCAAGATGTCTGACACTTCACCACCTGAGCGCGTAACCGCTATACATCGTCGAACCCCTTTCCCGTCACACCCGTACCTTCACCCTCTTCCACGGCGCTTATCATGATGATCCCTGTTTTGGGAAAGGACAGCAGATTGATAGTCTCGCTGACTGAGCGGTAGACATCCGAGAAATCATTGGGAGTGAAGGATGTGGAGCCCAAGGACCTCATTCTTGAACGGTTGAGCCAATGCTGTGCCATGTCGCTTGCGGTATTGTTGGCGATGGTGTATTCGATCGGGGGGTCATCGGGGTGAGCGTTTTAGGGACGTTTCAGGAGGGTCTTGAGATGACGATCGAGGAAGGCGATTATAAAGAGGAGGAGCAGAGCAGCCCGATCAAAATGCAGGCTATGCAGCGGGATCTTCTGAACCTCCAGCCTCTGGAGAACCCATCGGATGATACCAGAGCCTCGCAGGCTTTCATTTTACTTGGCCACGGTGAAGCGGATGAAAGGATGCCGGTAGGGCTGGGGTGGGGCGCGGCGCGGGTGATGCGAGATGCTGGGTACGACGTGGAGTGGAAATACTATGAAGACCAGGGACATTGGTACAAGATTCCTAATCAGATTGATGACATCGTCAGTTTCACCATACATAAGTTTTGGTGGGAGAGTGCTCTATTAGACTTAGCCAGCTTGATCCTGGTAAAGGTGGATCGATTGTGAAGGGGGATTCTGTGTCGGGATAGGAGACCCCCAGACCTGACGATCAGTCACCTTCTCATTCCGTCGTGTTTCATTGCTGCTTTTGGTTGACCTGTGCCCTTCTCTTAATGCCAGTTCTCAGTTGGCTGGAACTTGATTTCAATGAGTGACCCCGGTACTCTAGAAGGCGGCTGTTTGCTAGTGTGCTATGCTCCGATGAGCACAGGTTGGTCGACGCAGCGGCGCTTGACATATTGCTATGTTGGATTGCCGCGTCGATGGCGTCTCCGCTCCTTCAAGCCGTCGCCATGCCTGGAGCAACATGCCAAGCTTCCGTCGTGTGTGTTGGAGTGACATATCGCTAGCCCCCTTTTCGGCATCATCATGGAGGAGGATGGGGAAGATCGAGTATGGAACTGGATTTTTCTCGACGAACTTCCAGTCGTCTCTTGTGTCAATGTCCACCGTTGACCCGTGTTGCAATTCATCAAGGGGGTAATGAGCGTTGAGTTCTAAAACGCCTTTCAGATGGGCTTGTTGTCAAGGATCCCATCCTTCTTGCGGCCGTTCAATCAATCTTTATTGCGCTGTCGGAATTGGGTCTCTTAGCGGGGATGGCGGTATGTAAGCGCTTCTGGTTGGGATGTTGAAGATGTTGCTATGCATGCTGGTCAAAGTGCGGCTTTGTGAAGCTCAACAACTTCCTTCCACCTCCAAGAAGCCGCGGGCTGTTGACGACCGAACCTGTAAAGCTGTACTGAGGGAAGTGTAATGGGATGTCGTAAGATCGAGTACTGAGAGGTCGCTCGTCCGGCATGATTGTGCTCCAGAGGCGACAGCGCATCTGAGACAGGTTAGCAGAGGGCATGGGGGAAAGTCGTCGCTTGGGCCGTGAGTTGTGATGATGGTAGCCTCGTGTTTCTTCCCGGAGGGAGGAGATGCAGCGGCTACTCTTCAAAAGGTCAATGTCTAAGCAGATGTGACATGTCGGATATCATCCCTTCTGAAAAGCGCCCACAGTCCAGGCCCGAATGAAGTCTAGGGACCTTGGGCGCCTTTGACCGAGTTGATGGCCATCGTCTTGGGGACTCTGAGCGTACTGGCTCATCTCTGCCGTGGACTAGTTGGCATCCTCGCGTATCTAAACTTCGCGCCAGATAGGGCTGAGACCGTTGTATCGTAGTCGTTTGGGTGTATTGTTCGAAAGTAGTGTCGCTGTCAATCAGGCCGAGTGTTGCTCTGCGCAGAGGGTCAATAAGAATGTGTTTTGAACATGATCCAGAGCTGACCGCCTACCTGTTTTTGAGGGCTTCTGTTGGCAAGAGTCGGAGGTGAAAGATGAACCACATATGAGGCCCTCCTTCAAGCGCCATATCATGTTCGATGGTGAGCCCCCTTACTGATGGCGGTCGCTGTATATCGGCGGACATGTGCCTCCTTCAAAGGCGACGACTTGCAGAAATGCGAAAGGAGAATATTAGTAGCGAGTCGGCATGTATTTTCAACTCAAGTCCCTGACCACAGCTGGCATTTTAGAGTGGCAATGAATGTTCAAGTTTCTTTGACCTTGGTCGCTAAGGGAGACTCGTTGTCGTGATATCACAAGCACCCCCTTTCCGCGCATGTCGCCAAAATCTTGAGTCGAGCAAGGGTTTCATCGAAGAGGGCGTTGGGTTGGACTTCAAGGCGCGAGTGCCTGGAGCGGTATCGGGCTGCCTTCGCAAGGTTATTAGTGGGGTGGGGTGTTGGTAGTAGACTCGGGCATGACTTGTTAGAAGATGGATGGATGGAGATCGATGAGCCAAAGCAGTCAATGAGAAGAGTTCGAGAAATTCCGCACCACAACATGGATACCTGGTTTTATATATCCGGGGGAACATATTTGCATGCTTGAGCCAAGTGGTGCATGCAATCCTTTAACGAGAACACGTGCCTCCGTGTTTACCGGAAGTACCAATTTCTGAACTATCTTCACTCAACACTCAGTTGATCAGTTCATTCCACAAATGCTACTTCTATAAGAGGGAGACTAAGACTACCTGAGATCTCCATCGACGGACCTATAGTGATTTTGGGTGTACTCGTGGGGATGTCGGCGCGTGATAGCAGCACTCGATAAACTTGCAGAAAAGTCCGCCTTACGGTCCAACTGGGATGGGAACACAACAGCTTCATGAGCTTCCAAGGTACTTGTAGGTTATTGCAAGAAGCAGTTTGCCTTCAGAGATTGCCCGCCTCGGCTTCCAAGGGTCATCATCCGCCACTGTCTGCTGCAGACCAACACCACGGTCCACCCCCAAACACAAGACACCTCATGATACAGAGCCTCTCCAGCTTTCTGGTGTTTCCCGTTCTTCGCGAGTGCTTGAGATCGTTCATGTACGAAATTGATGTAAGTTTCAGAAATGTTGCTTCTGATTCGGAAGCCCCTGAATTCAGGTCAGCATCAGAAACTGGTTTTAAGAAAGTCGCGACTGAGGTAGGAAGCCCTATGGCTTCGAATTAGTACTAACTAGTACCGCGAGTGAAGTAAATCTTACCAAAGCCTCCGTGCCCAAGTCTTCCATGGAGCTGCGGGCGTGTGATTCTGTGTCAAGCATGATGAAACTGAGCAGCCCCCGACCAACACTGAGTCAATTTGATGCAAGATTGAATGGCTTGTACGCCTTCAGTTGCCTTGATAGTCATTACGATCAGGCGGCCTCATACCACATATCTTGTAAAGTCGAAGCTGGTCATGGTCGGGAGGCGATGTGGAAAGGGGGGGAGCCGCTCTTGTGCCAGCGATGAAATGATATGCCGCGATCTTGCATGGAAGGTAATTAGAGGTAACTGACGGTGCTTTGATGGTGTTTTACTGCTGTCATTGCCGCTGTTTCTTATCCTTTGGGTGTGGCCAATGTGGTAGGGAGCTCGCAATAGTCGGCAGTGAGATTCATACCTCGATTGAGTTGTTCTTCTTGTTCTTTCGGTGCCTATACTCGTGTGAAGTGCAAGCCAACCCGACTTGGGATGCGTAAAAGTCGGCAATGCTGTGTGTTGTTTGTCATAAGGGGTACATCGGTCAGGATGAGTTGGGCGAGGGGCGAATGAGAGGGTATCATCCTGACTTTCAAAATACCACTCCAACACTCTCTTAAGGGCATTCGTCTTGATTGTAAAGGTTCAATGTGTTGAAGTGGTGGCGGTATCTGTTGGTTTGTGGTCAGAATCAGGGAGTGTTCTGGGGTCCAGTGCTTGAACGCGAACAGGGACTTTGTGCAGAGAGTGTTCTTACCTAACGACCTTGGCAACCACACCTATGTACAAAGGGGCCAAGTACAGCACTTTGATAACCAGCTAATAGCTCCGCAAAGCTATGGACAAGGAGTGCATCCATGGATCCCCAAGTGTCGACCTGCCAGTAAATGACATAACGAGGAAAATAGCAAAGTGAACTTATTGTTTAAAGGTCACAATCCCGTGATGCACATTGAGACAACTAAACAATAGAATATCACAGCACGGGGGGCGTATGGAGGGGCCTGTTCAGGGCATCAGCTGCCCGCCGGTGACTAGATAGGTGCACGTACGTCTCCCAGGGGACAGACAACGTACTAACGACCACTGAAGCTCCTTTCCGGTTGCACAAGCAGTCTCCTCAGTGAGTTCGAGGGTGATATCATTGCTGTCAGTGGCAGAGAAGCACGGTTGCCAGTGGAAGAGGGCAAAAGCCCTGATGTTGCGGGCGCAGCTTGGTTGCTGGGGCTATATCTTTCTCCCTCGCACCTTTCTCCTCCATCTCTTCTTTTCTTCCTCTCTCATCCTCAAACATTTTTATCCCACAACATCAAATATCATTATCCCCAACACACCTCTCCCCTCTCCCCTCTCCCCCCTTCTTCTATATATACACATACTATATCGCCAACATCAAGAGTCTTCTGGCTCGGGGCCCAGGCTCGCATCCTCAACAAGAAGCAGCAGGCCGAGGACGCTGCCAAGGCCCTGCGCGGTCCCAAACAACGGACAGTGAGTCACGGCATCTTCTTTTTCTCCTCGCGAAAACATTTTGTGCTGCTGTTATTCATCTCCTCAAATCTCCTCCTCTCTTCCCTTGCCCCAAACACGCGGTCCTTTACCTTTCATTTCACTCAGTGGTTCACTTCCCTCCGACACGCGAGCCCACATACTCACCACTCATCCAGGCTCTTTGCAATGACTCGCAAGTGTCCCGAGCCAGACACTATTTCGAAGTGATTTCCCGTACTTCTTGTGGGCTTCGCACCATGGAGAGAAGAGTCTAGACTCTTATCTTCTCTCTATGGTGACGGAGAACGTCGTCGCCAAAGTCTCCAGAGACGTCAGAAGAAGAGAATCTTGACTACTGATGCCATCTGCTCGGGCTCAGATGAAGGGGCCAGTGAACTCCGCACCCCAGCAAGTACCTACTTCCCTTCCCTACTTCGCAATCAGTCCTAACCTGGCGACAGATCATGCTTCGAAACATCCCCAATACTGGGTGACTGGCCGCCCCATGAGGGCCGCCCTGTGAAGAGCCACCGCGGCTCCCGAGGCCTCAACAACATCGTTGATATCAACGAGCTCGTGGCCGGACGCGACTACCGAACCACCGTAAGTGCCTATCATCCTGTCTTCCATCACAGTCAGTCCTGACCTCTTGGCAGATCACGCTTTACCATCCCCAACACATTGGGTGACAGGCCGCCCCAGGAGGGCCGCACCGTCAAAAGCCACCGCGGCTGTGAGGATTCAACAACATTGTGGACATCAACGAGCTTGTTGTGGGAGGGGATGTTCGCACAACTGCAAGTGCCTCTCTCCCCGTCTTGCATCAGAATCAGCCCTGACCTCTTGACAGATCATGCTCAGAAACATCCCCAACAAGGACGGCCAACCTCCTTCGAGCAAACTGTCGGCGTCTCTCTCGGGAGACTCGATTGTATGTTTCGACTCAGGTTGGTCGAAATTGTTTGGTGACTTTGGGGTGAGCCGTTTCGACCCCCGTCGCAAGGCGGGTGAGTGACGGCCCTGGATCCCGGGGCCTGAACAAGAAGCGGCAGTCATGGAAGCCGTAAGTTCTCATCTCTCGTTTTTCATCCCCCTCCATTCTAACATGTCATGTTAAGGCACGTCGCACTGTGTATGGCGTCAACATGCTGCCCCAAACAACTGACTTTGGCGTCACTCCTGACGAAGCCCGCGCCCTGCACAAGAAGCAGCATGAGAGCGACTCTAAGATGGTATGTCTCGGTCTTTCCGGTGGTTGCATGATGTTGTCACCTGTCCTTTGGCAGCTACGATTTCATGTAATCGCCGGGAAGGCCGAATACATCATCGACGTAAGTTACCTATCTTCGAAAGAGTCCCCTCGTTCTCGACATGCTAACTCCTAAACAGTTCTTTCAACCCCGTGGCATAAGATCTAAGGGTAAAAATGCCACCGTGTTCTACCCCCAAGGTAGTCCTACAGTCGCTTCTGCTCAATCGCAAGCAGCGGCTGAGGACGCTGCCATCCAGGAGGAAGATGGCATCTTTGATGGCGGCCCTACCAAGGACTTCGGCACCACTGGTCACGACAACCCGGGCAACCTCATCTAAGCTCACCAAATTCAACCTATGATATCGACGATTTTATGATTTTCACGACATGGTCAGGATCAAGAAGGTTCTTGGGGGTCTGCGACACACCAGCCCCTTCAATCATCGAAGTTCTGTGTGGTGATTATAAGCTCTCAGCCACAGGTCTCAACTGCAAATAACACAATTGGCGTACAACCTCGCCCATCATCGATCTCGGCAACTTCATCACCGAAGTTTTCGCTTGCCAGAGCTCACATGTTCCTCGCTGCTAGACTTTTCATCATTCCATCGGTCTCGATCTGAAAAGCTCCCTCAGCTTCTCAAAGAGTACCAGGAAGCCTGTGATGATATCAAAGTCAGCCGATGGGAGACCGACGTCAAGATCACCCACAATCCCTGTCCACATCATCAACATCCTTACCTTATATCACCAACATCTTTACCCTCCATCTCCTATATATACCTTCCATTGCCCGACCAGATCTCAGCATTGAAGCCCCATGGGGCCTGTCCTCTCGGCAATATATATACACTGCGCGACCGACCGCAGCATTGAAGCCCCACGGGGCCTGCCCTCTCGGCACTTTATATATATCTTGGCAGCAGAGCAGGGATTCGCTGGTCATCACCGACCCAACTACTAATCCGCCGGTTGGTGGCTTGACTATGGGAGAGCGAACGGGATCCTCTTCGGCTTCCACTGTGACTTGCCGCAACTGCGAGAAGCAAGGGCACTTCAGCAAAGGAAACTCGAGAAGCCAACATTAGTTCGGCTCTCCATCCCAGTCTGGACCAGACGGCCTCGTCGGAGATCACCAGCAATTGGTAAGTCTCTTTACCTCTCTCTCTGACATTGACCTTGTATTAATATGTCTAGCCTTGGATCGCCTTGGTTTCAATTCATCTTATATTATACACGACGCCCAACAGATGAGCGGACATTAGTTCCGCTCTCTATCCAAGTCTGGACCAGGTCGACTTGTCGGAGAGCACCAGCAACTGGTAAGTTGTCGCCCTTCTCAGTGACATTGGCTCATCACTAACTTGTCGTTCAGTGCTTCTTCTGATCATTACTTGGAGCCTCCCTTCCCCCTCAAGATTACAACCTACCTCGGTTCACCCTCTTCCTCCGACAGCCCTTCTCGACAGCATCCGCTCAGTTCATGATCTGCTTTGACCACGCTTGATCCCTCCGCCGCCCGCTCATCTCTCACTTCCACTCATTTCGACTATCACACTCATTCTGTCTGACCAGGCAATGCTGGACTCTCCAAGTCATCTTCATCGGTTATTATTTGTGGTGGACGGTTAGGAATGGTCAGCGCACATAGCTAGCAAACAACTAATATTCAAGATATCAATTAGAATATACTTCTCCCACCACGAGAGACCTTGCAAATGCCATAATGTGACTGTCCGCCCTGCCTCACTGCCACCACTCACTTCGTCCACTGCGATTATTGAACATCTGTCTCTGCACCAACTCATTCTTGGACAAGCCTGGCTAACCTTTCTTTCATTTTCCCAGACAATTGATACGCAGCTCTAAACCTCGATCCCACTCTCCTCTTGATCCCCCCACTCTAGGGTAGTGGCTGCTGCGCCACATCGTATGTCATTGCCCCTCCAACGTGGCGCCTCCACAGCTCTGATGAAGTCATTGCAACTCTAGCAGCCCAGCGACCTTGGCAAAAAAGCTAACTCTACAAAGGCTCAAGAACCCGCAAGTCAGGTTCGCAAACGAAGCCATGTCGTCGTACGAAGACCCAGCTATGCCGGAAATCCCTGGACTTATCAGCTAACATTTCCCTCTCAGAAACATCCTTTCCATCCCCTTTCGCAAGTCGGCCCAGCTCTCGCTTGCTTCGACGATACGGCAGTATATCAACACCAAATATGATCAGCACCCGGATATGTTTAAGCATGACCTCGAGGTCATTGATGCGCTTCGGCGCGATGCGGTGAACGTTCGAGAGGCGCATCCGAGCGGCATTAAGAAGCTGCAAGCATATGCGGGACAGCTTGTTTGGGTTGGGGGCAAGTTTCCTATAGATGTGAGTGTCACGCGATGCCAGCTAACAGCACAAACTGACAATGGTGAAAGATTGGAGCCGAGTTTTCGTGGTATCCTGCCCTTGGATACAATACCGAGCGTCCTATGGTGCGAAATAATCTGAAGTACGAGCTTATGAACATTCTCTACAACCTCGCCTCCCTCTACTCCCAGCTCGCCATCAACACGCCCCGGGGCAACACCGAAGGCCTCAAATCAGCAGCGAACTACTTCTCCCTCGCAGCCGGCGTCTTATCGCATATGCAAAAAGAGATCCTTCCCGAACTACGAATGTCCGATCCTCCCGAAGACATGGACCACGATACACTCGAGTCCTTGATCCAACTACTCCTCGCCCAGAGTCAAGAATGCTTCTGGCAAAAAGCCGTTATGGATGGCTACAAGGATGCATCGATCGCCAAGCTCGCCGCTCGAGTGTCCGATCTGTATAACTTTGCTGGCGAAGCTGCTATGAAGAGCGAAGCCATTAGCAGTGCCTGGATCCACCACATGAGCGCCAAGCATCATCACTTTGCTGCTGCCGCGCAATACCGAGCTGCATGCGATTGTCTGGAGAAGCGGAAATATGGAGAGGAGGTTGCGCGACTCAAGGATGCTGTTGCTTGTGCGACGGAGGGCATTAAGGAAGCCCGAAATGGCTATCTTGGCAAGACGGTGGTTGATGACCTCAATGGGCTGAAGCGCAAGGTTGAGGAAGATTTGAAGCGAGCAGAGAAGGATAACGATGTTATCTACTTGAGTATGTGCGCTGCGACCCTTACTTGGCAGAGTACTAACATTTTGCAGTTGCTGTACCACCAAAGTCGGAGCTCAAGATTCTCGATCGCGCAAACATGGCTGTAGCTCGGGTGCCACCACAAGTTGCCAACCCCTACGATTACTTTGGCGACCACGCCGAGTTCGGACCAGCTTTGTTCTCTCGACTTGTCCCCTTCTCGGTACACGTTGCCACATCGATTTACGAGGAACGACGCGATCGCATGGTTAGCCAGAATATAATTCCGGAACTTGAATCGCTCACAGACAAGATTCACGAAATTCTCACATCGCTTGGGCTACCTGGTTCTTTACAAGCTCTTGAGAAACCTCTGGGTCTACCGCCAAGTTTGGTCCAACATGCTGAGGAGATCAGACAAGCAGATGCCATTGGCAGAGTGCAAAAGGGCTTTGCGGATATCGACAAGTTGCGCTCTGGAGATATGGCAATCTTTGAAGAGGGCAAAGCGGCTCTAGCTTCGGAAGAAGAGGAAGATCAGCGATTACGGATGAGATACGGAACAGACCGATGGGTAAGACCCGAGAGTCGGCAAGATCCTCAAGGTGGGAAGCTTTGGCAGCACGCTTCTGAGATCGAGAGCTACTTCCAAAGTAGTATCAGTAGCGACGCGGTTGTCAGGGAGAAGTTCGGCGCGATCCAAGATCTGCTTGCTATCCTTTCCGGACCGGACCGAGATCTGATGGACTCTGTGCCGTCGAGCCGACGGGTTGACATACCCGAGACATTGAAACCTGTCATAGGAAGATTGCGCGGCGCATACAACGACGTTCTTCGTCTTGAGAGCCGCCGTCGTAAGAAGGTTGAAAGTTTGCGGGAAAACGCCCGGCGCGACGACATCAAGCCGGACATTTTGAAGGAAGCAGCCCGATTGGAGCGAGCGTACCCTAACACAGCACTCGTCCCGGCTCACTTTGAGGAGTTTTTCGACAAACGACTTGATAAGTTGTATGAGCCCGAGGTTGAAGCGATTGAAAAGGAGGCAAAAGACCAAGAACGTCTATTGGCCGATGTTCAGCGTATCAATCGCGAGTTTGAGTCGCAGAAGCGACAGATGGGTGAACGCGGGAACCGAGAACGCGAGGTGGCTTTGCAGAAGCTTGATAACGCCTATTTCAAGTACAAGGAGATTATCAACAACCTCGAAGTTGGACGCAAGTTTTACAACGATCTGAACAAGATTGTTGGACAGGGTTTCCGTGATGTTATTCGCGGTTGGGTTGCTCAGCGCCGCATGGAGGCGCGAGCATTGGAAGAGTACGTCTCTGGCAAACTTTATACGGACCTTTTACTGACCGACATAACAGGGAAATTAACATGCCGACGTTGTCAAACCTCAACATCTCTCACCAACAACCTCCCACCCAAAGCCCAATGCCGTCACACCAAGACCCGTCACACTCATACGCACCACCACAACAACCCCCTCAACCTGTGCAGAGTCCAGCTCAGGCAAACATACAGTCTTGGGGAGAGACGGTACAGCAGCCAAGACCAGTACAACCAACACCGGTTGGTGCCATGTGGACTCCTGGTATGGGTATCAAGTTTGGTCAATCTTCTGGTGGTTCAGGCCAACCTCCTGCACCTGGGACGTGGAATCCCAACTCTGGAATCAAGTTTGGTTGAGTGTAGTGTTGTATAGATATCCTGACTTTTAGAGGGCTGTTGTTTAGTAGACATAGCATACATGGCGAATACGAGTTTGTTTAGACCCAAGTCTCATTAGTGTCAATTGTCTGTCGTGTGCTGAACCTATCGTGAAGCTATTCGCTGTGACCTCATGCCATCCACCATCAATTCTCGGCCTGCAAATTCATCGCAGGGTATAAACTCCGTGACTGGTAGCATGATATCCTCTCTTCCCAACCTTCCCCGTCAACTCACTCTTCCACTCCTTGCCTTCCCCGACCAACTCAACAACCTTGTTGAACGTAAACTCAGGCTTCCAGCCCAACTCCTCCACCGCCTTACTAGAATCATAAACACGATCAATCCTCTTCAAGTGACTCCATCCCTTATCCTTGAAAACCTGCACACACTCCGGCGCAACAGTCTCAAACACCTGCTTAGGGTCTTTGTCCAGCATCGCCAGCGTGTCAGCGTCATTAGGAAAAGGCGGCGGTGCGCTGATGATGTACTTCCGAAACTGTATCTCTCGCCCTTTCTTCATCGCGCAGACTGCCGCGCGAACTATGTCTTCAATGTCGCAGCGACGGTACGCTAGTTCAAGCACTTTGAGGTTGTCGTCTGATAAAGCTGCTCTGCGATCTTCATCGTCATCCTGCTCTGGGAAAAAACGGCTCGTGCGGAGGATTAAGACGGGCATGCCTGTTTGTTTCTGGATGAGGAAGCATAGATCCTCCGCTGCGACTTTTGTAGCGCCGTAGATGTTTTTGGGGATGGGGACGACGGTTTCGTCGATCCACGCAGCGGGTTGACCGGGCTTGGGACTTAGGGCTGCGCCGAATGTGCTTGTTGTGCTGAAGAAGATGAAGCTTTCGATCTGGGCGCCGAGTTTGGAGGCTTCTTCGAGAAGAATGAGGGTGCCGGTGATGTTTGTGTCGATGAAGTCTTGCTTGGAGTGGCTTTCGACATGGGGCTTATGCAACGTCGCAGCATGAAGGACATGCTGGATGGGATGTTTCTGAAGAAGAGATGTCACAAAGGCGCGGTCAGAGATTGATCCAACATGCGTTGTGTTCTCAGAAGGTAAGATGTCGATCCCAAGAGGTGTGAAGCCGAACGTCGGGAGGGAAAGCATAAGAGCTGTGCCGAGATGGCCGGATGAGCCTGTTACGAGGACGTTATAAGCCATGGTGTTTGGTTTGACGTTAGAGTGGTATTGAAGGATGAAGGGGAGATTTAGAAGCTGTTTCGAGGAGGTGATGGGTGAAGGTGAGGGTTTTGTAGATGAGGTGGGGTTTAGTCGGCGAGTGAGTCAGGCACTAAGACGAAGAGAGGTGAATCACGGACGAGGGCGGAAAAAAGGGATTTGTGGTGAGGATGGACGCTGTGAGAGGGGATACAATAGTTGTGAGATGTTGTTGTGAGATTAGGCAGGGTGAGTTTCACGGCGTGGTGTAAGGCCGAATTGAGGTGTTGACAGGTTCCGTTCCATTGAGGATCAGGTCCTTATTTATGCTTATCTTGAAGAAGCGAGCATTTAGACAAGTATTATGGAGTCTCTAAACGTGTTTCCATCTTTGCTGGTGATAGCCTCAGAGTGTGCTGTCAGCATTCAGTCACTTGTTGGTGAATAGTGAAGACATGGTTCGACTTAACCACTCACTGTATTACATGCCGCGCGCCAATGCACAGAAAAGACCCCGAGATGACACAATGTGTCACTCAGGAATATCGGCTAGAGAAGAATGTTTTGTTCTGCCAAGTTCTACTGTTGAACTTGACGTGTCTTGGTAGAATAAGACATTTACCAGTCTGATGCAGCCAGGAGTGAGGACGCACTTAGGCTTCCGAATCACATCTGCAATTGAACTTGAGAAAGAGCTGGCTGGTAGAGAATGTTCTCTGATGACGTCCATATCTTTGTTGCCCAATTGACTCTATATATATCCTGTGTTCACAATGCCCTCGTTCTCAGCCTATGTCCAACAGCACCATCACTGCCGTAACTTGACCTTTACCACCAAGCCCCATCCTGTCTTGCCTTCCCAAATGCCCATCTCATTCTCCCTCCGAAACGTAACTTCCTCAGCCTTGACCGTCATAGTAACCGGCTCCTCCTCCTGTGCCTTTACTACTAGCGCCGGTGGAGTCGATGGTTCGGATTTCTTGAACAAGCCCCATCTTGATGCTTTCTTTGCTTGTTCGACGTGTGCTTTGACGGTTTGGCGATCGACTCTTTCTGGGGATATGTACTTTGCTAGACGGACTGCCATGTCGTGGTCTGACCACCAGAGAACATCATCTGAGGCAGATTGTTGGGTATCGTCTTCCCATCGACCCCATTCGTCGAAGGCTCTGCTTTTGGGAGATTCACTCTGCTTCAAAGGCTTCTTTTGGTCGCCTACTAGCTTGCGATCTTCTCTAACGCGCACAACGGTTCGGGACTGATCTTCATCGCTGAAGAACCATCCTTCACCAACTGCTTCTTCTGGAACCATGGTCATCTCGACGACTCGTGGTGGCGGGTCCATGGCCGCTATTGAAGAAAGCATATCTTCAATGTGAGGCACCAAAAGGGTGAGGATTTCACTATCTCGTTCATCGCGCACTGAGTTGCGAACTGCTTGGACTGACTGGATGCGTAGTGGAAGACTGTTCAGATGTGAGGAGAAGATAGTCGTGACTGACTGTCGTGGTTCTGATAAAGGCAGTGATGCTGAAGGGCCGGATTCAGTGTATGGGGGAGGAAGATCCCCGTCATCGAAGGAGTCTTGCCTAGACATGATGTTGCAGTGAGAAGAAGCCAAGTCTGGAGATTCTGCAAGATGTTTAGTCAGTGTCACTACAAATGCCAAACGCCCGATGCATATACATACATAAATTCGATACGCCGTCGCTGAAGACAGAAAGTCAGCCCACGTTCAATAGCGCCTGGCCACTACCAACTCAGCCTTGTATCGCCCCGTCTCAAAGCGTAGTATCAATAGCGTCGAACCAGCAATCGCCGAGATTACAACAGAGGAGGGGACCCCATCACAGCCTTGGGGCTGCACATTATGTCTGCCTGAAGAAGTGCCTGCGGTGCTAATTGGTTACTCATCGTGGCGCAGCAGAATTGATGGTTGTTCAGTCATGCAATTTGGGGTTTGGCGGTGTTGGGACATTCCAAGTATCATCGAATCATAATTTCTGTACGTGACTTATCGCATTGCGGTCGGGCGTTTAGCCAAGATGCTCGATTCGGATACCGGCAGGAAATGCTTGAGTGATGAATTCCGCGAGTTGCGCGGGAATTAAACATGATCCATTCACGGGGCTGTGTTGATGGTGCTTTGCGGCCAAGCGTAGAAAGGACATTATAACAGCAATCTTTGAAAGTTAATTTCCAATAAACGCATCGGAAAATGTCATGTGTCAAGAGTGAATCAGCTTACACGAGAGTTCAAAGTTGAAGCTTTGGTGATACTTTAGAGGCGAACCCCACTGTAGATCACCCGAGAACGCCCAACCAACATGGAGTGGGGCGCGCCTGCCAGACGTGCGGGTGTGTACCAGGGATATACATAAGGTAGCCTAATACAAGGATAGCGTCTTCACTGAGCGCGAGGCACATTCATGAACCCTTGTAAGCTTTGAGAAATGCATGTTTGTGTTCCTGTGTCGGATCAAAGCATATAAGAGAGTGGTTGTCCGCTTTGTGAGACACCTTTCCGATCAAACTATATAAATAATTCCCCAGTAACATTGGTTCTAGAGATATACAACACTCGTTGCAAATAACTACTTACATCTGGTCACATATATAACAGTTCAATACTTCAATACTCAACTATAACATCCTATTCTTAAACATCCAATCACTTCAACACTTCGATCTCAGCCAAGATGTCTTACAGAATCTCTGCCCCCGATGAGTACCTTGCCATCACTGGCATGGGCATCAAGACCGTCAAGATCACAAAAGCCACATGGGTCTGGCCTCTCCAACGATGCACACGCTTCAGGTATTCTTCCCCCATTCTCCAGCTGGTCAACAGTCACTAATTCCCAATCAGCATCCGCCCTCACGACTATGCCATGGACCTTCAGGCCATGACAAAGGAGAAGTTGCAGTTCTCTCTCCCCGTCGTCTTCACAGTGGGTCCCGATGTCAACCAGCGCGGGGCCAACCGCTCTGATGCCGACAGTGAAGCCGACGGCCTTGATCGCGAGGACCGAGGGGACGCTTTGATGAAGTATGCTATGCTCTTGGCCAACTCTGAGGAGAAGGAGAATGTCACCCAGGGCCAGCATGTTGCCAACATCGTCAAGGGTATCATCGAGGGTGAAACTCGAGTCCTTGTGTCTAGCATGACTATGGAGGAGATCTTCACTGAGCGAGAGGTCTTCAAGAAGAGAATCTTCCGAAACATCCAGAACGAGCTGTCGCAGTTTGGTCTGCTCATCTTCAACGCTAATGTACGTGTCCCCAACCCTAATTACTCACACGACAGCTAACATTTCACAGGTCAAAGAGTTGAAGGATGCCCCTAACTCAGTCTACTTCGCCTCCCTCTCACGCAAAGCCCACGAAGGCGCAACCAACCAAGCCAGAATCGACGTCGCAGAGGCCCAACTCCGCGGTAACGTCGGCGAGGCCCAGCGCAAGGGTGAGCAAGAGCGCGAGATCGCAAAGATCAACGCCGAGACCGCCGTGCAGAAGACAGTCCGCGACATCGAGCGCGCCCAAGCAGAAGCACAGCTCGATACCAAACGCACAGGCCTCACCCGCGACGTCGACATCGCCCGCGTCACAGCCCAGCGCACCCTCGAGTCCAAGGATGAGGATCTCAAGAAGGAGGTTGAGATCAAGCGTGCTGCTGCAGAGATGGAGCGTCTTCGTGCGACAGACGTTGTTAAAGCTACGATTGCGAGGGAGAGTAAGCAACAGGCTGCTGACGCTGCTGCGTATGAAGTTGAGGCGGATGCTCGCGCTCATCAGGAGGCTAGTCAGCGCAAGGCCGATGCTGCAGCTTACCAGACCAAGCTCTTCGCGGATGCTGATGCAGCTGCTACATACGCCAAGATTACAAGGAACACAGATGCCGGAGCCTACCAGACCCGCAACGAAGCCGAAGCCTACAACTATGCCGCCCAGCAGCGCGCCGAAGCCGAGCTCGTCAGCAAGCTCCGCGAGGCAGAGGGTATCTCCGCCATGGCCGACGCCTACGGCAAGCTCTCCCAAGCCTTCGGCGGTCCCGCTGGACTACTGCAGTACATGATGATCGAGAAGGGCACATACGTCGAACTTGCCAAGGCCAACGCCGCAGCCATCCGCGGTCTCGAGCCCAAGATCAGCGTGTGGAACACCGGAAGCCAGGGTGGTGGCCAGAGCGGCGATGCTACTGAGACGATGCGAAATGTGTACCAGATGCTGCCGCCGCTGATGAGCACTATTAACGAGCAGACTGGGATTACTCTGCCGGAGTGGCAGTTTGGGAAGTTGAATGCTGGTGTCAACGCTGTTAACCAGGAGGGCGTCAAGACTAATGGTCACAAGAGCCATTAAGCATTGATGATTATCTGGTGAATGTACAGTATGATGGACGATCTTTGATATGCTTTTGATATCCGGCTTTGCCACAATTCTCTTCTCCTTTGTTTATAGACTTGTTTGATACCACTTTTTTAGCTTAAATTGAACACTTTAATTAACACGACTTGCATCTACTGGTGAATGTTGAGCTGAGCCTCCCCTGTGACAGTTGAACCGCCTTTCAGTTAAGGATGGGAACGATATCGAAAAAGGCGCTGCCTACCCGAAATTGAGACAGAGAACCAATTGGATAAATAATGAAGATATCGGCGATGTCATTCACGCATTTCATTCTACTTGCTTCTATAAACATCATGTCAGAGATATTCGCGTGGAGTCCAGCAAATCGTGTTCGTGTTCAAATAATGCAATTGCGATTTTGGCTAAAACTACAAGAAAATCATAGCTAGAGACCGATCAAACTATTACCTCCCTCTCATGGTATCCTATTATTATCCATGATCGTTTCTAACGATACTTCACATCTCCAACTTCAGGTCGGTGAACTCCATCATCGACATATCCCGGAGGCTGTGTCTGTCCCGCATTAGCTCCCGACGCCACCGGCGCCGAAGGACCGGAGGGTCCGGTGGAAGTGGGGTCCCGATCGGTCGGAGACACGGAATTGACCTTGAGGGATCCGACCTCAGCACCCTTCAGAGTCTCGAGAAGGTTGCGAGCACCAGCGGGCCACATGCCGCTCTGGCGGGGAACCTCTCCTCGGATGATCTGCTCGACTGAGACACGCTCGCCGTAGAAAGCGGCATTGGCATCCTTGCGCTCGACGACGACGGTGCCGTCGACTTGAATGCCTGCGTAGAAACCGCGGGACTTAACGTAGGAAAAGACAGGCTTGAAAGCGCCGGTGCTAAGGCTGCGGCGTTTCTTTTTCTTGTCGGCATCGGTCTCTGGCTTCAGGCCTTGGCTGTCCTCAGTAGGGCGGGGAGGTTTGGGAGGAGCCTCCTCATCCTTATGCTCCTTATCCTTCTTCTTTCCATCCATGGCAGCGCCGATCTCCACAGCACCGCCGGCGCCATATGGACCAGCGACAACAGCAAGGTCACTACCCAGGGCAACACGGGTCTTGGCGAAAGCGTTGAGTGCTTCTCGGCTGTTGATGACGCAGACACAGTCGTAAATGTCAAGACCGATCATGAAACCAGCGCCAACGGAGTGGACTTGGATACCTGAAGGAGGACCCCATGATCCATCGGGAAGACGAGAGATCAAGATGCCTGAACCAGTGGCACCAGAGAAAGCGTAGCCGGCACGAAGGGTTGTGAAGATAGCGAGACCTTGGGCCTTGGCGATGACCTTGGGAGGGATGTTGACAAGAACTCTCTTCTTGGGCTTCTCTTTGGTGGGATCGATGATCTCGTCGTTGGTTTCCTGTGCCTTGGGGTCTGTCGATGTGGGAACCTGGCTAGAGCTAGGATCGGCGTAGACACCGTTTTCTAGAGTATGTTAGCAGACATTCTGGTCAAGCTGTATGGGTAACTTACTGCAGAAGGACTTCAGGATAGAAGCTGCCTTGTCACACTCCTTGTCGATAGTCTCGGGGAGGAAACTCTGGCTACCAAACTTGTGCGCCAAGCTGTTAATAGGTGCAGCGGCCTTGATACCAAGCTGGCTGAACTTTTCGCTCCAGCCGGGCTTCTTGTGTGTCTCAGGATGTGCAGAAGTCGAAGCCTGGGTTGCGGTTGTCTCCGGACCATGGCCGAAGCCATGTCCATGGGTAGGAGCTGTAGGACTTGGTTGAGGGGGCGCCTGAGCCTGAGCTGGCTGGTTCGTAGGAGGGGGCGCAAAGGTAGGATGGGCAGGGTCGTACTGCGGGATAGCGTAGTTTTGTTGGGCCTGCTGAGACTGCTGAGCGTCAAAGGGCTGATGAGTCTCCTGATGCTGTTGAGGCACCGTGACTGGGTTGCCCTGGAGAGGGTTCGGGTGAGCTGCGGACGCTTGGTGTTGATCTTGCGCAGGAGGAGGACCTGGAGGAGGGGGAGGGAAGTACTGCTGCTCTAGCTTGCGCTTCTCATCTGCAGCACTTGGATATTGCTCGGCTCCGGCAGTGGGCGCAAACTGAGGAGGCTGCTGGCTCTGTGATCCTGCGAACTGGACATGTTGATCGGGATTTTGGGGTGCGCGGGGCTTCTCGTCTCCAGGAAGCTCGGCTGATCCCTGCTCGTACGCAGGAGGAAGAGAAGAGTCTTGGGGTTGATTCTGGGTAGGGTTGGCGGTAGGAAGCAGACCGCTTCCATGCTGGTCGCCAGCGGAATACTGGGGAGCCTTCTCAGGATTCGACATCGGATTAGAGTATTGAATATCTGTAGGTGTTGTAGTTGTAAGGTTAAGGTTGAGAGTCAATGGCGGGGTAGCTTCGTGTCAGCTATAAGAGCTAGGAACAGGGAAAGAAAGTGGACTGAATCTTCAGGCTCTGGGTGCAAGATGTCTTTAATAGATGAACAGGTATTTATTAGGACAATTCACTGATATGAGAGGCCTCGTCACTTCTAGACTCATGAGTGGCGTACGAGACAATTCGAAACCGGTTCCATGAACTGCAAGGAACCATTCTGCGACAAGCCGCACGGATTGATGTCATCATGGTGGCTTGGCGATAAGGTGATTGCGTGGCTGAATTTCAGGGTCCTGCACAGCCACGATGTCAACCAATGCGAGCTCTTCCACCGTAAAACAGAGGTAAATTGTTGGGGAGCATGTGAAATTGTGGAAATATTGAAATGACGGTGATGGTAACTTATCTACACGTTTTGTAGGTATCATCTCTTTTATGATGCGCTGGTGCACGGAGATCATCGCTGTTTTTCGGAGCCCGAAACGGGTGTCGTTCGGGGAATGCTAGGAAAGCTTACCCGAAGTCTGTTAACCTGTGATCCTCGGTTTAAGCTTACACAGAGACCGAAACGCTGTCTTGTAAACCTTCATTTCGCAACTGTGATAATCGCAGATTTTCTACAGTTCTTGAGAGTGACCTTTGTCACTAGACCTCCACCATGACACAAATACAGACCTCCAGCGACCCAGAGACTCTTCATCTCCCCCGCATTCTCTGCCTTCACGGCGGCGGCGTCAATGCACAAATCTTCGAACTACAATGCCGCGCTCTGATCAGGAGTCTTGCTTCCTCTCTCCGTCTAGTCTTCATGCAAGCACCCTTCATCTCAGCGCCTCACCCCGATATTGTCAGCGTCTACGGTGAATATGGGCCTTTTCGGCGCTGGCTCCGCTGGCAGCCTGACCATCCCGAGATTGAAGCAGAGGCCGCCGCCGAGCTACTTCGGAACCAGACCCGCAGGGCTATGGACACCGACCCCGGAACCGGAGAGTGGATCGGCATTCTGGGGTTCTCGCAGGGCGCTAAGATTGCGGCGAGTTTATTGTGGACGCAGCAGAAAGTGACGGAGCAGTTTGGTGCGGAAGAGGCGCTGACGCAGTTCAAGTTTGGTGTTCTCATGGCTGGGAGAGCGCCTTTGATTACGCTGGATTCCCGGCTGCAACATCCCCCAGCGGTCGTTGATGCGGCGCTGTTGAGCTCCGAGTTCAAAGACTTCCCTGAGTCGAACGTGGGAGACCATGTGTTGAATATTCCAACGCTGCATGTCCATGGACTTCGAGATCCTGGACTCGAGCAGCACCAGGTTCTGCTGAAGACATACTGCGCAACTGGCACGACGACTCTAGTTGAGTGGGATGGTGGACATCGCATACCGATCAAGAGCCATGATGTCGACGCTGTGACAACTGAGATCTTGAAGTTGGCAAAGAACGCAGGCGTGAAGCTGCCCAACTGAACATCGCAAACGAATTCATGTCTTTCCAACAGTATACAACTTACTAAGAATTTTATGGTTTCTGAGCTGTTTATTCACATAGACTAGACAACGCTATACATATATACATTATTGACAATGCAGCAGCATATCTCACAGTCTCAGATTGAACCGTTGACCCCCCAAGAGTCATGTCTCTGAAGTGTCTGCAGACCTGCACTTTATAACAAAACCAGGGCGCATAAGATCAGCTCGATGACTCGGGTGGAGGGCCTCAATTTTGTGCGACCCTGCTGCCCATGATGCTAACCTGCATTATCGGTTCTCACCAACGCGTGGGCAGGATACTTACGCCAAGACCATAGACAGCCCTCACGATTTCTCGCAACACCTGGTTTTCGATGCTTTCATGTCGGCATCATTGGCCCTGCGCAGCTTTAAAATCCGACACGCACATATCCTAAAACGGCTCTTGCTGACCCTGCCACAATGGACACTATCAACTCGCAGCATCCATCACCGCCTGTCATAAAATCTTGCAAGGTTTGCACTGCTCTCGAGAAGCTTTTCGCCGGTGGTGATGTCCAGATTCAGCTGGAAAGAAATGAAATCTACGATGAATCTTGCACACAACACGGCTCATTGTTTTATTGGATCGAGAGATATTACTGCGAGTATCTTGATCGTTTACAAAAGGCCCGCAGCTACCATATCGTGGCTGATACGAATTAATCCCTCGGCATAATCCTTTTTCTCCGTCTAAGCGGCGGTATCTGGCTAATTTGTGCGGTCATCAGCCATCACAACGCCCATCACGTAGTGGTATAACCATGCGTCTCATGATGGAAGCGGTAGGCAGCCCATACCGCGGTCTAATAGTCTATAGTGAATCCTCGGTGGTCTCATACGACATAGAAGTCTGGAGCGTGAAAGGTTTAATGGAAGACGGCTACATGCCAAGGGAAGCTGGAGGCAAGTACTTATACAAACACATACACTTTCCTATAAGGACCTTTCTGTGGCCTGTTCCGAAAGTGTGCTCAGAAAAACATGGAACAATGCCAAAACTTGGGCACGATCCCTTCGTCTCCTGCTGCACGAAGCGCGCATGGTTTGGAGGTCTCCGGGCACACCACCACAGTAAGCAAGTGTGGATGCATACTCAGTTATGCCTATTTGACAAGCAAAAGAGACTATGCGGTTGGTTCCACTTACTAAAAGACGAAGATTCACTTGGCTTTCCTGGAGCAGATTGCAGAAGGATGTCTCCAGCTGTGAAAGACACTTTTAGGAATCCATTTCCCGAACGCAATCAGTTACTTGTGTTGGTGGCAATCTGTAGACGCAAGTTCCCAGACAGAAATTTTGGAGAGAAATGGGTGCATTGGCAAGGCTTTCCATGGTGTTCTATGCGTGAAATGGATTGAGGGGGTTGCTTATAGACGAGGCTGTGCATATGTACAGAAGGAGTTTTGGGAAGAGCAACATCTGGAAGATGTTGACCTGATACTTGGCTAGGTATGGCCAATGACTTTATTCACTAGGAACCAAGAGAGTAATAAGTAAGTCACCTTCTAGCGGTTTTGCAAATTAAAAAGAGGCCTCATCGAGGGTAAGGAGGCATTCGTGATTTGGTGTTTAAGGATGATGGATGCTGTAGATCCACTTCATGTGCACGTCAACTTGGATCCTGATAATTTCAATGACCTTGGTATAAGTACTTGGAAAGATTTTGGTGCTGATATATAATAGGAGATTCCTGGCGTTTTGTCAAGCAGTCTGGATGCAATACGATAGGTAGGCGGTAAGGTCAGCGGTTTTTAGGGTAGGGCATTTAGACAGATGCGCGGCATGTAGCTTCGGTAGGGCGGCAATGTATTCCTCTCACGCAGTAGTAAAATGTAGCCTTGGTGCGTCTAAAACTGGTTGACATCAATTCTCAAGTTGGCCAGTCTTCCGCCGCACTAGATCAACTCTTTCCTATTCTGCCTCTTTGCCCTACTTCTCTTTTCTTCAGCTCCAGTCCGTTACGCTATAAGATATGCTTCCTCCCTGTCCCACTTAGCTCCATGACATGCCCACTGGCTTCCCTAAACTCCACCAGCCCGAGCATTGCAAATATCTCCTAACCGCAATGAATCTGGCATGATGCGGAGCAAGCGTGTCGACGTATCCATTTGGCAAAGGTTCCTAGCGCCCGAAATATGAGATCACTAGAACCGTGCACGCAACACCCAGCAGTGCTCCATAGCACCTGATCTTATCATCTGACAGACTATAGCATAAGATGTTATTTTAAGTAGCTTAGCAAGCAGATGTTAAATGGATCGGCGCCCCTGCAGGATCGACGACACCGTTACGCCTCGAGTATCGAGCCCACGATAAAGACTAATGGTCGTCTATTGAACTCCAGCGCTATCACGCTGTTTTTTTTTTTGTTTTATTTTTCTTCAGCGCGAGGCGTCCCAATGCAGAGTTACTACACGTCTTTTCGTATCTGAAGATATCGGCACTTAGTTTCACGATAACTGGCAGAGCCTGGCAACACCATAAAGTGGTGCCAGCTAGCCACAAGCCATTTAAAGGCTTGGAAGCTAGTGACAGCTTTCATACTGCGCACAAAGCAAAGTGCCGAAATCAGTTTATCTGTAGAGACTGCTTATCTAAAGTGCTCAGAAGATGTATGGTTAGTCATGGAACCGATTATGGCTTCTGATCTGCTTGCGTTTCCGAAATACTCTCTGCTTTGACTCCTACCCCAAAACGCGCCTAAACCTCGCTTTAGCCACTGGAGGTAAGAGCGGAACATTTGGTCCTACAAAAGGCCTGTCAAGTTAAGCAAGCGGGGCTAGAAAAAGGTCGATTGCCGAAAAGAATGATGCTCGCTTAGACGATCTGGGTGAACAGTGGGGAGCCTTAGACAGCGTAGTGATTGGCCCTGTTTGTCCCGAGCGCCACACTCGCGGTGATATCGCTACGGGATTACCAGGTTTGCGCGAGGGTGGAGCGCAGTGATGCCCACTTTTGCCCCCCAATTCATTTTCATTGACGCTATTTGCCAAGTCCCAATAGGGCCAACCCAAAACTGTCGAGAAGACGTATCGCCTAATTACACCAGAGACACCGTACATCAGGCTGTAAGAGCCTAGCACTAATAACACAAATAAGTTCTGCCTCTCTGCCTCTTCAGGCCTGCCAGTTTTATTGTTTGGTTCGAGGGACGACCTCATTTCAAAACATTTCTCTGAAGCAATCAATGCACGTGGCAAGACGGCGTGCCAACGTGCGTCCTCTCCAACCTCGACGTTAATAAGCTCATTTTCCGTATCGCCAGAATCTATCAGCTCAGCATGATCCTCGTTGTCGGTCAAATGTCTTGGCTTCCTAGTGCGACGCTAAACCTGACTATTTCAGCTTCAGGTGGGCTCTCATGTGTTGGTTGATCCAGATGTACCCGACATGATAGTGGAGGTGTTGTTGGTTCTCTCACCATGCTGAGGAGCCAGGGTTTTATCCTCTGATTGTCCAATCGGTCTGTGGCCATAATTCTCAAACTTTCTTGAGTGAACTGATGTGGGTGTTAACTCTAACGCCACAGCTCGCCATATCATAGACTTTGACAAACAAGTTGAAAGCTGAACGTCCTAGATCGACCTTCACACACCATCTCAACAAAAGGGACAAAGCCCATTGGACCGCATTCGTCGAAAGGTTGCGACTATGTTCAATTGCAAGGGTCCATTTCGGAATACCAGCTGTCAGGCGATACTGATCTGCCTAGCACTCTCTGTGAAGGAGGTAGGGTTATAACAGAGCGCTAAACAAACATGCCAGGGACCTTGCAACCACGTGCAACCGTTTTTGTTCAACCCGTATTCTCCGACGCTGAAATTCCATGTCACAAAAGTAGAACTTGGTCAGGCTGAGCCATTGCAAGAAGGCGGTTCAGGATCATCTAATAGAAAGGTTTTGTCCTGGAAAACAGGCAAAGAGGCTCACTGGTTCTATTTGACTGGCATTACAGTCACTCCAGCAGACGAGCGTCAAGATAGAGAGCTACAAACCAAAAAGTGAATATTGAGGCTCTTTGGTTGTAGTTTGAGGCTGACTCCTAACTTTGGCTTTATTGAGGGTGTCCACTCTGACGTGATGTGAATTCTTCTATGTGTGAGACCTTCCCCTCTCATGGCTTCGCAATGCTAGAATACGGATTGTTACATCATTTCCGGAAGAGGAACCAACAGTGATGCGGCTGAACAATGGAAATGAGATGAGTTAACATGTCGCTGGCGCTTTAAAACCAGGGAGCCCGCTTCGTAGTGAAGAAACAAGACGTGTACTTGCCAGCTTATCCTGTATACTGATCAATCCTTTCCTGGTAACTCTTTCACTCTCCCTGATTTCACAGGCGATATGGTTCCTCCAGCCTCTGCCTTGGATCCCACCGGCTATATGCCAATCGAGACAGTCGCAGATGCCCGGGCAGTTGTCACTCAATGTATAAATGGACTTCTAAAGCTGGTTCATCGCGGTCCAGATGATCGAGAAGCTGCTCAATTCTTAAGGCAGAACGCAACCTTTGTCGTTGAAGTTCTGGACCAAGTGTCCGGCCCACCTGCGCGGTCTGAGGCATCCGAGCCTACATTTTGCATCACAGATATTCCGAGTGACACTCGAGTCGGCCTCAGACGGAAATCTATAACAATCGTGGTTAACGGCCGAAGATATTGTGTAATTGTGATCTGCAGTTCGCAGAACCTTACGAATCCCGATCTGCAGCCTAGACACGACAACCAATACGGGCGTCCTGATTCGCCGTTGTCTTGGCCCTCAGAGTTGATTCTTCCCGAATTCTCTACGTCACTTGAAACATGCAAAACGAACTTAGAGGCATCTCTGGTAGAGATGTGGCGAGACTGCAAGGACAACAAAGGTTCGAAAGTAGAATGAAGACTACACAACAGCATTGAAGATAAGAGGACATTTCCAGCAGTGCTGAGACTTGAGCCAAGATCAGCCTTTGGCCTCTAAATATTATTTTGGTACGGAGTTTTTAGCTGTTAGTAGCCAGAATCCCGAATTGCCCATAAAATCGAATGAACCTCGCAAATCCTGTGGGACTTAGCTGCCAAATCACTCTTACCCAAGACACACCCCTCCCGTCAATAGCATGTTAGATCGCTAGGCTACATCTTTCCCACTACCCTTCACACAACAATGCCACCGGGTTTCGCCCTCTCGGGGGCAGCTAGAGGAGTGATGCGCAAGAGTGTCTCTTTGGCCATTCCTTCACCGCTGAAGAGTACAGAAGCGTCAAGGCCCACAGCACGCAGTCACCAGACCGAGCATGACTTCGGAAGGCAGTAAGATAGATGAAGGCTCCCGAACGTGCTCAACCGCTGGCTTTATGACGCTTTTCCTTCAGAAGCTTGTATTCTGGTCAATCACGCGGCAGATTCGTCGTATCAAGTAGTATATCCGTCATGAGAAGAGCTAGGAAACATGGAATATAGCAAACCTGAGCTTGGCGCCACCTTTCGGCCTCAACCCCCCTGGAGAGCGAACACCGACCGTACCGTGATCAAAGCAATTCATGTTGTTGGTACCTTGTAATCCATGTCAACGCCCAATTTTCATGGGACCAACATTGGAGGATAGGAGAAGCAACAGCCGCCAAGTAACCCTTAACACTACCAGCCTAAGAGTTTCTCACATAGGGAACTGGTTAGGTCATTCCACCATGGGCAAAGAAGGCTATAGGCCTACTGTAGATATTGCACAGCTACTCAGCATGGCTCGTGCCTGATGAATGCAATGTTAACCCCGACTGTCGCATGGTCATAGTCATCGAGAAGACCCAGAGAAGAGCGGCTCAAGCTATTACCGAGGTTCATTTTATTGATTACTGGAGTTACTGTAGATACAGAACCGTTTTTCTTTCTTCGTGGATGGAATCAACCGGATTGATCTTCGTTTCTGGCCACACTGCGTATCAGACTTAGCTCTCGTTATACTGAGTCATGGCCTCCGCTCGCTAGTCGATTGTTAAGGATGCCGCCCTCCTCAACTTGGCTTCACTTATGTTGGAATACAGGTATGTTGTAGAGCTAGATCGCCTTTCAAATCATCGAACATATAAAAGACCTGGCATGGCAGATCTCGTTACATAATGCCATGGTATCGCGGTCTTTCTACTTGTTTTATAGTGTTTGGCACTAGTATCATTTATCGTCTTTCGCTACTTCGAGAGGTTCGAATTCCCCAGTCTTGTGAGACAAATGTTCGTAGAACTGGGCTCTTTACTACACAGAAAGAACTCATCGAGGAAGGTGGAGGAGAAGCGCTTTTACGAGGTCTGAGTTACCGCGGTCGTCAAGTTTAGTCCCTTCAATGTAGATAGGATAGTTTAATTCTTATCATTTTCGACTTTGCAGCAATTTGCTTCAACCTTCCTTCGCATCTCTTTAGATACCGGTCACTACCCTGTATAAGCCTGCTTTCCTGACCAATCTGATGCGTCCACCCCTGTCCTCTGCTTAAACTGCCTGTTGATCCTGGTGACTGAACTGGCTTTGCCGTCCTATTCTGTCCAGTCACTGGGGTTTTTGAATGTAAATGTTCATATTCGGTACACACGGGTAGGATATGTTTTGTAGCAGCTCAAAGCTAGGTTACGGACATCACGGGGTATTATATGATCAACAGGATTTATTACCATCTCTCTAAACCCTAAGTAAGAACGCAACAACAATTTCCTCTCGCATCACTTTGCTTCAACCATGCCATACGTGAACCCGGAGTGGCAATAAAGATTGACTTGTCCCTTTCTACTTCTTCTCAATTGAGCGAGTAATAACCCTGACAGAACTTCGCTTACTCTTTGTTCGTTCCAGAACTAGGAACGTATGTATGCTCGTTACCATCAACATTCAAAGCACCCTCATTATACGAATCATGCACACCTTTATCTTAAAATTTGAGACAGGCTGCATCATTCGAGATTCCGCACATCATCTCGAATCCGTATCGGGAATCCCAGCGAGCTTCAGCCCGAAGGACACGGTCTTGATAGCCGGGGATCGGAAGTGTTACATCAGGAGAGTTACCTTGGGTAGCGGTAAAGAAGCTTTCAGCATCGGTCTCTCTCGCTAGTAATAGACTAGCTTGGTCTATCGTTCTTTTACTGTGCCCTTCAATTATTATATAGGCTTCTATCTCAAGCCTAGATTGTGAAGTGCAGCGAGCTTTGACTTGAAGAACAGTACTTTCGCCTCCAGGCATCTCAAGCATAGCAACGCGGAGGCTCTGCCCACTGGTAGCAGCAGCAAGCTCGCGAGGATCATCCTGGACAGGTACTCCAGCATTGTATTCCATCTCAACATCCGAGTTGGTATCCATCTCGTCTTCCAAGTTGCGAGGATCATCCTGGACAGGTACTCCAGCATTGTATTCCATCTCAACATCCGAGTTGGTATCCATCTCGTTTTCCACGTTGATGTTTAAGCTAACCTCCCTCATTTCAGCATGTTCTGCTTCGAGAACCCCCAATGTGGCTGTTGTTTCAACGATTGATGTAGTCATGATCATGTTTGACTAAGTGCTAAGACTGAATATTGGCATAAAACCTATAGACTATCGACTTGATACTAATTCAATACGTTCTCAGCATCATGTTAGCACAGACATCTCTACCCACCATCGATGTTTCAAAGTTACCTTGTGTGTACCAGGGATCGCTTTCAAGCGCCTCGTCGCGTTTTTGTGATCACGAAACCCGACTAATCTACACGACTTCACGTACTAACGCTACGCTTGTAACGCAAACACTAACGTTCTTACTTTTGTCTCCAGGTGGTCGTTTTGCTTGCACTAGTTCATAAAGATGATAAGGAAAGTTCTGTTGCAGTACAGAGAGATGTCCCTTCTCTTATATGCCTTTCATGTCGCGGTCACATCGTTATAATTGGTCCTTTGCCGAATTCTCCATATTACGGACGTTCCCTCTGTGATTGGACTTGCTGGTTAGGAATTGGTCCTTTGCCGAGTTCCCCGTATTAAAGCCGTTCCCACTGTGATTGGGCTTGCTAGTTAGCGAGTAGGGCTGAACTTTTCTCAGTCCAGATTACTAACCATTGCTTCAGGGCGGAGCAGGGAGACCTGTAGAACATCTTAGGTTCGGAACGGCCCATTCCGCACCTAGCTACGTCGAAATGAAAGCGTGGTACCTATCACAGTCGGCCAGACTGACAGCAAAGACCCTCGGCAAAGCAGATGGGCCTGGAATAGGATCTGGGTTTTGCAAAAAATATTGACTCTGCTGGTATATCATCAAGCTTACCGCAAGAGACATCAGCTTCTCATGTCTGTCGAGTATATGTACGGTCTATTGGACGTAGACAGAAGTAAGCGCGCCATGCTTCGAACCGATTTTGAGAATCCAGCATTATCGACTGGGCGTGAAGTGGCGTTCCGTTTGACCACTGAAAATGGGTCTGTGCAGCTAATCGGTAGGCTTTCTAGCGACATGTCACAGACAATGGTTAGGAGCTAGAAGTAAATGCTTATAAGTACGTAACACAGAAACATAGGGATGATGAAATATTCTAAGTCTGTTTTCATCTTTGATAAGCTCGATTATAGGAGCCTTTAAACTCGTCGGGCCCCATCCTGTGGTGAACAAACTACTATATCTCGATTCTTGCTTTCCGGCATGAAGTCCTGGGTAAATTTTTGCCATGTGAAACAACCCTCAGAATAAAACATCGGGGCTCGCGGAGGTCCGTGGATAACAAAAATATAGAAAGGCATAATATCACTCCCGAGGATTGGATCTAGACGAGAGCGACGTGAACAAAAGCTAAATGGGAAGAAATGTAAATACAATTCGGTCACGGGGGATTGAGGGACTACCCTAGCAGAGCTGACTAAGAATGGGTTTAGCAGGTTTTCGGAGTACAGTGATAGAGGTTCGTAGTGCAGATCCATTTTCTTCCATCAACCCTACCTAAGTAACTATGTCATATAAGATAGTGACCGCTAACGATGCTTTTAAGATAAGCTTTGTTACCTGCCAGTCGAGGAACTCCTTGCTAAAACCGACGCAGCATTCTGATGAAGACCGAAATCCTTCTTTATTCAACATGGGACTCGCATGCGTTACCCCCACGGCATCCTCCAATTATGCCCAGACGTTTCCTCCTCTTCGTTCAAATATGGGGAGTATGACACCTGGCAGACGTGTGAGTGTGCCTCACGAGGAAGATGGTGTACTGTTTTCACAGACCTGCCATCGAATGTCCCAAATTTTCTTGAAATATCACGTATATCAATGACTTGATCTTTCAGCCTATTGCCTACCTTATGATGAAAAGGAAATAGATAACAAGCCGGTTTTGCTTGTATCCTTAGCGGTTTCGGCAGCCATTTGAAATGCATTGAATGGCTTCGGCGGGCTCTGTTGTCGAACAGGCTGTGGCCAACACAACCAACAGTTCTTCACATATGCACGCATCTATGATGTGATGGGAGGCCCACCAAATGACCAGATTTGGCTATCCAGATTAGCCAAAGATCAAGTTCTCAACAGACCAGGCTGCCGTCGTTTTCCACGCCTCTAATGCCCAATTCTATCCTCCTCCGGTTCCTACATACTCAAGACTAATTGAATGTTCCGGCAACCTACAAACTTTATCCTAAACCATAATGCCGTCGCATAACGAAAAGCGAGTGCAGGGAGTCAAGGACCTGTCGCCTCACCAGGACACGTCAGATGCCATCAACCAATTGGTGACCTTGCTTCACCAGTACTGTTCCGAGGGCGGTTTCGATACCTTGAAGGGAGTCGTCGGAGAGAACGAAGAACTCAAGCGAGACAAAGCAAAGCTCCAAACCGCATACGATACGAACATCGAAGCGCTATCTCGACATCAAACTGAGTTTGAGAGACAGAAGGTCGATTTTGAGAAGCAACTAGGCTCCCAAGAGGCACAGAACGAGGCAATACTCAAAGCAAAACAAGCAGCCGACGAAAGCATCAAGAAACGCCAAGCTGAATTGACGGCGCTGCAAGAGAAGCTCGAGATGCAGTCATCATCTGCCAAACAGTTGATGAATGAGATCAAGAAAAAAGAGTCCACGATTAATGCTCTCGAAGCTACTAACGCTTCGCAGCAAGAAAATTTAACGAAAGCAGAGAAAGAGTCGGCAACGTTCCAAAGTGCAAAGGAGTCTATGCAAAAGCGAGTAGATGGTCTAACTACGAGCTTAGACGAAGTGCGCGGAAGATTAACAACGTTTCATTCTTTCGTGGTCAAGCTTGACAACTTTGAAGCCAGAAGAGGTGAAGTGTATGTTAGAGCCAGAGTGCTACTATGACCAATTTCTAATATGCTTGAGTAGTGGAGATGCTTTGGATAGTATATTGAGAAACGCGCTCAGCTTCGTGGAATCGTCCATTGGCATCGCTCTAGACGAAGCATGCCTGACCGACATAGCAGTATGGGGAAGGCTTCGAAATCACGCTTCCATCCAGCGCACCATCCCTCTACCTGCTTCTAATTCTCCAGCCGCTAAACAAATGAGGGTCGCCGCCGGTCTCAGGATCTACAGCATGGCTCTCGCCGATCATGTCTTCAAATCAACGTATCTCACTCAAAACAGCGATTTCGAAGATGTTCTACGGGATTTGGAGACAGAGGATCCACTGCATGAAGCTTTCACGCGTGCCGTCCTGTTGAAGATCCAGCCAGCAAGGCAAGCTCGAAATAGAGAAGCTCGTGCCAAGATGGTCGCTGATCAAGTTTCTGACGCCATTGCCGACTTGGTCCCTTCTTCGCAGAAAGAAACTTTGAAAGCACGCCTATACCAGGTCTCATTGGAGGCATGCAATGCGTGGTTAGTTATTCAGCAACTATTGGAGCCAGTCCGCCCAGTCTTCTCTTTGCATATGCCTGAGGACTGGGTGCCATTACCATCGTCGGTACCCCAACGCAACAGCAAGGCCGGACCATCCGGCGTCGCTCGGGAACCTTTGGCGACGCGGGCAGAAAACCAGGGTCAACAAACACAACGGCCGAGTGCTGAGTCTCAGCCGATAGAAATTGACGACATCATGCAAGTTGTTTGGCCAGCATTTTATGTTCCATCTTCTCAACAGGAGGATGACGTTGGTGACCAAGTTCCAGAACTTGTCCACAGAGGGCATGTCATTACACGTTCACAGGGCAGGGAAGCAGAGATCGAAATGTCACGTAGAAATGCGAGAAAGAACGCAAGACAGAACAGTGGATCTAGCCCTACACAGAAAAAGAGACGAGACTCAGCTGTTTTTTTATCCAAGGCTTTTCCTGGCGGTATTGGTACCGAAAAGGTCAATTAAATTAGTTCACAGCTGCTATGTAGCTAAGAACGATCCTATACATACCAGCATAGTCGTCAGGGCTTTTTCCTTCTTTCCTTCTCCGTCTCTTTTTTTCTATTCTTATTTTTCTTTCTTTAATTTTTCCTTCTCTTATTCTCTCTTTCTCTCTTTCTTTGTTTTCTTCTCTCTCCTGCAAAGGTTCTCTTTTAACAGATTGTTTAGTATGGTCCCCTATTTCACGTTTAGTGGTACGGTTGTATTTAGCAGTAGCTGTCACTCATTTGGCTATAATCTACAGAAAGCAAAGTTATTAAAAACTCAGATTTGAGAAAGAATAATGATTCTCTTCCGGGAAAAGCTAGTGCCGCAATTTAGCTGTTCTGATGACGCTGTCCATATGATACGAGCTTCATGGACGAGATTTGTTACTAAAGGAGGAAGTACAATATCAAAGTCCAGCATAACTTGATAAGTACAATTATATATGTTAACGACACGCTAACACAACATATATGCCTTGCTGGGTGTATGCCATATCACCATGTACCTATAGGTGTCCGAGCCACAGCAGAAACACCTCAAAGATGGTTATTCGATCTGCAAGCGCTTCTGTGGCTCTCAGGAACTTGGCAGATCTCTGTTCCTCATTGGCTCGATGTGCCTATACTTCCTACCTGAAGTTAATAATTGTCTGACCTGATGACATGTAAGAGAAGCCAAGTTGCCTCGATGTATTTCGCAGAGTACTCGTCGTCTGAGGACGACCATAAAGTTTTTCCATCAAGAGGCAACATATACCTAGTGCTAAGGTATGGGCAGGCGATCCGTTCCGGGTTCCGGGTCTTGGCCACGTAGAACGGGTCAGTGTTGACTGGACTCATAATGGGACGAAGATAATGCAAAGCCTAAAAGTCTTCTCTTTGACAACCACTAAATCTATTGCTTGCTAGTATGGCAAATACAGGTGCAGTACAAGAACTACACCTTCGGCAACGCGACACATGGTACAGGCTGAAAAATTAGGGTAAAGCTATGCAGCGTTGAAATATCTACAAATCCCAAGTTATTTGCGCAGATCGAAGTGTTGCTTGTTCTCTCAATACTGACCTCCATGGGCTCCTTGATTCATCTGATCGCCTTTAGAGATGTACTAAGGTTGCTTCCGGGACTCCCAGCAACCATGATGAAAGATAACTTAACACTGTTGCCGCTATGTCGTACAGTTCAGGGTAGTTTATGTTAAATTTCCGCCAATGTCGGTCGAAACAGGGATTGTGAATCTTGTAGCATGAAGAATGGAACTCAGGGGCTTTCATATGTGGGATACGCCTGCAGCACAGCTTCCAAAGCTCCACGGGAGACAAGGTATTAAAGCACCAATTGGCTTCCTATGGCCATGGCCGAGGCAGGTTAAGAAGAGGCTGTGAGATTGTCTCGGCTAGTAACACGACTTCCCAGGAAGTCGCAATACGAGAAGGTGATAAGAAGCATAAGAGGTATGGCTCTTCAAGTTGGACTAACCTATATCTCTAGGTGCAGGTCATAATACCAAAACCGGGGGAAGATGGCAGGATGGGGGGATTAAGTATAAAGAGCAGCATTTCTCCCGACTAATACTAGATTGCCTCTTAATTCCTTTTGCAATCGTCTCCTTTTCCGCTCTCCCTCATTCCTTAACCTCGATAACCTGGTCTACTCCCCCATCCTGTGTGAGCTCCTAGAGAGCGAACATAAAGGCGGACTGCTCAGCGATGAGATGATATCAGCTCTTTCTTCGCATTCCGTCACAAAATAACGACAGACTAAAGGCTTCGCAGAGAGTCTCCATAACGCCTGCAAGAACTTACTAATTAGAGCTTCGATTTCGGAGATCGACAATATCAGTGCCCATCCTCCTTATTAACAAGATTACGAGGATTGTGCTAGGGACACAGAGCAATGTGCAAATGACCCGTCGATGCAGCGGTATATCTAACGCACTAATAACGGTGACCTACAGTCTTCCCACGGTAAAGAGGCTTATAGCAAGGAAGCAGGCTAGGGTCAAACGCTTGTTATACTGCAGGCTTCAGACCTAACACTTCGGTCTGTAAGGATAAAAGCAAGGCCAAATTCATATCAACAAGTACCTACAGAGCTCTTCCTCCAGTAAGTTTGCCCAAAATTAAACCTAGCAATAAGCTAATAATACCCAAGCAGGCGCCCTCTTAAAGCAGTCCTATTAGCCTTATCTCCCCTATAATTAAAAAGATATATAAGTTGAGTTACTTCTACCTCCTTAAGCAAGGCGCTGTTTATTTTGTCTATAATAATTATAACTATATCTAGATATTTTATTTACTAGAGTATAGTAGGCCATACTGAAGAATGGAGGATGTTAAGGTAATACAAATTTCGCAGAGATGTCTTTTGCCTTGGTCAGTCTGGCAGCAGACTGAAATATCAAGATATTTATACGTTTAATACAATCAGTTCAGCATTACTGAAGCACTTGGGAGTTCTGTATAGAATTATATGGGAAGTGTCTTGTGACGCGCTGGCTTGTGGATGAGAAAGCAGGCCATTAAGCCAAAAGCATGAGATGTAATCACGTGATCACGTGACAATTGTCTATATGAGGGAACGCGACGCGTATCTAGTTCAGCTCCGCTTTCCTCCCTCTTGCATCATCATCTATCATCAGGCTGTCAACTACTACAAATGAAGATGAGTGTAAGTATGGCCCCAACAGCACGGAGTACTATGTACACGGGGCTAGGGCACCTATCCAATAAGGCTTTAATAAATAACTTCCTCTGTTCAGGATATCTAAACGGTATCATAGCCCGCAATCATAATCAACTCTTCTCGTATACATCGCGTAATTCTTATAGTACATACCTAAGTACCATACCACCATATAATCGGAAGATAGTGTAGTTTTGGAAGGTCGGTCTTTGGCAGGCGCTTTCTGTGAATCGGCGCCGCGTCTTGAGTACTTATTGGCACGTATGGTATTGTTCCCTTCGCGACTGGGCACGGAGATGTCGAACCAGATCAACGAAATGGAATACTCCTTTGACGATGGCGTCAAGCAGGATATTGATATCCCCGATGCTGAAGCATCGTTTGTCCTAGACGGAGCATTTCTCTATCGTGGGTACGGAGACCCATGTTGTCGGAGCCGTTGGATAAATGTAGCACCTAGCGAAAGACATGTAGGTCATGCTAAGACCTCGCGCAACAGCGAACATCCATTTGCTACGGTGATATGGCTCTTAGTTGCTCTTGAAAATGAAGAACACGTACAAGAGGTGCTTGAGGGTCTAAAGGGTAATGGGGTACTCGAATACCTGCGTAATGTAAAATCTTGCTTGAAACTAGGCGAGAATAGATCCCTTCTCTATAATCGACGTTTTCCAGACGGTGAAGGGAATGAGCTTATGTGCAAATCTGCTGAACATAGAGAAGCACTTGATCTTCTATGCGATGTACATGAATTTCAGAGCTCGAATGAACCTGTTACGGCTATAATTTATTTTCAGGACGACAATCATGCTATTTCTCATTTGCATTATGCGGAATGTCTTTCGAGTCGGTGGTTGGCTCAGCGATACGGACGTAGCGCTTCAAATATGGAACAGATGTGGGTGGACTTGAGCCGCAGGGGTTCATTTGCAGCAAAGCAAGTTCGATGTGCCTATTGCTGCCCATGTGAATAGAGTGTTAACGGCTAGGAAAGAGTGGTGGTAGTGGGAAAATACAGTTTGGATGTTGTCATGATTTCATGTACTTTGATGGTATACGAGGGACAGTACCGAGATTGTTATAATGCTTTGTCTAGTTACTTGTTTTCAGTTAATTGTAAAGTCAGGATGTTACGTATGAGGTTGCCACACAAGGTGTGCGATACTGTTAACATTGTGATACCAGTAATCTAGAGGCACGCAGTTAACAAGCAACCCCTAGGTCTGTGCTTCGTACCTGTTGATGAGAGCTTAATTACAGACACGACTAGCAACAAGGTAGGGTGACAAGCCAAGATACTAGTCAGTGAAGAGACCGGTAGATTACTAGCGGCGATTAAGGCTTCCAAGTTCTCCAGGCTATCCAAACTAACTTCAATCCACCCGCAAGCGCCAAACTTCCGTAATGGTTAATGAACCAATCCTGTCCTTATTCTAATCTCTTTGCGCTAGGTCAATTAAGTTTCCATAAACACGTACCAAGCAAAGACCTAGGGATCCCGTGTTCTCCACGAGCTGTGGTCGTATGTGACAGCTGAAGCACCGACTTGACTCATATCAGAGAGAATTGCTGCAGCGGGAGTTGCTCCGGCCGTCATGCTTCTTACCCGAAGCCTACAGCTCTAGGATGGTTGAACTGGGTGCTTCCACGCTTGATATGCTATCCAAGCCTGGTATGAACTCACAGCAAGCGACGCTATTCCCAGAAGTACAGCGAAGATGACTCCTATCAATGTAGCCAGCATAACATGTCTGGCGCCGCTCTTTCTCTGCATCGACTGCTGAAACCAACCGCGAGGTCGAGGAGTTTGAAGCTCGTTGTATAAGTCTGCCAGTCGATCGGCTAGATAGACATATGGGACACTCTCTTCTCCCACACGTCTGACGGAACTGACTTCGAAGTTGAGAATGTCTGGATCGAAAGAGCATTTTGATATGAGTGAGCGGAGAAGCTTCTTAGATCTTGGATCTGAGAGCGGGAACAGAGTTCCTTGTAAGGAGTCCAATACTTCGAGGACTAGTTGGCGTGGTAATACTCCTCTGCGCAATGTTAGTAGCCCGAGCCAGTCCTTTTTGCTTGGACTTTACCTCTTAAGTGATGAAGACGGACTGGAGCAATCTCCAACATCCCGAGTCACTCTCAACTGTTCTTTTAGAAAAGAAGTGTAGTGATAAACCTCGAGGTAGTTGTTTTTTCTGTCAAAGTGCAGGTGGTTTCGAATATCTGATGTCGCCCTGATAGTGATTCCTAGTCGCTTCTTCAGGTTGACCGCCTTGAGCTCCTTCTTGACGTCTGCGAACGACTCGCTATTATCGTAACTAAGAATGCTGTGATTGCCAAGTGGAAACGAGTCTTGTATGTATTTGCTGAAAGGCACGTCCTCTTTCCAGTGAATTCGGTATGTCCCTTTCTCAAGCCTGTCAGAAGAATGATGCAGAGCTGAAGGGTCGACCATCAAAAGAGTCTTTACACCAAGTGCCACTGCATCGACTGTTCTCGTTCCATCAGCCGTCTGTGAGCCTGTGCTTTGATCAATCAAACGGCACAGCTCTAACAGAGTGGCGTCTGGATTCGTTTTCAATATGGAAATGATATGGAAAAGGTCCCCATGCGTTTTTATTCTTCTGGTTGTCGCAGAAGTTGCATCCATGTAAGTCGAGACAATTGCTTTGTAGTACGCAAAATATCGCTGAAGCTGAGGAATGCGACCACCGATACAGCGTTGATGGATACAGGCATGAGGTCGTCGTTCATTGCAGGGCTGAGACAGATCCCATGACCACAAAGCCATCGCTATATCCAGATACACATCTTGATTGATGTCACTGCTGATCCTCGATGCCATTGTACGTAAACGATTAGAAACTGTGATGAGTTTCAAGGCCTGGAATGGGCTTCGAGTCAGAATGTCAGAGGGCGAAGCCTCGATATTATTGCAACTCTGAAGACAACCTCATGCAGAGCCTGATTGTAGATCGAGGCTTGAAAATCGACCTCGGATTGGTTGTTGCGTAGTGATTGGTCTGATCTGTGATGCTCATGCAGCTACTTATGCAGTATTGATGCTTAGCCACTGCCTTCGAAGCTGAGCCCCAAGCACACATGTCACGTCTTACATATGCTATGCTGTCACCCTCAGCAGCTTGAACCTTGAATGTAGTCGGTCGAATCTTCCATCGATGTCAAGAGATTTAATCGTACAAAACTTATGCCGAAATGACGACCGTCGAAAGATGGCAGGGTCAACTGCCGTCCCGTCTTGGAGGTGGGGAGGGAACTGGAAGTTCAACCCAGGTCTCTGCCCAAGGAAGCCATGATGTTGAATGCCCGGAAAGTTTGAGGCACAAGTTGTCAAACTGGCGAGCTTCTGTTTCTTTTCGCCCACCTCCAAGCATCACATCGAAATCTGCACAGCAGGTAGATCCCAAGGCACCCCAGTATGACGGGTCTGATTCTGGCATCGGCATTGCTACACCATCTTCACATAGCCAACAAAGCGAGCCTGTCGGATTGGACTTGCCCGGAACGGAGTTGAAGTCTTTCGATGAACCCATATCCCAACGATTGAAAGCACGGTTCTTCGACATCAAGGTCCTGTACACTCAACCACTGCTTGACTACATTCTCAAGAGGAAAAAGGATCCTGGAGACATTTCCATGAAGCTGAAACACCTGGGACTCAATTCACAAAGTATCCAGCTCCATATTGTCATTCAATGCGAAAGAAAGGTCGCAAAGAGAGTGAGGAAATTCTTCGCGCAAGGTCATGTCGAAGAAGAGCTTTTGCCTGACTTTCGGGTCTTTGTGCTGGAGAAGGCACTCTTGCGACTGACGGATGACGAGGCGATAGAGGTTCTGACAGATTCTGTGCCAAAGAGAACATGGTGTGGAACTCCCATCAGATTGATGCGAGGCAATGCGTCTGTTGTAGCGACTTTCGGGGGTATCATTGTGGTTGAAACCACTCACAAGCGCCTAGTTGGCTTGACGGCTGCCCATTCTCTGAAGAAATTGCATAGTCCTCTATCCAATCAGCTCTTAACGAATGATACAGAAGTTCCCTTCTCGTCCTCGTCGTCAAATGCTTCCGAGAGCGAAAGCGACTCTGATTGCGAGTCCACAATCACGACTGAAAGTTCAGTGCAGCATCTCGAGCACTTGAATGACAAGGGACTGGATACCACTGCATCTCCAAACACCGTGCAAATCGGCACCATCCTTTGCAATACATTCAATGCTCCGATGGCACAGAACTATGACTGGGCTATTATTGATTTGAGCCAACAAGCGACATTACCTAATAGAGTTGTCCTAGATGGACGGCCTGACTCGTCAGATTTTGAGGAAGACAGCGACCTTGAACCCATTCTATTTCCAGTTGGGAATCCCTGTGTATCAGTGTCTAGGCAAGTCCTAGTACTGAAGCAAGGTGCCAAGCCGATTGGAGAGATGTCTCTTGACACTTCCTCTGTGCTGATATCCCCCGGATCATCATTTGTTGAGGTCTACGATCTTGCCATGGAGCATGGCTCTTGTAAGTGAATCTGAATACTCTAATATAACAAACTGACTAATGGGCTCCCAGCGTTAAGTCCCGGTGACTCCGGCTCTTGGGTAGTCGATGCAAAGACCTCCGTATTATATGGCCATGTTGTTTCGACTGATGCCTTTGGAGAGGCCCAAGTGATGCCTATTCGTTCGACTCTCGACAGTATCAAGGTGCAGATGAATGCCACACGAGTATTCCTGCCCAATAGTGATGAGATCCAACTGTTTAGGGAGACCTCAAGGATCCCTGTGCCTGCCAACCTGGAAGCATCGCCGATCACTGTGGCACCTGAACAGCAGGAGATTACAGAGGCAACCCACTCGGAAGATATGACGGGAGACCAATTTTGGCATTCGCCACCTTCTACAGACGCCTCTGACAAGTTCTCAGCTGGACGCGCAGTATCTCAACAAGATATCGTCGCCCAAAGCCTTGATATCGCACGTGAGAGCCCTGACGGAGCTTCTTATCCTTCTATTAGACAGATCCTTGAATCGGCACTGGAAGAAATATGGTCCAAGGTACAGGATCAGCCCGACTCATATGTTATGACGAGAGATGAGTTTGCCGTCTTCAGTTTCTTCCAGCACCGCTTCACCGGTGACAAAATGGCCGTCGCTGCTCGAAAGAGATACTGGGGATCACTATCTATAGACTCTCCGGAGTCTACCAAGACTGAAGGTGGCGATCTCGCTCAGATTGACGCCATTCGGAAATTGGTTCAAGCCTCGTATCGCCGTATTGGTACATACGGCCCAGATTTCGCCAATGTGGCTACTAAGCTGTACAAACTTGAATTGGCCCTCAGGCGGTTTCGAGATGACGTCGCCCAGGAAGACATTCCTGTGCATCTCGAAGAATATTATTACAGCCACCTTCACTCACTCATTGAGGATTGGGATTTCGCCATGAAGCGAGTCAGTTCTCTAATTGATACGTATAATGACGAAGAAATAAGTTTCGAAGGCGAAGATGCGTCCGTGAGCAGTGAACTGAAACCCATAGAGCCTATCTTAGCCGGCAAAAGGATGGCCATTGAGCTGTTGCTTGACTCAGTCCAGTTACAAAAGCCTCAGATACACGATGGACGCGAGTCTGACCTCGAATATATCAAGGACAAGGTCGACCAAATTGCTGCTCAGCTCTTCACCAACCGGGATGCTGGGTCCTTCTCGGGAGAAGACGATGACTTATGGAGGCATTTCCAGGAACTTCTTGAGAAAGAGGGGTTTTCATCTCAGGTTTTGAGTAAAAGCAAAGTCAGTTATTAACAGTGTTCAAGGCCGTGAATCAATGCTGACATGGAACAGGATGTCCTCGTGGTATATATCAACGAACTCAGACATGTTGCCAATACCATGACAAGCACACTCCCTCGTACTCATATACCATCCGAGCCACCTTTGAAGATTGTACCCAATGAGCAACGGAAACCAGATATTAAACATAAGCTTGATGACGCAAAAATACAATGGGAGGTTATTACGACAGAGGACATAATTGCTCTAGACAGAGAGGATTCAGTAATGCAGCAGATCCAGCCTGTACTTTCACCAAGGGAAGCAGGACCTCTGCAACAGCCCATTGCATCACAGGATTGGTACACAGAAACCTCTCGCGTGACTGAGGACTTATCTCGTCATGTCTCATCTCAGTCCACATACAGAGGCGATAATGGTCAAGCCGGCTTTGCCCCAAACTCTCAACTTGTGGCTCCAGATCAAGACGGTAGAGCAATTCCTGATGATGCGCATTGGACGAAAATATCACGCAAACTTGTCAGCGTGGAGGTCCTACAACGAGCGGGCGTACGCTACGAAGCAAGACCAGATTACGTCGCCATCCTTGGTGTTTTGTCCAGAGAAAAAGTGGCAAAGCTAGTTCGTGATAGCGAAGTGACGATAACTTCTCGTCCTCCCCCTCCGTATCGCCGAGCCAGAAGTACTTCCGGACAGGCCCGACTTGTATCCCCAGTCGCCAATGACGACGATGTATCCTTCATTCCTTTAGTTGATGGCGACAATGTGGGTAGTTCATTCGCTGAATTTCTTTTCAAGAGACCCAGCAAAGCTCTTGACAACGATGTCACTGCAGACAGCGAGGAAAGATATCCTTCACGGAGTGCCGAAAAAAAGCAAGAAAAGCCCGGGAGTAAACAAGAGAAGTTCAACGGAAGGCAACGACATAGATCTCGTAGACGCTCAATATATGAGCCTCACAGAGAAATAAATGACTGGGGTAGACTTCAGCACGACGTAAGGGCTTATGACAAGGGCGGGCCAGGTGGTGTAGTTGGAATTGGCAGCGCTGCAGTGAGTTTGCTGTGTGTTCTTTCTGAGGCTGCGTCGGCTATTTAAACACTTGGCCTGTTTTATTTTCTGTTGGGCAATGGAAATATTAGGGATTTACTTCTAAGTCTTGGAGGTTGCACAGTGGGATAAGATGGTGAGGCACCAAAGAGTGGGAGGAAAATAAAGCTCGATCCTAGGTAACAGAAATCATAGGCTAGCTTCATGTAAATACACCGAGGCGTCTACCTTCTCTCATTATCATACCAATGCGCCAGCTTTGCCATCATACTCATTATATTTTACCATTTCATACAAATTTCACAAAAACCGCTTATGATCCCCAATACATGACACTTGAAGCAAGTCAGGAAGCATTAGATCCTGTTGCAACCAATTCTCCTTTATCTTATTTTCCAATACCTCAGACACGGCATACACTCTTCTCCCACTTCTATCGTATTCCAGCTTTCATGTAGGACTCGTCGTCGACTCTTGGATTTCCATCCATCTCGTATATATCCGCTCTTTGCAGCTCCTCATGCGCAGAGTAAAAGTAGTATGTATCTGACAACCTCATTTAGCATCATCACAACAACATGAAACTCTACAATTTACTTACCAGCTTTTCGTTTCTTTTTGATCAGGAAGTAAGTAATTCCCAGCCCTATCAACACCGCCCCAGCTACAGCACCAACAACAGCGCCGCCAATGACCGCACCAGAGAGGGAACCCGAATTCGAACCAATCCCTCTATCTGGTCTCGAACTCTCAGAAGCAGAGCCCGTGTAAGACGCAGAGGGCTGTATAACGCCCGTAGTATTCTCACACTTCTTCCCCGTCTCCTCATCGAATACTCTCACGAGGCTTCTTTCCCGAGTGGCATTCGCCTGCCAGAGCGTGAAAGTCCCAGCATCGTGATTGACCATGAGATACGCCGCTGTGAGGAAATACCTCCCAAGGATTGGTGGTACGTCTTCGATATCTGTTATGAGAATGTCGCGTTTGGATGTATTGCTGACTCGTGAGCTGTTGGAGGCGATGTCCACGGAGGGGATCATGTATTGGTTGTTTGGGACGCGGATCTTGAGACCGGAGTCGAGATGAAAGGTCAGGTCGGCCAAGAACCTACTACTGTCAGTGATTAAGTCGAAACGGAAACGAAGGGTGGGCATACTGCTTGTCGAGGCCTGTCTGAAGGGCATTCCAGTGCAGTCCACTCGATGAGTAATTCGTCTTCAAACCACTGATAGACTCAAAATTCCGTATATATGGCGTCGGTGCCTCCAGCAGCAAATGATTCGCCGGATCGATACAACACTTCAACGTCGTCCCCTTCGGAAAGATGCTAACATTCGTTCCACCGAGATAATTGATCTGGACATCAGTCAAAGTCACCTTCATACCAGTCCAGCACCCATCCGAGCCATCGAAATCTCCATATACAAGCGGCGCAGTGTAATTTTTACCAATGACTTTCTTCTCATCATAACCACCGAGTACTAAAGATCCATCAAGAGGTTCTTTGATCCACATGCGTCCCCAGAATATGGACCATACTCGTGAACCAATCTTTCCAGCTTTACGTAGGGCGTTGAGATATGTTGAATTACGGCCTAAGCCGAGGGGACTCAGAGTACTGTATGTATCGTCCCATTTACTCGTTGGTATACCAAAGGGAAAGTTGTCGAGTTCAGCTGAACCTTCGAGGGTGAACTTGTCGATTGCGCCACTAGCGCTTTTGACGAGGTTGCGAACTCCGTATTGGCCGCCTTTGAAGAATGTCTCGTTTGGTGCACCGCCTGCTTTGACGATGTCCCTCGCTCCTGTGAAACTCGTAGATTTCTCTTCGTTGAACATTCCACCTCTTCGAACTTGGCATGATTCGTCATTTGGAATACCTGAGTCCTTGCAGAATGGATCGGTGTATATCCAGGTGTTGTTCATGTCACTGTTCCTGTTAACCATAGATAGTGCTGATTTAAATGGGAACTTACGCCCATGGTAGAAGAACGATATTCTGAGGTGTTGTTCCAATTTCGGCTGGAATTCCTTTCATGAATGAGTTGGGAACATCGGGGAGGACTTGGACATCTCGAAGGTGGAGAACTAAAGGTTCGGCATCACAGGATGATGCGATTGCCTCTCGCAGGAAGGGAAGTGTCAACAAGAAACGATGCATCGCGAATTATGGTATTACAAAAGAAACGAAATCGGAATAATAATTCAGTAAATGGCCTTGACGGGTGCGAGCAGAAAGCCCATATTGTTATTTGTCGTCGAGGAAGACTCAGAGGTTCGTGCCCAAGTCCTAACCAACACCAACACCATCATCATGGTTTTCCAACCACTTACACAAGCCAGGTCTACTCAAAGAACACCACCTTCTCACTCCCAATGACCTGTTTTCCCATCTTTACTTAGGACTCGGGCAAGGCGAAAGAAACACTTATACTATGTATAGCATCAAAGCCAGGATTTCCACAAACGGAAATAGTCTCGTTTTAGGCTTCCGGACCACCAACCCCATCGAGTAAGAAACCACCTCGCAGGGATTAAGATAGGCTGGCTTATCACTAACTCAATCCGTAAGCTGCAACAAAGAAGCCATTTCAGCACAGCTTACACCTTTTTTGTTTTTGTTTTCTTTGTCTCAGCACACCATGTTTCGTCGCCGTGCTTCAAGACGCCTCCCTTCACGCGTCGTGCTAATCGCCGCCTTTCTCACAACACTCTTTCTATGGCGTCAATTATCGCATCAGAGCGGCGTGGTGTTTGTAAAGAGCTCTTTTGACTGGTCGACTGTGGGGCTTGTCCATCCGCCGGCGGATATCAAGCCTTTACCTATTGGTCACGCAAAGCGTATGCCGAGAATTCAAGCTGAGAAGGGGAAATTTGTAAAGACGGGTGAGGTCGAGAAGAGGAGAGATGCTGTGAGGAGAGAGTTTAGGAGAGGGTGGGAGGCGTATAGGTTGAAGGCTTGGGGGAGGGATGAGTTGATGCCGCTGACGGGACAAGCGAAAGATCCGTTTGGCGGGTGGGCTGCTACGATGGTTGATGCGCTGGATACCCTCTGGATAATGGATCTCAAAGCGGAATTCAACGAAGCTGCGAGTGCGGCTGCGGCGATAGATTGGGGAAACACACACGAGAAAGCAGTCAATCTCTTCGAAACGACAATTCGACATCTCGGCGGTCTTCTAAGCTCATATGAACTAAGTCGCGAACCAGCATTATTGCAAAAAGCCACAGAACTCGGAGAAATGCTATATATCGCCTTTGACACACCGAATCGACTTCCGGGGTTCTGGCTTAATTTCGACGATGCGTTAAAGGGAAAACAAGTCGCTGGTATTCACGACCCATCAGCTTCACCGAGTTCGTTGGTCATGGAGTTTACCAAGCTCTCACAACTAACCAAAGATCCCAAATTCTACGACGCGACAGATCGTGTAACGCGGTTTCTACTCAGGATTCAGAATAGCACTCTTTTGCCGGGAATGTGGCCCATGTGTCTTGACTTTCAGAACGAAGCTGTGCACGATAATACGTTCTCGCTTGGTGCGCTGGCAGATTCTCTTTATGAGTATTTACCCAAGATGCATGCTTTGCTAGGTGGTTTGGACGAGAACTACGAAACCATGTACCGCACGGCGGCGGATGTTATTATAAAGCATTTGCTCTACAGGCCTATGCTGCCGAAACAAGAGGATGTGCTGTTTTTAGGTGATGCTAGGGTCGGTGCGAAGATTGAGTTGAGCACAGAGAGTCAACATCTTACCTGTTTCGCGGGAGGAATGTTTGCACTAGGCGGAAAGCTCTTTGGAATCGAACAACACGTCAATATCGGAGAAAGACTCGCAAGAGGATGTGGTTGGGCGTACAGCGCTTTTCCGACCGGTATAATGCCCGAGATCTTCGACTTGGTAGCCTGTCCGACCCTCGAGGCCTGCGAATGGAACGAAACGCTCTGGAAGCCGCAAAACAACCAGAAACTCCCTCCTGGCTTCCGCCACGCGCGCGATCCGCGATATATCCTCCGACCGGAAGCTATCGAGAGTGTGTTTATCATGTATCGCCTCACAGCGGATGCGAAGTGGCAGGATATGGCGTGGGATATGTTTCAGGCGATTGTGAAGTATACGAGCACTGAGCTTGCGAATGCGGCTGTTGATGACGTTACGAGTACTGAGACGTCGAGGACTGATTCTATGGAGGTAAGTTATTTGTGAAATGGGAGGGTAAGGGAGAGGGGATGTGTGCTAATGAGTGTGTAGAGTTTTTGGTTCTCGGAGACGCTGAAGTATTTCTACTTGATCTTCTCAGAGCCGGATTTGATCAGTTTGGATGAGTTTGTGCTGAATACGGAGGCGCATCCTTTTAGAAGGCTTTTGAGTCGGGATTAAGGAATGGCGAGATCAGGATCCAGCATTACTGTGAGTTTCATCTTGCTGGTCGAGTTGGAACTGTGGGCGGTAGATTGCAACGACCTTCGCGCTGAGTGGACCAGCGCAGCCCGTATCAGACAGGGCATGTCTTTCATGGTTATCTTAACGAAATATCAACACTGACGATGACGTCTTGAAAGGATACACTCGCTCTTTGAGGGTGTTTCGATGTCGGGCCATCTGTCCCTGTAACATACCTACGTCCTATGACCCAGTCCCTCTTCAATTCGAAAGGACGATATGTAAAGAAGAGATCAGCATTAGGGTCGCCATTTTTTTTTCCCTTTCTAGTGACTTTGAAAATACCTTTGTGGTCGAGTCGTGATGCTCTTGAACCAAGGTCACTTACTGGGCGATGCTGGTGTTTCACCTCTTTGTTCAACACCTCAAAATAGCAACTCGAGGTCACCGCAATAGGGCCTTGGTCCGGTCTGACATATTGGTCAAAGAATTGATACGAATGTGCTCGTTATTGTGAAAATACCCATTGGCATGACCATGGAAGTCTCGGATATCCATTCTCGAGGCCACGAAACAGATATAGGATATAGAGCCCTATAACCACCAATCCCGTTCCCAACCCATGGATCAAAGATCAAACCAAATTATCAAAACTATTACAAACTACTATCAAAATGTTTCCACCCCTCCTCCTTCTAACCCTCATCCTCAGCGCAATCGCTACCTCTCCTTCCTCCTCCCTCAACACAACCAACCTCACGCAACATCCCTCCCGCGTCGCACCACGCTTCATATCAGGCGGTTTCTACGACAAATGCAAATACGTACGCTTCTACCTCGCCAAAGCAGATGACACGCATCCCCGCAAGAACAGCTTCCACGGCTATAAGTCTTCACCGTGGCTTGTAGCGAAATGTCCTGATAAGAATGGAAAGTATCTCTGTACGTGGTTGGCGCTGAGTAAGTGTTTGCTTAACTCGGAGGGAGAGCTATATCGTGGATCAAAGTAAGTATCGTTACTGTGAATGTTGTGTTAGGAGTGGTACTAATGATGCTGTGTAGTGGGAATTTTCACGGGTCGTGTACGGCGTGTAAGTTGACTGGCAGTAACTTCAACTGCGGCTGTTGGAGTGGTTTGAAGAAGGGCAAGAATGATTTCGGGAACCGAGTTCATCGAACGAGTATCGATTTGAGTATGTTTTCCCTTCTGGGTCTGGTGGTTTGTTGCTAACTGGTGTGATAGATGTTGCTGTTGGCGCTGTTGATGGGTATTTGACCTGTCATGGGAATTGGGGAATCCTCGATTATTGCAGTGGAAGGCCATCGCATGATCCTTTTCTCGATTCCAAGTGATGAGCGTGTATGAAGATTTGTTGTTTTTCGTTAAATTGACAGAGGCGTTGATGGTCGTTGCTGGCTTTTGCTCTGTCTCGCGTTCGTTCTGTTTTTATCCTTCTTCACATTCGTTCGTAAAGCTTCGTTTGTATTTTCTCGCAATTAGTTTTCGTATCGCTTTGTTGATTTATCAGACCTGAATATTTAGTTTCGCTTCTCCTCTTTGTTGCCGCCATCGATTTGTTGATTCAACCAACTCAGGACAACCCTTCAGCAACCATCCCCATTTCCTCAGAAATCCCACACTAACCTCCCAACTACTCCCATCGTGTGCCTCTCCCCAGACAATCAAGTAAGCATCATCCAATCCTTGACTACTCATGAGTCCCAGTATGTCAATACACAACTCATCTTCATCAAATACACCGCTGGTGTATCCCTTGAGCATGTTATCTCTCAATTGAGGGAATGGTAGTAAATCGACCCAGGGATGATGCTCAATCTCGATTTGTAACCTTGTAGGACGTAGCGATTCGGGACATGCGGATTTCACCAAGGTACCATCTGCGGACGAGGGACCTAGGGCGTTCCAGGGCGATATCACATCGTCACAGCATAATCCTTGTAGCGGGATACCGATGTGAACTGCATTGCTGGACACGGCATTAACGGCGTTGAGGCGGATGAGTGAAGGTAGAAGTGCCGGACGATGGTTCTTTAGACTATGTTGCATGTGCACCAGCTGCATGAATGCATATGCAACAGCACGTTCTCTGGCAGTGGTGAATATGAGGAGTCCATTCGTGTGAACTTCTTCGGGGGTGACATTTGCATATTCCTCATTCCGGGCCTTCCGTTTGCCTACCAAAGTCAGTTTTGCTTCAATGCACAGTATAGTAGAGTACAGTATAGGGACTGACGATAAGCTCTCTGGTTCAGACGGTTCTGCCGTCTCCGTCTATCCCTCGCCTCAGTGATCCCCGTCCAATCATCGTCTGGGTCTTTGAGCTCCGTTAACTGGGGCAGTTGGCCGAGACGTTTCGGAGCCGGCGGTTGAGTAAGCTCTGCCATCGGGATTCTTACGTGAAGAGTGCGAGACTGGACCGGACCCTCTCCGTCCTAGGCGATTGTCCTTTATGTACCTGGCTGACGAGGGATTGTAAACTCCGAGAGGGGAAAAAAAGAAGGAGAGGTTTATCACTGAGCTGCAGAGATAAAGACTACGTAGACCTTGGGCTGTTTATTGCTTACAATTGATGTTTTCTCACTGCTTCTGAACTGTTTGGAAGGTTGACTAGTTGGATCGAATCTTTGATGATGGGCTCTGATTCGTTACGGAGATAGCGTTGATGGCGCTAATGCAACCTGCTGACATCAAGACCCGAGCAGAATTTAGCCATCTCATCCCTGTAAGATAAAGCGTGACGGGACGCTGATGTCAGACCTTTAATCCAACCCAACCCTCGGATCAAAAGAAACACCGTCGGTTCAAAGATCAATGACATCTCCATAGATAGTAACACTCTCTATTCAGTCTAGTATCTCCATTGAATCACTAACTGCCGATGCATCTCCCTCGTGGCAGACCCGCCTCAATCTGGAGACGTCACCCTCCTTACGGGCCTTTTTTCTCACTTGTCCCGTCAATGCGCACTTGGAATTAGTGGGCTAACGGCGATGGCTTCCTTTTTGCGTCCAGTCCCAAATGGAAAACTTAACTCCGTTTATATCCATATCCATTCCATAGCATTACATCGGTCTCTGATGCTGATAAATTCTCGGGTCTTCGATGACGTTGCGGAGTCCGAACATTTTTTTCTTGCCTTGGATGGTTGTAGAATCTTGGAGGTGAAGTGATATATATAGCTTGCACTCACGTAGGTAGATAGATGATCTGATCAATACAATCTTGTTTGCTTCTCATCTTCAAAGTAACAAAACAATACACAAAAATGTCTACCGATTACGAATTCAAGGGCTGGCTTGGCCGTGATCCCGACTCCGTCAATGGAAAGATGGAGTGGGATACCTTTGAGCCCAAGAAGTGGGAGGAGAACGACGTCGACATCAAGATCACACACTGCGGTATCTGCGGTTCTGACCTTCACACTCTTCGCTCCGGCTGGGGCGAGACACCTTTCCGTAAGTCCTCACACACTCCAAATGATACACACAGTTACTGATGCACTCTCAGCCTGCTGTGTCGGTCACGAAATCGTCGGCAAGGCAGTCCGCGTCGGCTCCAACGTAACAGACATCAAGGTCGGCGACAGAGTCGGTGTAGGCGCCCAGGCCCGCAGCTGTCTCCGCGACGACTGCTCCGAGTGCTCCGCCGGCCGCCTCAACTACTGCCCCAAGATGGTCAGCACCTACGGCTCCATCTACCCCGACGACATCGGAAAGTCCTACGGTGGATACGCCGACTACAACCGCACTGACTCTCGCTTCGTCGTAAAGATCCCCGAGAGTCTCCCCTCAGAGTACGCTGCGCCCATGCTCTGCGGCGGTGTCACCGTCTACGCTCCCCTCCGTAACAATGGCTGCGGTCCTGGAAAGACTGTTGGTATCGTCGGTGTAGGCGGTCTAGGCCACTTTGGCGTTCTCTTCGCCAAAGCTCTCGGCGCCGATAAGGTCATTGGTATTTCTCGCAAGGCCTCCAAGAAGGAAGAAGTCCTCGCTCTCGGCGCAGACGCCTACATCGCCACTGACGACGATGAGGACTGGGCCAACAAGAACGCCAAGACGATCGATCTCATGATCTGCACTGTGTCAAGCAGCAAGATGCCCTACAGCGATTACTTCAAGCTTCTGCGCCACGGCGCCGACTTTGTGCAGGTCGGTGCTCCTGACTCTGGCGAGCTGCCCCCCATCAATGCGTTCAACCTCATCATGGGCCAGTTCAAGCTCAGTGGAAGCTTGATTGGGTCGCCTAAGGATATCGAGGAGATGCTGCAGCTTGCTGTTGAGAAGAATGTCAAGCCGTGGGTTGAGAAGAGGCCGATGGAGGATGCGAACCAGGCTGTTGTTGATATGGAGAATGGAAAGGCGCGATACCGATATGTTTTGGTTAACCAGAAGAACATTGATTAAATTAGCGGGACGGAAATGATAGAGATAGACTGTACATAAGATATGAATGAACAATAGAATAATCTTTAACAAGAATCTTGACTGGACTTTGGTGATTGACTGGATAGTGGCATACCCCGCTATTTACATCGCGCCCTTCAGCACCATTCATCGGCACTTCATTCAATGAACTACGACAGCTTCAACCTGCTCATACACCATTATTCTTCATTGTAACTACTCAAAGCATTTGCTTATGTCCCATACACCATCATAATGCCCCGGTCAGACGAAGCACAAGCCTTCTTCCACGCCGTATACTCAGCCGTTCAAGAGATCCCCCACGGCAAAGTCACGACATACGGCCACATCGCCATGCTCGTTGGAACCCGTACCAAACCCTCACACACCCAAAACCTCAAGTCACTAACATGTCACAGCTCAAAGACCTCGTCAAGTCGGCGTCTGTCTAAAGCACCTTCCCGCCGATCCGTCTCAGCCCTTCAACCATGAAAACGTTCCATGGCAAAGAGTGATAAACTCCAAAGGCCAAATATCGCCTAGGTAAGCATCAATCTTCACTCGGTCTCCAAGGGACAAAAGCTCACTTTGTAGATCTCAACCTGGAGGATCCCGCTCACAAGCTGATGCCCTCCAAGCAGAAGCCGTACAAGTCGAGACAAACGCAATGGGCGAACACTCAGTAGACTTCTCCCAGTACGGCTGGTTCCCAGAACTACTCCCCTCAGAAGAAAACGATCAAGGCGAATGAGTAAGGTCTTTGAAACTAGTATTTACCACTATCGTCTTCGGAAACAAAAAACCACGTTTTTGTTTCCCTATATGTAATTTGTAATGCGAAACCCAAAATCAATGGGTCCCCCCTCATAAGAATCATCCCATCTTCCGCTTCATTCTTTGAATCAAAGTCCGCCACCCTAAAATCTCCCTTGAAATCAAAGGGAGTCAAATCGAAAAGAAGAAAATTACACATGTACCAAGACAGACACCCAAAATGACATCTTTATGCATCGAGCCGCTCGTGTATGTGATAAATCCCCCCCTTCTTCACAGGGTAGTAAAAACAACAAAAAGTTAAAAAAAAAAGAATCCTCCAAACTCCTGGCCAGTGCTTGAAAACTTGGTTGGGATGCCCGACGACGAAAAAGAGCGCCAGACCGACAATAAAACTCGAGGGGGAATATAGTGAACAACATCAAATCAGAAACGTGATGACACATAAAGGCGTTGCAAAAAGAATCCCATCCCAATCAACCCCCCAATGCTGAATGTGTGTCCCGTGATCAAAGACTCCGGGGCGGGCCGCGCAAAAGCCGGCTAGTCACAGCTTCGCCTCCTCTAGAAGCAGTTCAAGCTTCCCTTCTTCTTCTTGCCCTTGTTGATGGCATTCATACGCTCCTCGAGCTGGCGACGGGCAGCCTCGGCAGCCTGTCGCTTCTTGCGCTCCTCCTCCACAGCTTGGAGACTCCATCTGTTGTCCTGAACAGGCTCGGGAGGAGGGCGGTCCTTGAGCTCCTTGACCTCGACCTCTAGCTCACCAGCACGCTTCTTCCAGGCATCACAATCGGCCTTAACTTTATTAGATTGCCTTTCCAGGTCGGTAAGAGCCTCCTCGAGTGTCTGGGTAAGCTGACGCTCCGCATTAAGGTGCTTCTCGATGGTTCGGATACGCGCTTCCTGGTCTTCAGTAATATGAGAGATGTTAATGTTGTCCTTGCTGATAGGACGTCCGTTGGTGGGTGAGCTGGGAGCTCCATTGACAGGAGATCCCGCACCGTTTGGCAGAGGGGGGAGAGGGATAGCTGGTGGGGGTGATGGGAGGGAGACGTGAGATGCGCTCTTGCGAATGGTCGAGTTAGAGTTTGACCGCTGGACGCCAGCCGCCACTTCGTCCATCTTAGTCTAGGAAGTGTTAGTGAAGCCCACAAATTATCATGCAGAGACAAGCTTACCTGGAGAGCTGCATAATCTTCCTTTAAGACCTGTAATTCGGCAGTGAGGCGTGCAGTAGCGGCATTGGCCTCAACCAATTGACTGTTACGTTCCGTCTGCAGGGTGCTCAATCGGTTATTGGTGATTTGAACCTCGTCAAAGTTATTCTGGAGCTGCTCCTCAAGCTCCTCCACAAGTCTGCTGTTCTTCTTGCTTCGGTCATCAAGATCTGTCATCCTCTTCTTGGCGATCTTGATCTGCTCAACTAGAGGACCAGAGCCAGCACCTCCATCAAGCATTTCAGCCAAAGCAACCTTGGCGTCTTCAAGATCCTTCATGATCTTCTCATTAATAGATGTGAGCTCGTTGACATGTGACTCAATCTCGGCCCGCTTGGCCTGCTCCTCGTCAAGAACCTTCTTGCTAGCAGCAAGCTCATCGATACGCTCCACCAACTTCTCTGCATCAGCGTCAAGGCCAAGAGCCATGGCGACATGGGAAGCTGCCTTGTTGAGTTCATCGCGAATCTCTGCAAGCTCAGTCTCCAATCGGAGAGCACTCTCGGCATGCTCGGATAGCAACACTTCAACCTGCTCTTCGTAGCCCTTCTGCTCGGTCGTCTTAAGATCAGCCAGGGCCTTAGCGTGCTCAGCCTTGAGCTCCTCGAGCGATGTCTCGTTACTCTTCGCGCCCTCATCATGGGCTGCGATCTGCCCCTGAAGCTTGGCAATAAGCTCTAGCTGTCGGGAGTTGTCCTCTTGCACAGCGTTGTGAGTCTTGTGGAGCTCGTCCAACTCGGCGCGAGCAGCAGCATGAGCCTGCTCCAGTTCAGCAACCTTGGTAGCATTGCTGTTGATGATCGCCTTGTACTCATCAATCTCGTTGCGAAGGAAGCTGATAAGGTTCTGTTGTCGTTGCTCAGCATCGCTGTTTGGCTCATCCTTATCGCCATTCTGGGATCGAGAGGCAGAGATTTGAGCATGGTTAGAAACAACTCGAGCCTCAAGCTCCTCAATCGTACCCCGCATCTGGGTTTCTGTTGTTGCCATGGAATCAAGCGCCTCCTTGTGCTTCTGCTCCCAGGTAGCCAGCTCAGTCTGGAGCTCGGCAACACGCTGCTCATGCTTGGAGTCAGCATTGTTGGGCTCCTGGAGACTAGACTTGGCAGCAAGTGCTTGTCGCAGTGACTCAAGCTCAGTTGTGAGTGCTTGCTCACGAGCCATGTGAGCGTTCCTCGTATCACAAAGTTGTCTCTCATTCTGCTCAAGCTGATCCCGCAGTGTTGCCACCATGGACATCTCTACAGGGCTGGCCTTGAGACTGGATCGTTCTCTTGTCAGTCCCGAGATGATGGTCATCTTGGTTTCCATCTCCTTCTTCGCTGCTGCAACGTCTGCTTCTAGTTCCTGAATGCGTTCGCTCCTGACGTGCAGTTCATGGATCGCGGCATTCAAGTTCAGCTCGAAGCTCTGCATGGCCTCGGGCTGAGCGCCGAAGTGCTCAGAAGCAATGTTTCGCAGTGATGAAAATGAGCGCTGGGCACGGTCGACAACGAGCAGGTTCTGACTTGACTTGCGTCGAATAACAGGAGTGCTGGAACGAGGTGATGTAGCTTCCATGACACGGGCACGAGATAGGTCAGTCTTGAGCTCCTCAACAATATCGAGGGTCTCGTTGTGCTTGAACTCAAGCTGAGCATATCTCTCGGCCAATTCTCGTTCAGCAGCTTCACGTTCCTGGGCCATTGACTTGAGTCTTTGGAGCTCTGCAGCAATCTCAACATTATCGTCCTGGGGCAAGTTCTCCGTCGATGCGGCTGCGGGCTTCGTGGTAGCAGTTTCGTCGTCAGACAAGATGTCACCGTTCGATGAAGCGGCAGTGGCAGGAGAATCCATGGCTGAGGATAATTCCGAAGAGAGCGATCGCGTAAAGGATGACCTTGGCCCAGCCTTCAGATCATTTGTTCTAGAGTCAGAAAGGAAAGACTCGGGTCGGGTATGGGTCGGTGTGGCCACAGAAATAACCGACTCGCGCTTGGGGTTGACATGACGGGCCTCATCAACGGCATCCTGCATCTCAGCAATCTTACGCATAGCATCCTCGTACTTGGCGTGGAGGGAGTCATAGTCATGAAGAGTCGACTCGTGCTCCACGCGCAAGTCAATAAGCTCCTGGGTAACATTCTCAAGCTTGTCAGCAACAAACTTGGATTGAGCTGGGCTTGGTGGAGGACCCTCTTCGGTTGGCTTCTCAAGACGCAGAAGATCCTCATCGACTTCCTTGACAGGGCCAATCTTGGTATGAGGGTGGTCTTCCTCGTCACCCTCTGGAATCGGGTCCTCCATTTGGCTATGACGACTAACGTGGGAAAGGTTTCGAGAGTGTTCGGCCATAGCGCGACGAGACGCAACACCGTTGGTTTGCTCAGCATTGTGGTCGGTTCCGTTCTCGGTCCCGGGTTCCTTGCCATCTTGGATCTGGTCAAGCTCCTGGAGAAGCGAGTCGAGCTTACCGAGACTTCTTTGTCGCTCAACCACTTGCTCAAGTCGGTCGATTTCACGTTGCATCAACTCGGCATCTTGGTCCGCCTCAGCAAGACGTTCTTCAAGGGTTGAGATGTAGTCTTCGCATGACGCCTCATTCTCTCGAACACGGGAAATCTCCTTACGAAGTTCCATAATGATCGTGGCGTTCTTCTCTTCGCCGTTGGTATGTCCATCCAACTTGGCTTCAAGATCGTGTAGATAACTCTCAGTATTATTCTCTCGGTCCATGAGCTTCTGGAGACGGCTCTGGAGCTGTGAGTTGATAGTTTCGACGTAAGCGCATTTCGTCTCCTTCTCGAGAAGATTAGCCTCGGTGTTAGAGAGAGTGCCGCGAGTAGAAGAGAGGGACTGCTCGAGAGACTGAATCGTTTTCTCGTATTCCATAACGACTTGCTCAACAGCTTGCGCAAATGAATTCGATCGGTTGAGGCGGTCATCTGCCGTATCACCCGATTCCTCATGGTGGTCCGCGCCAGATTCGTTTTCACGAGCGCGCGCCAACTCAGCAATTAGTCGAGCATGACGCTGGCTCAAGGCGGTATAGCTCTCTTGAGTGTCCAGTAGTTGGTTCTGGAGCTCAGTCTCGCGCTCGTTTTGGCGCTCAGATCGATCAGCAATTCCTTGCGCGTTACGTCGAGGGCTGTTGCCTCCATGTTCGGCACTGCGAATTTGTTCACGGAGGAAGGCAACCTCAGCCTTGAGGCGGTCAATCACAGATTGCTTATCGCCCTCTTCGACTTGCTGAATGCGCGGTTTCGATTGAATCGCTCGAGCTCGTTGGGCATACTGGACGGTGTTCAGGGTCTCGCTCAAGTGGAATTCGGCCGGCGTAACACAGGCAATCATGTAAGTGATGGCATTACCACCGAGCGAATCTTGCAGCAGTCGAGTAAGTCGAGAGTCGCGGTACGAGACGTGGGAGCCAGGGTTTCTTGACGAAAGCTGGCTGATAACTTTACCAAGGGCGGCAAGACCGGCATTAATAGAGATACCCTCCTTTGCTCGATCGCCCTGAGCTCCAGTGTTCTTCAGTCTTTCACTTCCAGCCAAATCCACAAAGTGAAGTTTGCTGTCGGTTGTCACAGTAACATCCTGGCCCGTCATCGCTTCGAGTGGTACGGAGAAGCGCTTCTCGGCGCCCTGGCCGGACGACTTGTTCTTGCGCTGAACTAGGTTAAGTGAGAAAACAGCATGGGATCGCGACGACTTGGCGTTGATAGCCGTGGCATCGGTCTGGCGAATAGAGGAGCCGAAGTTCAGAGCATTCATGAGGTCGTCCACCGAGTTGATGTCGACTTGTCGAAGGCCTGTCAAGATGATGTTTCCCTTTGTGTCTTCGCGAATGGCCACATTGCCGCGCTCGTTCATCGGGGTCGTTTCGGGGACGAGGAGATCGCGAAGCTGTTCGTTGTAAATCTCGACATATGTAGCTTTCAGCGACCACTCGCGGTCACCAAGCGTATTCTGCTGGCTAAATCCTCGTGGACCTTTGAGATGGGAAAGAGAACTGCGGTTCGCCTTGGCTTTGGACTTTGGGGTCTCGGGAGTATCGAGCTTTTCAAAGAGCGCTATGGCAGCTCTGGGAATGACACCTGGATATTGGTTAGCAAGCACAGTCGCCGCTTGTTCGCTTCAACGTACCCATCAGCTCTTGGTCATATTGTTCACCTGGGCCTGAAGTACCCATGGTGTATGATTTGCCAGCACCAGACTGGCCATATGCCATTAAGGATACATTGTAACCTTGGGTGAAAGCGCCAATGCAGTCCGACACATAATCCCACACGCCCTCCTGTTGTGTATCTGAGCTGAAGACTCGGTCGAAAACAAATAGTTTGCGACCTTGCGGGGAATCGATTGCAAGGCTGGTATCGGAGGTCGTTTGGACCATAGCTCGTTGAAATCGCTGCGGAATCAGATCATATCCAGGATCGTTAGGGTTCAACGGCGGTCGTACTCGAACGGCTGACAACGAACAAGCATTAGTAACCCGAAAGTTTGGTGACAACGGTCGACTTACCGACTTTGACCGCCGTCCGACTTTCGTCGTCTGAGGCTCTGCTCCCGCCTCCAGTCTTGCTCGTCATGCTCAACCTGCTACTGCTTCTAGGGTGGGCTCTTGCGATGGCGCTCATGGGCCTTTGAGGGATTCCTCCCGGCGAGGCCGGGGGCGAGGTCGCCATGGCTAAGTTGCGAAAGAAATGCGCGGTGTCTCAGTTCTCGTAATCGTCAACGGCGATGTATGTCGCAAAAGCTGTCAAGGCCACAAAGGGCTTCTTTGTATGTTGTCTTCCTCGGAGGGAGAAGAGGTCGTCTTTCAGAACGTCATAGATGATTGCAGCGCCACGAGAGTCGTCGGTTGGTGAGGGGATCGCGAAGTGTTCCAGACGGTCTCACGTGCGGCAGTTGACCTTTGGGGGACTCGTAGAAGTTTCAACGAGTGAGCGCGAGGCGGATGTCGATTGTTTATTCAGACCAGGGGTGTAGGGGGAAAATGTAATTAAACAAGCGACCACGGACGATCGGGCGACGGAGTTGTCGAGGGCTGGGTCTAGGTCTGGGCTGGCAATTCCTCGTTCCAGTTGTGGAGCGGGACGTAAGTCGCTAGCGGAGGGGCTTTTGTCGGGGTGGAATTGGTAAAAGGTGAAAGAAAAGAGCGGAGGAGAAGGGAAGAGAGAAGAAAGCGGTGGGAGAGGAGGTTGTAGATGATGCAGAGGCAGAAGAAATAACTTCAACGGGCGGGCCGTTGGCTGTTTGATCACTTTTCAGTTCAGGAGTAGAAAAAGCAACAGAAAAAAAGGGACGGGACAGCCTCAAAGTGGAATCAAGCCCACCAGGGGTAAACTGGACAGTTAGGTTCAGACTTCAGTATCTTCCAGCTTCCTTCGATTCATTTAGGGGACTGTGCCAGTGCCAGCCAACACACACTCAGCGGGATGGAGGGCTGTCAAGTCCGCCCCTGGGGGGCTAGAGGTACATTAGCGCTGGGCCGGCTCGGGCAACGTTGTCAGGTACCTCGCGTCTGATGGACGTGATTGCCTGACCCCTGAATCTTAGGGATGGGCTAGTGGCGCTTTAGGTTAGGTGATGGCGGAGAGGGCGCCTACTGGTTGGACAGCTTCGCTTTAACTGGATCCCTCCCCCGGCGCTGGTAACCTGGTCCGAGCAACCAGGCCCAAGGCCAGTACTTTAGTGGCATGGACCCTCCAAATGGTTTGTATGCTTGGACCCTTTGCATCAGTGCCATAATCTGAATAATATTTGGTGATAGTGTTGGAAGAGACTGATTGGGACTTTACTAGACCAATTAAGCTGTGAGAGTCAGTTCTCATTTCTTTAAAATGTGACATCCAACGTGCTGATTCATGAACCGTATTCCTGAGAAAGAAAAAAACTCCATTTGTTCTCGCACTACTTGGCCGATCCCGGCTCGACCCAAGCAACAGGCAACGCATCCTCGTGGATGTTGAGGGTTAAACTGCTTAATCAGGCCTTATTTATGATCGTCTTTGCAAGCAACAAAGTCAAACCAACCACCTTGATTAGTCTCTCGGACCAATTCAAATGCCTCTTCAGCCCGAGGCGATCTTTTCTGTTCTTTCTGTTCAGGGGCTGAATCTAATATCCGACGCGTCCAAACTAACTTAGCGGCACATCGTCGCGTTTGTCGGATGGGTATGGCTGGATGTCATCAAACCAATGCAAGAACGGTAACCAATATACCGGTTTCACGCCAAGTTTCCATGGAAGAAAAGAATACCGTTAGACATTGACTCAACGGTGAATTTGATGTCTTGTGCCGTTGACAGAGTTTTCAACGTCCCCTCTCGATGCGTTGTCAACTTGACCCATATCGAAACTTACCTTGCGGTTATGGCGGTCACGCAGCAAAATACATATGCAAGTACCTTGATATCACGAACATCGACGCGTATCACTCTGCAGACAATGCTACACGGAATGCACCAGCAACCGCCCCATGCACACCATCCCGTTTAACAATTTCGTTGCTTTTGGCGCCCGAGACAACTATCAAGATCCCTCCGATAACTAACCCATCAACCATCTCCTTTAACTTTCGTCCCATCTACTGTTACAGTAAGATCCAGGGTCTAAGACGATCGTCTCCTAAATAATCGGGCGCTTTATCCATGTCCCTCTGAGCCTAGCCTGGAGCTCACATGTCGCCCTATTTGAAGCGAGGTCTCTTGGTCAATTAGTTACGGAGTCTTGAATGGCATCATTTCGCGACATGAGAAGCAAAATGTGGAAACAGTTACTGTGACCGGCATGGTTTCTGTCCGCGTTTTGAGTCGTATTCAACTGCGGAAGCAAATCGCGGGGGTCAAACACACCACGCCCACGGTATGTTTCAGGTCCAAGCCCCCACTCCCAATCCCAATGAAACCTTGATACTTCGAACCTGTTACTATTATTTCTTCTTTTGAACAATCTTACATGACCTGACAAGTGTTCGACGGTGAGCTATCGTAGGTTATGAACTGTTGGTCCTTGTTAGACTCTCTTGTCTGCCTGGCAAGGCCATTGTTACATCAAGATATCAGGCTCTGCATGTCTGATTGTCCGAGACACTTCGTCTCACCAAAGGAAAGCCACTTGGTCAATGGAACGCATGCATGTTGCCAGCATGAACTACCGGAGACCTCGGCGGTTGAGCCTGTCTTATTCGTCAGCCTTAAGAATTTCGTTCTCGCTTGTTGCTTCAACGCCAACTTACATAAAATCGTCAGGGATCTTGGTTGTCACAGTAGCTGTCAACGGTCGGCTTATCCACTATCAAAACAACAGGGCTGGTGCTCAGTCGGTGCCACTGAGAAAATGTCTTCACGAGAAAACGAGTCAAGAATTGAACTCTTGGAGTGGACAGACACCATGGAAACGGATATAAGATGTGGATTGTGTTAACTTCCTATACCTCCACTTCGCTAGTTGGATCTACCAAACACACTGCTGATTACCACGATATAGCTCCAAACACTGCTATATAGACTATGTACCTTGGTAATAGTCCAACTATTCACAGAGCCCTGTGATTAAACATGAAACTTTTGTTATCGCAATGTTACTGTTCCTTTGCAGGATAGACAATCTCTATATTTATCCCTGTCCATACCCTGAGCCGTCCATATGCCATGAATTATGGACACTGACTCTTGCTTCGACTTCCTTTTGACAATCGCCAAGATGTTATGCCTCCTCATTGAGTCTTTACAACGTCACGATGTGACGTTGCACAGCTTGGTTACTGACGCATGTTGTGTTCGCTAAACAGTTTACCCTGTCGAGGAACGGCACTGAAGGTTGAAGCTTGTATCACGGAGAGAAGGTAGTCGGAGAATGAGAGATGAGTCAGTATGTATATGATGTATCATCAATAAAGCAGCGTGATATAGTACAGGATTCTGACTTACACATAAGCTTCAATCCTCGCCGTTGAGATCGTCATCAAATGGACTTCGCTTCGGAGTATGGTCTATATCTTAGGCTATAATCGACGGTATTATTATATTTTCGACCAAGTCTTATCATTATGCTAAGAAAAACGTTTTATCTTCCTGGGATCAAATACGAGATGATGCCTCCTTTGAGGATTTCTCTTTTCTCCTCCGTGCCTCAAGTGATCGTGGTTTGCGAGGATCACCTGGACTACATGCCCATGGAGCTCTGTCACCACTTAGGGAAGGTCGGAGTTACAATTGGAGAGCTGATACTTGCATGGAACGTAAACTTGGAGATCAGTGGTGACTATCGTGGATACTGTACTCTGTAGATGTTGTGCTAATCCGAAAAATGGCATGAACTTGGCACTGTCCTAATTTTTTTTGACACATTTTATCAAGGAAGCACAAGCCCGCATACGGAAGCAAGCCGCTGGAAGGTCATATGATTGCCAAATTGTGACAAGAAAGTGTATGGAGAAGATAACAAGACGAATAGTTCTTGTCCAGTCTCGCGAGAGCTATAGGTTACTCTACATACACGCAGCCGAGATCTGTGATAGACTAATACAAATTACTACACTGATCAATGGCTACCACTCAACGAAGGTGCATGAAGCCATGCGTAACATGACTTCATTGTATCTCATATCTCATATTCACTCCGTAATGGTGAGTGGCAAGCTTCTTAACAGCTACACGTGACTTTGGCGTTTTTCGTGTGCCATCCAGACCAAGGTCGTCGCGTCACAGCGCGCCCCGCCATTGACCGTAGAGAGCCTCAACTTCAAATTAACGATCATCAATGGTAATCGTCCAAATATCGCAAACAAAATGGCGCCCGATGTGATTGATCTCATCTCATCGAGCCCGCCACCAAGCCAGTCCATTCCACCCTCTGCGCAAGTACCCAAGACCAATCACATCGTTGAACCAGAGAAGCGACACCTGCCAAGTATCGACGCAACCTATCCTGTATCACCTGGACTATTTCTCTCCGATGATTTCGATACAACGATAGACCTCGATGAGCCAACATTGGTCGATTCAAACCCGAACAAAAGACGATGTCTTTATCCCCCAGCGCAACCACCTCCGCTCAAGCGCATTTCTCCAGCTCCAGAGCCGCAAACAATTCTCCCGCCAGTGCGAACGAATGGGAATGGGCGAGCTTCTGTCGCTTCTGACCCTATAGAAGTTACGAGTTCTCCAATATTTGCATCACATAGCCAGCTGGAACCTTTTACATATACTGGCAAAACCTCGACAGATACTATCAGCAAGCCCACTAAACAACCGCTTGACGCTGAAGACTCTGATCCTTTCGCAAGTTCACCACAACCAGTGCGACGATCGCCTCCAAAGCCCAAGCCCCTCGCAAGACCTATAGAATCTTCCGACCCTTTCGCAAGTTCACCCCATCAAGCGCCGGTAACGACCAAGGTGCCTGAGGCTATCATAACATCACCGCCTGCGCCTCCGCCGAAACCTACATCAAAGCCAGCCCCAAAGAAGAATGCCACATGGGATCCAATCTCTAGTTCGGCGCCAGATGTCTTCTCTTTCGATTCATCACCGCCACGGAAGAACAATAACGTTATTAACATTGACGACTCCGATGGCGGGGACGGTTCCGAGGATGAATTGCCAGATATCGCTTCTTTCGATGTTGCCAAGATGCGACGTCGATCGCAACTTCAGCGCTCACAAAGCGATGTTGTATCATCAAGATCTCGAACAAAGCCCGCAGCTTCGAATACAAAGTCAGCAGCAGAGCGAGCACGAGAAAAAGAAGCAAAGGCAGCAGCCAAAGAAGTCGAAAAAGAGACCAAACGACGAGAGAAACAGGAAGCCAAGGAAGCCAAACTTCGCGAGAAGGAACGCACTGCCGCGTTGGCAGAGGTCAACAAGCTACGTACAGACAAGAAGGTTTCAACGCCAGAAATGATGGTCGATATCCCTTCGAGTCTAAATGCCACGGTCACAACTGAACTTCAGACCATGCTAGAACCTTTTGATGTGCAGTACACAATTTGGAATAGCCCGGTCGACAATGTGATCAAATGGCGAAGAAAGGTTCGCAGTCGATACAACGACGAGATTGGTCTCTGGGAGCCAATTCCTCTTCGCCTTGAGGATGAGAAGCATGCTCTCGTTGTGATGCATGCCGATGAGTTTGTGAAGCTGGCGCAGGACGACCAGATTTCAACTCACGTTGGCAAGATGCAAAGACATTTTGCTGATCATTCTCTCGTCTACTTGATTGAGGGCCTCACACCCTGGTTGCGCAAGAACAGAAACCTTCGTAATCGTCAATTTACATCGAACGTTCGCGCTCAAGAGGCTGCGGCTTCTACTGCAGGTCGTCGACGAAACAACCCCCCTCCGGAATACGTATCCGAGGAGTTAATCGAAGATGCGTTGTTGCAATTGCAGGTGATGCATGAGGTCTTGATCCATCACACTATGATACCGATGGAAACAGCCGAGCAGATCCTCACATTCACGCAGCACATCTCGACAATACCATATCGAAAACAACGCGACATTGCGACACTTGGAGCAGGGTTTTGCATGGAGAGCGGACAAGTCAAGACAGGCGAGGACGCCAAAGACACCTACGTTCGTATGTTGCAAGAGATTGTCCGAGTCACGGCCCCCATCGCATATGGAGTCGCGGCGGAATTTGGCACCGTCAGCAGTCTGGTTCGAGGTTTAGAAGAGCGCGGGCCAACCCTTCTTGAAGGCGTGAAGAAGAGCGCAAACAAAGATGGTGCTTTCACAGATCGCATGGTTGGCCAAGCAGTAAGTCGACGCATGTACAAAGTTTTCACGGGAGTGGACGAGACAAGCACAGATGTTTAGAATAGTGTGTATTATGTATTATATGTAATGATTCTATGAAGACCATCGATCATGATACGATGCAGTTCTAATGAGACCTATGAGTTCATCGTTAGCTAGTGTTACCATAGAAATGACAACAAAGATGATTTGTGAACAAGCTGTCAGACAGCGGTTGGACAAAATTGTTTCCACATTGTGTATTTCAGTACAGGTCTGTGTAATTGCTTCTTCATCATAAAGCTTGGGTGTGTTGTGTGTGAGTAAAAGAAAAATTTGAGCATACCATTTAGCGAGATACGATGTCCTCATCTTCGAGCTTGCGCTTTCGCGATGTTGGCTTGAAGAATGAGTCCATCGTCTTTTGTTTCGCGTCGAACTTGGCACTGCCAATTCCGCCCCGGGTCTTTCTCAGACCTTTGAGGTGGTCGACGCTGTTGATCTTCACGACGCGCATCTGGAGATGCTTGTCGGAAGAGTCACGCGTGATGAGGGCCTCGATGTAGCCGGTGTTGCTCCATGAAGGGCGCACGAAAGCAGATGCCTGACCCTCCAGTTCGGCATCTGGACCAGCAGATGAGGAGGCTCTGTCGCGGAGTGCTTTGTAAAAAGTACCGAGAATGATACCGTGAGCGACGATGCAGACGGTCGAGTCTTCGTGCAATCGAGGTAAATGCTCGTCCAAGAAAACATCAGCCCTCTTCCTCATCGCCTGCGGTGTCTCAGAGCCCTCATGCTTCGTCGCAGCCCCAAACTTGGTGCCCTCACCCGTCCCAAAGTCCTTCTCCCTCAGCTCTGGCGCCTGAATCAATTTCAGGTCCTTCGCGCGTTTCTGCGCATCGAGGATAGCCTGGGCGGTATGCACCGCGCGGCTGAGGTTCGACGAGAAGATGCGATCAATGGCGACGTGCTCAGAGAGGTGAGATGCTAGCCGTTGAGCTTGCATGACGCCGTGGGCAGTCAAGGCTGAGTCGCGAGACCCGGCATAGAGGTTTGCGACGTTGTCGACTGTCTCTCCATGGCGTATGAGGAAGAGACGCATCGTTGCATCGTTCAGGAAGGCCACGCCAGAAGCAAGCTGGGCATGGTGATTGTTGATGGTTGAGAGAGCTGGAGGAGAAAAAAGTCAGAAATTTGTAGTGCAGATTTCGTGCTGACTCATCAGATTTGGGGCTAGTCCTTAAGTGAGCTAGCTCCAATTGAGCACTCGGAATTTTCGCTTCATGTCAATGCGCAACATTATTGGCCAACTAAATCATGAAATTCGTAAAGCTAAACAAGACAAAACTCCGAACTAATCATACAAATTCCAGTCCCAAAATTCCCAAGATATAATTCATTAAGAGATACCCCATTAAGCAATCATTAAAATCTGTTTATTTCTTACCGGTGACTGTGCCGACGACGTCACCAAGACCAAGGCTGCCGAGGATCTTCTTGAGGCCAAGACCTCCGAGAAGACCATCGAGCAGACCACCAAGACCAAGACCGTTAAGCTGAAGACATTGTTAGCAAGATGATCAATTGATTGTGACGATGAATGGTTGAAACATACCAGAGGACCCAGGATGGGACCGAGAAGCTTGCCAACAAGGCCAAGCACACCGCTGAGCAATAGACCAACAGCAGCGACAATCTGGAAGAGAGGCTCGGCAAGGAGACCCCAGAGAGGGTTGATCTCCTTCTTGGCGTGAGGCATACCTTCAAGCTTGCGCTTGCCCTCCTCAATGGTGGTTTGGATCTCAGTAGAGAGCTATTATCTTGTTAGCGAGTGCTTCAGGGTATGGGAGCGTGATACTAACCTCCTTGAGCAAGTTGGCAAGGTGAGCCTCCTCGGGAGTGGCCTCACCACCAGCAACCTTCTGCTTAGCGTTGCGAGCGATACGGCCATCGGGGTCAAGACCACGGATGATGCCGTTGGTCTCAGTCAGGATCTTACCACCATCCTCGATGAGAGGCTTGACCTGTCGGACAAGTTCCTCCTCATCACGATCCTCAGGCTTCTGAGCCTCAGCAGCGCTGATCTTGTCGTTGATGGACTTGCAGATGGGTCGGAGCCTCTCAAGGGTTTGCTCAATCTGGTAAGCCAGTTGTTGAGCGAGCTTCTTGTTCTTCTCAGCCTCCTCGGTCTTCTTGGCCTCATCGGCCTCAGCCTGCTCGCGCTTGAGTCTCTCCTCCTCAGTCTCACCCTCGGGCTCGGGCTCCTCCTCCTTGGGGATGTCCTCGAGAAGAGAGACGTGACCGATGACGGATCCCTTCTGGTTGAAGACATCGCCGTCCTCGTCGATCTCCTTGCCAGCGCAGTCGAGAAGCTCACCGCTGGTAAGCTTGCCGATGATGTTGCCATCAGCGTCAACGACGTTACCCTCGCGGTTCACCTTTCGGCCAGCCAGAGGGTTGTGCTTCTGCTCCTTCTCAGGCTCCTCCCAGCGCTCAGCCTTGCCAATGACATTACCGTTGGAGTCGGTGATCTCACCGTCATCATCAACAGCGCGTCCAGCAAGAGCCTTAGCGTCACCAATGACAAGTCGGCCAACAACCTCACCAGCTCCGTTGACGACCTTACCGTCCTTGCCGACGGTGCAGTTCTTGAGCTGGGCGAAGGGGCCCTCCTTCTTACCACCGCGCTCGCCCTCAGAGACGAGCTCGGCCTTGCCAATGATGTCGCCAGACTCACTTCGGATGTTTCCATCCTTGTCAGACATGCGTCCGACAAGCTTCTGGACATCACCCTCAATGACACGGCCGTAGATCTCGCCAGACTCGCTGACGAGGTTACCGGCCTTGTTGACGCGCTTGCCAGCAAGAGCAGATTTGTCGACGGGCTTCTCCTCCTCAACCTCAGGAGCCTCCCAGCGCTTGGCCTTACCGACAGTGTTGCCACGGCGGTCGAGAATGTCACCATCCTCATCGACCTCGCTGCCCTTGAGCTGCTTGGGGTCACCCTCGATGACCTCACCAACCTGCTCGCCCTGGTACATGACACGACCATCAGACTCGACGGTGGCGCCGGGGAAGTGCTCGAAGGGAGCGAATGACTTGTCCTCACGCTCAGAGACAGAGACGGGCTCGGCCTTGCCAATAACCTCGCCAGAGTCGTTCCAGATGTCACCATTCTCGTCGGCGCGCTTGCCAACAAGCTCCTTCAGTTCACCCTCAACAACCTTGCCGACGACAGTACCGTTGGCATCGACGAGCTTGCCGACCTTGTTAACCTTGGAGCCCTTGAGGATGGAGCGATCCTTCTTCTGGACGCGGTCCCACTCAGCGAGGGGCTCAGCCTGGCCGACGACCTTGCCGTCTCTCCAGATCTTGCCATTCTCATCAGCCTTGAGGCCAACGAGCTGTCGGATCTCACCCTCAGTGACCTTGCCGATGGTGTCTCCCTTGTCGTTGGTGAGACCACCCTCCTTGTCGACAACAGCGCCCTTGAGGATGGAGAAGTCCTTCTGCTCACCACGCTCCCATTCGGGAAGAGGCTCAGCCTTACCAACGGCCTTACCGGTCTTGTCCCAGATGGTACCCTGGTCGTCAGAAGCCAAGCCGATGAGTTGCTTGATCTCGCCCTCAACGACCTTACCGAAGAGGTGACCCTTCTCGTTGACGAGGTTTCCGTTCTTGTCAACAGTGGTGCCCTTTAGGATGCTGTAATCCTTCTGCTCACCACGCTCCCACTCAGGAAGAGGCTCGGCCTTTCCGACCTTCTTGCCAGTCCTGTCCCAAATAGTACCCTGCTCATCAGCAGTGAGGCCAATGAGTTGCTTGATCTCGCCTTCAGTGACCTTGCCGATGAGGTGGCCCTTGTCGTTGACGAGGTTACCCTCCTTGTCGACGGTGGTACCCTTGAGGATGGAGAAGTCAAGCTGCTCGCGGTCCCACTCGGGGATGGGCTCAGCCTTGCCAAGCTGCTTGCCGGTCTTGTCCCAGATGACACCTTGGTCGTCACTGCTGAGGCCGATGAGTTGCTTGAGCTCTCCCTCGACAACCTTGCCGAGCTTGTCGCCCTTCTCGTTGACGAGATTGCCCTCCTTGTCGACGGTGGTGCCCTTGAGGATGGAGAAGTCGAGCTCCTTGGCAGCCTCCTCGCCCTCAGCAGCCTTCTCTTCAACGGCCTCTTCACCCTCGGCGGCCTTGTCCTTGGCCTCCTCAGTGGCATCGCCAGTAACTTCCTCGCCCTCGGCAACCTTGCCTTCAGCGGTCTCCTCACCTTCAGCAAGCTTTCCTTCAGCAGCCTCTTCGCCTTCGGCAACCTTGCCTTCAGCAGTTTCTTCACCCTCGGCTGCCTTGCTCTTGGCATC